AAGAAAGAAATAAACACAAGAACCGATTATCATTGTTTCACAAAGAGGACATCGAAACGTTATGAGGAATAAGTTGAAACTGACTGAGCAAAAGAAGGAAAAGCATCTAATCTAAGGAACGGAGAGATGTCTCTGATGGGTCACGTCAGAAGCACTTTTGATTATCACATTTTCATGAAAATTACGAGAAAACAAAGAAAAATTAACAGAAATAAGCTTGTAAAAATCAAAAAAAAATTAAAAATCAACGATTTTTGGAATTTAAACTGGTCCCGACACGATTTCCCAAAGGAGGGAAAAATTAATTATTCAAAAAATGCGAAGTTGAGTGTCAAAGATTCGCCTCCCGCCTGGGACGTGACCCGTCGGGCCTATTGAACACGTGAAATCGCACGTACTTATAGACTTCCGCTTCGTACATCGTACGGCATGCAATTCGTGCATTTCCATATAAGTCGAGTCAATTTTAAAAATAACCTTTAGATTATCATGAAAAATAGTTCTCTGGAAGGTTAAGTTCGGTTATATGGTGGCAATCTGCAAATAATTCTGCAGCTATGAGAATCAAGAGGATATCTTGATCGATATAATAGTTTATTGTCTTGTAACAATGCCAAAAACGAGAGTACTATTTTTAAAAAGTAATATTTATGAAACAAACAAATAATCATACACATGTATTCATACTCATGGTAATATTCGCTTCGGAATCAAACTTGGCCAAAGGAGCGTGAATACAAGCTTTGTCTCGCCAGCCCTGAAAACAGATTGTTCCACTGTCAATTGGAGATATACATACGTTCAACTGAATCCACCTTTTGTTCACATTCCGCGTACATCTTTCGAAACTCTCTTCTTGAACATTCATCTTATCATTTGATTCTCCTAGATAATCAAGATGATCCAAAAACTCCATTTGTGTTGATATAGCTTTCGACTTTTTGTTTCGAGTTTTCGAACGAGTTAGACAACAACAACATGTTAAACAGAACACCTAGAATGGAACGTTCAAAACACCTCAAACGATAACCAAACTCACTCCTAAGAATACACATATGCTGAATTGGGCATAAAAAATTAGTTGTTCCGTTGGATTAACTACAAGAGGAATCTTATCTCGTTCAACGCAGAATTTTTTTTCATCTCGCAAGTCTGAAACGAAGCTGAAAAAGGGTCAAAGAGAAAGCCTTACCTCCAAGGATAGCTATACAATGATATTCCCCATAATTCGTGGCTTGCATGTTGTCGAAGTCCAGACAAAATCGTGTTCTCCCTGTTTCCAGAAGAGGTGACGTGGTTAATCCCTTGAAGATTACGTTATAACATTAAAAAAAGCTGTACTTTATAAACCTTCGTAATGTTCTTTCGTTCATGTTGCCAGAACACAACTGGAGCCGGAGAAGAAGCGACAATACAACACAATTGTAAAGGATCGCCTATAGATATTACATTGGTAGTGATTTCCTTACTGTCTTGTATGGCTGGTCCACAATAAATCTGTAACGAAGAATTTTTTTGGTTTCGTGGAAGGTTTTTAGGATGACAAGGGCAATAAGAAAGGATCTGTCATAGATTAATTTGGATTAATGCAGATGACAAATTGAGGTCGATGTCCAATCTTAAGGATTTGTTCATATATGGTGAAGTAATATATGACAATACAAGCTGAGTGGCATGAATAAAAATGTGAAGAAGCTCTTGATACAATTACTCATAGTATCACTGTTTCTCATATACGATATTGATGAAAAATCGATTAGCTTGTTGACACCAGCATTTGTTGTATAAGAAAGAATTTTAGGAATTAACTACTCACCTCCCCAGAAGAACTTCGTCTCAGTGTTGTAGGCTTGCGACATAGTAACGTCGTGCTGTCAAACAAAGCCATCTGCTCAGCCCATGTTACAAATTTCCATAGCGAACACTCACAAATCAGCGGATTAAAGGATACGTCAAGCTCCTGAAAACAAGAATTCGTCTCCGAAAACGGCATTGCTCTTCTTTTTTTTAGAATATTGAGACAAATATTTTCTTTTGATATATTCAGCTGAGTAAGCGCTCATTGACCGCATCTGCAACTCATTATCCTCAGCCTTTCTGAATAACCGACTGGAAAATATGTGCGAAGTTAACCAGATGGCTCACTTATTGCCCGCACAGAAACAAAAATACAGTTTTTCCCCTGGGATTGAATCTGCTTTCTGTTTAGAATTTACTGGCTTTGACTGACCGCGGAATCTTGAGATGAAATCAGATATCGACAATAAATTAAAAAAGGATGGATAAATGACATATTACATAACTTAGAACAATTTCGTCACCTTAAATTGGCCAGCTGCCATGAAAGAATTCTCTCTCTCTCTCTCTCTCTCTCTCTCTCTCTCTCTCTCTCTCTCCGTCTCTCTCTTTCTGAATATTCTGCCAGAACTCAATACTACCTTAGGCACAAAGCATTTCTATCAAAAGCCCCATCCTCTTGCGCTTGCGCTCATTTTGCCCTCTTGTTCTCTCAGTTTCAAAGCTCAATCTCAATCTGGTAGTTGGCACAAATTCATTCTTTTGAATACAATCTGCTACTCTTATGTTACCCAACGACGAGATGAAAAGAGAAAAACAATGAACTGCCAAGTAGCACAAAGAGTACGAAGAGAAACGGCTCAAACATAAGAATTAAAAAAGTAAACCTGTAACTTCTGCAATGAAGACCAATGTGTTAAATGAGATATGTAATTTGCAGTTAAACGTAATGACTCCAGATTCATTGGCAGATGTTGGGGTGAAACAGACAGTAAGTTATTATAGGACAAATCTAATAACCGAAGAGCTGTTAGAGTGGAAAAATCAGGCAAATATCTGTAATGAAAAAGGTTTTTCTTCCAATAAAACTCATACAATTACCGTAATTTGTTATGAGACAGATTTAATGTGGTTAACGAGCTAGCGTAACGGAAAAATTGAATATTTTCCAATTGATTGTGAGATAAATCCAAATGTTTTAAACTTTGAAGTTGAGCAAGCGCCTGAAAAGATTAAAAACTACTCGAACGTGGGAATTAATCACTTTTGGTTTGATTATTCTGATTGAGCAATGATCCATGCGTAGTGAGAGCAAGGTGGAATATGTAGAAGGAAAGTTGTCGATTATATTTAAAGAATTATTTGCTAAATTCAAAGATATCACAGAATGAAATAGTTTCGGAGGGATGGTCAAGCCACAAGAAGAGCAATCTTGAGAAGGCCTATTAGAGTAGGAATACCTGAAGATTACAGGTAATGTGTAAAAGAGAAAACATCAAACAACCTTCTACAAGTCTTTCCATCTGAGATTATTAAACGAAAATTGCATAATAAGAAGATTGAGAAGAAAGAGCTAAATGATCTTATTAATTGAAAGGCTTTAGCCAAGTTATACTTACATTGAAAAGGATCTATGGCACATGAAGTTAGTAGTTTATTCCATTCACGTAGGAAATAAGAGAAATCTGGAAGGAATACTCTTCATCAAATAATAATATTGAAACATATTCAAAGTCTATACATGACCAAAACATATTATAAGCAAAGCAATTGAATAGGAAATGGAATAACGCTTTCAATATTGCGTGTTCCATACACACAATATGAACATAGAATCAGATGATTTTGTCACTCATGTCAAATGCTTAACTCAAACGAAATGTAGTTGCGGATAGTCACAGGAAGTTAATTAGTTTTAAGTCTCAAAATGCTTTAAGACAGAACTAACCTTATGAATATTGTGTGAGAATGATGTTTGTGACTATGGTGCTTTAGAACAAAGAAGGGGCGGGCATACATATAAGTGGATAAGAGAGATGGGATGTTACTGAACAATAAAAGGATGGAGCACTGGCTGAGCCGTCACCAATCCTTATAAGGCATTTAGTTCGACCGAAATAACTTATAAGTATTTCACTGTGTGACAACGTACAGCAGCAAATGCACTTAGAGATGCGCGAAAGGCTCCTTCGAATGCAACCGCTCTATACGAAAATGAAAAGGAAAAGTTCTTCGTTGCGTGATAAATTTGAAACATAGCGAAAATCTCTAGTGAAGGATGGCCATTTCCCTGGTAAAACGAAAATAATTACTTTAAAATTGCATAATGAGATAAAATGGAAAGAATAAGGGAGGATACACAAAAGTATCCATGGGAACCCGAAGATGTTATGCTCAGAGCAGGAAATACACTAATTAAGCTCGAATGTAGTAGAGATAAATACAAATTGTCAAAAATACCTGCGAATATAAAGAATCAAGCTCCATTCTGAAAAATTCCCAATCCAAATATTTGTGAGAACGTCTGTTGACGGAATAAAACTCTCACGAGCCCCATATTTCGTTTTCAACCTTGCTTTATCTTCAAGTTTGTGAATTGCACCCTCGCAATGGGAAAGGAGATATACCTAGCTATATTCCTTATAATAGCAATAATCTGCTCCCCATTCATACTCATACTTGGCGTATTGCTCTTCGATGCCGTGAGTTCTCTTCTCTGCAAAAAAAATATGAATTAATTGTAAAACTACGAACTTCACCATGCCGCTTGTCCATGCTTAGTAGTTCACATAACATGGAGGAGGGATTAGAGCGATCTCTACAACCCTACCTATCTGATCTTTGAAATATAGCTGCCCAAACTCAATATGAACTTCGGGTGAGTCATCTACCTAAATCTGAGATCAGTTCAATATTAAAAAAACGATAAAAAGTTGCCCATTGCTTTAGTTAGAACATGCAGTTCAATGAAGAGGTGGTAGGTTGTAATGAATAATGATTTAGCAAGAACCTTCTGACCTTAATAACATTAGGACTAAAAATATTCTGATATCTCAATCTACAACAGTCGGATTCAATTAATCATAGATTAGTTATAAAAATAGAGAACTCAGCCTAATCTACTTTCTCTCAAACTTCGATCACATGTTATAGGAAACCCGATTTACTAATATAGATAGCGTTAATACCACACGCTTGCCACGTTCAAATTCTCTTTTTAAAGATTTTTATGGAAACTTTTAATAGATATCATACTTTTCGTATTCTCCACCCAATAATTCATATAAAAAAAAGCAACTAAACCCTATAAGAGATCATGGATCTTTGGCGCTAATGTGATCAACACCAAAACCTATTTCCACCCCTGAAACATTCCGTTTAAAATGTTCAAATCCCTTTATTACAGTTTCACTTCCTATAATGTTGCACCACATGCCATACGCAGGTGTCAAAACCCTCCTATCAGTGTTTGCTTTTCTAGTGGCTTCCGGAGTTTTTCTCTTCTTGGATGCTTCTTATAATCATGGATCAGTTAGTCAAGTTGAATTACTTTACACTCGAGAAGTTAGTGCATTTATTTTTGAATACTAACGCACTTTTCTTGTAAAGTATTAATATAACTTTCCAATATGTTCAACTCCTCTATAGCTTTTCGTTTCAGGATCTCAAGATTATAAGAGAGAAGAAGCAAGAAAAAATAGAAGGAGATCGAAATTTAGCTGATTTAGATGCTGTGCGCAAAGCTAACGTGCATGTAATTTGTTAATTATATAAGCATATGACCAACCTTTACTCAGATACTGCCTGATCGCATGAAGCCGAACACGACAGCCGAGGAGATGTGTAAGAACGACAATGAAACACTTTTTTGCATGCCGGCTTTCCGAAGATTTGAAGCTGAGTACAGGGTAGGGTCACTAAACACAAACTGAAGCATACTCTACAATAGGTAGCAACTAAGTATAAACTTACAACGTGCGTTATTCATAAGAGTATGTCAACTGTAATGACGGCGACAACTTGTTATCTCCACAACGAGAAGCGTTTTATTGAAGCTAAGAGAAATATTTATACAGAATGGAAACCAAATAGGTAAATACTTTCAGATAATTACTTCCAGCATTCTCGTTTTCAGATTCTGTGCAAGGAAAAATGAGCACAGTAGATTCAACGCTATGAAACGACGATTCAGAATTTCTGGAAATTGGACTTATATGATGGTGACAAGAGATCCCATAGATCGTTTTCTGTCAGGCTTCGTAGATAAATGCATCAGGTGCCTAAACACTTTCAATTGGAACTTATTCTTTCTCTTAGAAAACCTGAATCATGCCATGGTTGCGGGAGTAACTTAACTTGTTTTGTTATTAATGAATATTCTCGAATTCATGATCAAGTGGAGAATAATCACTTTTGGAGAAGTTTTGAAGACAGACATTTCTTTCCTCAAAATTGGTATAACCAGTTATGTCGTTAGATTTCCTAAATGATGATTCAGGCGTTGTGATTTGGATACACACTTTAAAGATTACAAATTCATTCGATACTCTTCGGACCCTACCGGGACACTCATGACAGATTTGTTTAAACTTCTAAAAAAAAATAAAGTAATAAAAGCATATTATCGATAACAATCAACCTATTTTAAGGTTCCCCAGGAGTCTCTTGATTACATAAAAAAGTCGCTGACGAGTGGGAGGACTGTGCATAGTACAATTCACTCTGAAGCCAGACGATTCATAGAACAGAGGTAATTACAAGACGAACCATTTATCTAATTATACCAATTAAGATTACTATCGAGTCCATTCCTATTAGAGTATGTTGTCCGTATGTTCTACCATGATTTTCGTCTTTTTGGTTACCCTCTACCAAGTGGATTCTAATTTTTTATATGTGCTCTATTATCTCGCTTACGGGTATAGCATTTGTTGAGCAGCATTTCTGAATAGGGAACATTACGAGAATGACAAAGAAAACATTGAAAAGAATCATGTTTGCAAGATAGTTCAATGATAAGAAATACCATAGTACGAATTTGAATAATAAAAAAACAAAACTCTAATCTTTCACTAAAACAGTTTGCGCAGCGATTTCACAATCTTGAACCTTGTCAAAATAACCTGACTTGTGATGCAGCTCTTTGAACTTCAATTTATTGTTTCTCGACAGTCCAGTCTGTTCTGGATAAAAGAAAAAAAGAAGAGGTCAAGAAACAAAAAACATTAGTCGGACAAAAAAACAACCGCTTGCATGAGTCGTCGAGTCAAAAATAATATTTCAAAATGTAATATACGTGAGCTTCGCGTATGCTAATGACTACACACCCATTTAGAAGCCAACATCATCGCTTATAGGAAATAATTTATTGTGAATAAACAATATGTTTGAATTCAACATTTTCTTTAGATTACTAGGTTAAGAAAGTGTCGTTGTTGATGCGCAAACAATCAACTGATATAACTTAAACGCTGATTATTTATTATTTTATAAAATACGTTTTTAAAAATTCCTTATTTATGTCGATACCAGTCATCCCATCTTCCTGCTCCGTCTAAAGCGTAACAAGTGTCTGAACTGCATGAGAAATCGGCTTTACCTGTATGTGCATCGGTCGCCATACGACCCGAAGCTTTTGAAGTAACTAAATTTCATACAGCTTATATTCAGACTGATTGAAAAACAAAAATACCTCGCTCTTCCGTATTTAGACTCATAACAGGTTCTGAAATAGTTTTTCTCAAATGCTAAAAGATATTTATATCTTACGTCCATTCATATCCGTGAAAGCTGTTTGTGGTGGGCTACTGGCAGGTTTACTGCTATCAAAAGTGAAAGAACCTCCGAAAGATGAACCTAAAACAGTAGTTCTTGTTGAACAATAGGGTCAGGTTCTTACTAAAGCCAACGGCATTATCTGTTTTTCCGTATCCAAAACCAGCACCAACGTTTGTTTCAGCATGCCCGTTTTCTCCGATAGGAACTACAGAAGATATTGAGCCTCCTTGGCCTTGCGTGATGGGGATGTTAGGCCATCCACCTCCCAGGAAATTGGGAACAAATGGGATATTGGGCATCCCCCCAAATCCTCCTGCTCCTGCGAACCCTCCGGCTCCTGCGAACCCTCCGGCTCCTGCAAACCCTCCGAACCCTCCAAGGCCTCCTAATCCTTCTCCGACATTACCCAAACCAAGGTTGTTAAGAGCGCCCAGGCCAAGCTGTCCTCCAAGACCTGCTTGCATGTTTCCAAGCCCGTTTGCGAGACTTCCAAGAGCTCCAATTGCACTTCCGAGTAGATTATCTACAGCTGCAAAAGGTCCAGGGTTCGGATTCAGCGGTACACCATTGGGCCCGAAAGAATATCTCGAAAGAATAGAACCGTAATTTTCGTTGCCGGCACCTTCCGGACCGGGATAGTTGGTAGTTTCCAAAGATGTGATTGGTAAACTACGACTAGCCCGCCCAAACCTTTGAAGCTCGAGGAGCTGCGCAGGAGTTAAGGCGTACTGGAACAATTCAACAAAACCACAATTAGTTGTTCACAAAAAAACTTACAGTAATTGAAAAAACGGTAAAAAGTACGAGAGGAGCTCTCATTCTGAGTTATAAAGATGAAAACTGTCTTAGTTACTTATATAGACTTATCAGCAAACGACGTTTACCTCATTTTGTTTTTATTATTTCATATTTGAAGTCTTACAAAGCGCTTTCCATTCTTTTTTGAGAATGTAAACAAATACAATTATGATGAATCTCCATCATACTTTGTCCTTTCTATAGGAATAAACGTTCTCAATGATCGACGGAGATATCGTTCTGTTTTCAACTTCCAAAAAATGACGTCACTCGTTGATATTCAAATTTAAGCTTATCGAAATGTTTTTTTTGACACAAAGCATGAGATGATTTTAGATGGTTAAAAACAAAAATCTGTCAAAAGCCGTATGAGGTGATTACTAGATTAATTATCTCATGTTTTTCATCTAGTCACACTAGTTGAGAGCTAATCATCGACTTTCATCTACTACTGGTTTACTATGCTTGCTATATAAGGGAACTCTCAGCCTTTCTCATAATACGATTTCCTCACATCGTCTTCAACAAGGTAAATTATATTATTCATTTTAATATATAACTCTTTACACTTAAGATGAAAGACTGCTCGTATTATCTGTTTACGAGTACCATCACCGTCACAGCTTTGGTTATTGCCACTACCTTTGTCAGCATCTTCTGGCTATGTTCTGATATTCAGCAATTCGAATCAAACATCTTACGTGATTTGACTGATTTCAAAGTAAGCTGTTTTTAACGTGATGGAAACGTTCCATTTTTCTTCAGATTCAAGCTAATGATGCTTGGGCTGGTATGATGACAGCCAGAGCTGATTCCGATCGCAATGCTATCTCATCTCTATTTGGACGTGTCAAAAGAGGAGGATCATATTCCGAAGGAGCTGGAGGAGGCAGCTCTTGCAACTGCCAAGCTTTATCTAGTGGATGTCCAGCTGGACCTCCTGGACCACCTGGAGAAGCTGGAGAAGATGGTGAGCCAGGAACTCCCGGAGAAGCAGGAGCAGCTGGAGGATCTGGAGAAGCCAACTCTTATGCTGGTGTCGGAGGAGATTGTATCAAATGCCCAGCCGGACCACCTGGACCACCAGGACCTGACGGACCACCTGGACCAGCTGGACAAGATGGACAAGCTGGACCAGCCGGACAATCCGGAGGAGACGCCGCTCCCGGAACCACAGGACCCCCAGGACCACCAGGACCACCTGGAAATCCAGGAGCTCCAGGACAAGACGGAGCACCAGGAGAAGGAGGCCAAAAGAGCACCAGTCTTCCAGGACCCCCCGGACCACCAGGACCACCTGGACCAGCCGGTAACGCAGGAGATGATGCGGGATACGTTGCTCCAGGAGAACCAGGACCAGCTGGACCACCAGGACCACCAGGAAACCCAGGAGGACCAGGATCAGATGGCCAACCCGGAGGCCCAGGAACAGCTGGAAGTCCAGGACCAGATGCAGCTTATTGTCCATGTCCTCCAAGAACATCTCAACTTGAAGGAGGCGGTGCCCAATATTCTCAAGGAGGAGGTGCTTCAGCTGGATCTTATGGTGCCGGTGGCAACGCTGCTGTTGCTGCACCAGAACAAGCTCCAGTAGCTGAGGCTCCACCCCCACCACCACCACCACCACCAGCTGCCGCTCCATCAGGAGGTTATAACGCCGGAGGAGGAGCCCCACCACCACAAGCTCCAGCCGGTGGATACAACGCCGGAGGTGGTGCTCCACCACCACCAGCTCCAGCCGGAGGATACAGTGCCGGAGGAGGAGCTCCACCACCACCAGCAGGAGATGCTGGCGGATACAATCAGCTTCGTCATCGCAAACATCGCAGAAGATTCCATTACTAAAATGATGCATAAACATGTGAACTGATGAATGAAATAAACAATTTGACTTGATCAACCATTGAAAAACTTGAAAACACAAGATAAGAAATATATTTTAGATAATCGAAATGAGAATCATACTACAAACGACGATTTCATCCTCGGTACAAGTGATGGATACAGAGAAATACATAGAGAGCAGAGAAATATAATAATGAACGCTTATCAAGTCAAAATTTTTTATCAATTTTATAGATACAGGTGATGCAACCATGAATGCGAATTGAGACATCATCCGATAAACATCCAGAAGTAGTAATCATTCACTTCATACACAATTCTCTATATTCCTTTCATTTCTTATAGAAACAAAAATTATAAAAAAAAACATTAAAAAAACATTGTTTGAGACCAATAAAAATATTTTTTATCTTACTTTTAGAGCTTTGAACGTGGAACTGTACGCTGAGGCTTTGATGCAGCTTTGTACAAGCTATCAATAGCTTCATCAACTGTTACCCTGCCACTAGCTGATTGAGTTATTTGAGGAGTTAAATCGAAAGATGGATGCTTCTGAGCTAATCCCATTGCCACGACAATACACATCAAGGCGGTTACACCGTAAGTTACAGCTTCCTCGAACTAAAATAAAATTTACATAATCCCTTCTCAATATTATGAATATACATAAAATGAATGAATTGAATAGGTTGGATCAATCAAAAACGCTTCATGATGCTCATTCTCCAAAAAAGCATCCAAAGGCTTCCAAAAACACATTGATACTTCATCTGCATTCAAACACAGCACAGGTGGGCGCCTATAAAAGTTCTTGTTAGCATGTACTCTTTATAACTTCATCTCTTCATTCCCTTCATATTTTCTATCTCTCTCTCTATCTATCTCTCTTGATGCATGAATATTACCTTAATAATGCTACTGAGGGATGTATATCCACACCAAATCTGGATCGAAATGATGGCAAACTGCCTAATAATTCATAATCTTCTCTACGTATACCAACTTCCTGAATTTGCATATTATTCAATAATGCCATAACTAGAATGCACGTGAATGATACGTGGAAATGGTCTAATTCAACACATCATTTTAAAATGTTCAATACGCTGTTAGCGGTTGTGCTTTTTTTATTTCATTTTTACCTCTTCCGTCTCTCTTATTGCGGTATGACATAAGTTCTGATCATCGTCCTCTCTCATTCCTCCAGGGAAGCATACTTCACCTGGATGTCGTCGTAATGTTTCAGATCTGATACAAAGAAATACTTTATATCCTCCATTCATTCTATCACGATTCAATAATATTAATACTCCAGCATCCTAAGAGACCAAAAAGATTATTTGTCTATTGGAGCAAACTATACACGAAACCTTATTTCCTTTACAATCACATGGCTCAGTTGATAATCTTAGTTGCTTTCTAATGAAATTGCATTCTTCTTGAAATGATCTCATATTTCTATAAATAGCATTATTATAAATCTAATGCTCAGATATGACATATAGAAGTGTACATGAGAAAATTTTTTTAACAAAAATCACGAAAATACAAAGAATAGAAAGGATACAGTAACCATTTTTTGTATTTTTGCATTCTTAAGGGATAATCTCCGTCTCTCTCTCTCCATCTCTCTCTCTGTCTCTTTCTATGTTCTGGTATCGTCTCTTTCTGTCTGTTAGCCCCTTTCAACCTATTAGCTACCTTAACATGTATCATGTCACCCAGTTAGATACATATAGAGTGCCCTCACAAAGTTCTTTAATTAATTATCTCTGAATAGTTTGGAGAAGAATAAGAAATCCTTCACGGATGTTTCTTTCTTCTCTCTCTCTCTCTCTCTTCTTATATCTCTATTTCCCTTCCTTTCTTCTCTTTATCAGATAATTCAAATGAACATCTATAGGTAATTGATGTATTGTTAGAATAAGATAAAAACCATCTTATTCATCTGAAATCCGATAGCATCTAGCCATTTCAGATTTCTTACGCACCTCATCTGATTACAGTCGATACCTAGATGCGAACAAGAATTATATATATATATATATTTATGTATATATAAATATCCTTTTCTGTAACAAATGTGTGTGTATGCAGACCTTTTGATGATGTTATGCATCAAATGATATGATGCACCTGTTAATACAAATTTTTACCTTTCAAAACTCACAACTCTCATTTCTTTATGTTCTCTATTTCTCTCTCTCATTTGATCTATTCATTCTCTTGATCTTCTTCTCTCATGCCTCTACATGTCTATTCACGGCTGACGTGACCATCATCAAGGTCAGACCTGCTGCGAAGACGATGATGAGACCAAGCCCCATCCCATTGGAATTCATAGATGAGTAGCCAAACGTCATCATGAGCATCAAAATTATTTGATTTCAGATTAGGCTTTTGACGTTTATTGATAGTCTTTTAATAAAGAAAAATCTTATAGTTCATCATTGATCAATCCATTCAACGTTCGAATCACTTAAGCTTCTCATCCCTCCCCTCTCTCTCTCTCTCTCTCCTTTTCTCTCTCTGTCTCAAAAAAATTACGTTTCTTTTGTCATTTCGGTGTCTCACTTATCCACAATAATACCCGTTCTTAGTCATCTACTGGCCATTTTCAACTGAATTTTCGCGCATCTTCTGCCATGGAACAGTTGATTCTTCTGCTTTTCTATGACCTTAGGGAACATTCAAAGTTACTGAATACTGAAGATTCAAATCTTAGTTAATCCCTTCAGATTCTCCTTGCTTCTTCTCTTCAACCTCCACCCTTCTTCTTTCATGCTCTACATCTCTCTCTATCTCTCGTTCTACCGTTGTCTCTCTATCCATCTCTCTATGTCTTCGTTCACTCTCTTTATCCTCTCTGAAGGTCAAAGTATAACATAACTTGAAACAAAAAAAACTTTCTTTTCTTTCATTTTTAACTTGTTTTTCATCGATCGTTTGCTTTCCATGAAATTAGGTTCTGATTGACGAAATCTTCGTCCAATCGTTTGAAACCTCATTTGTCCCAATTTGGTCAAATTTTAATTTGAAAATGGCTGAAGAAAAACTTAAAGCTGCAAGCGCGCTGTAAACTAAGGAAAATCAAAGAATTCAACGCAGATTGGCATCGGATTTCGTCGCTGAATGGCGAAAGAAAAGAAAAATGTCTTCATTATCATCTACTCAATGGCTATTGTTTGGCTTTTTTTATATTTTATTTGAATTTTTTTCATTCAAACTATCCGTCAGCTAGTTGTGAAAAATTACGGCCTTAACGTCACACAGAAAGAGGATCTCATCCCTAAACCTCATATTAACTATTCTGAGGTTCTTTGCTTGTCTTTCTCTTCTTCTCTCCCTCCTCCCTTCTCCTTTCTCTCTCTCTCTCTCTTACTCATTCTTATTCTCAAACGATCCTCAAAGACTAAACTATCCTTCACCTCATTTCTCTCCTAATATGAGCATGTGCTCCCATAAACACAAAAATTCCACTGAATATTTCTCTTTTCATTTTCAGTTTGTGTATAAATATACATATTTATGTTCATAAAAGGTTTTGACATCATGTTTCTCTATTATCTCCAATACTCTCTTTGTGTTCTTTCTCTCTCTCACGTTTCCTCACTTTGCTTCTCGTTTTACCCAATCGCCTATCTTCTAAATGTATTTGACTGACCAGCTCAGTTGGCTCCTTTTCGACGATTCTTACTCTCTCCTCCCTTTGTTTCTAAGCTAAACTAATAATTGGTAAATGTTTTTATCTTGTATATTCAGCTCTAACGGTAGCTTCTATTTAGCGATTTGCTTCACATTTGTTTCTCTTCTCTTACTTCCTATCTCTCTCTATGCCTCTCTCTCTCCCTCTCTCTCTCTCTTCATCTCTTTATGTTGTTGTTAAGAAAAAGATGCAATACAACTTCTCTTCTTAAGCCAACATTAGCGAATTCGCATATGCCATTTCTACAATCCACTTATTCCGAAGTAGATGACTTGAAATCATAAAATCACAAAAGTTTGTAGTTGTAAGCTTCTCCAAAACTTAGAAACATTCATATTACGCAATAGAGACATCTGTCAATCGCTCAGCTTTTTCTAGTTAAAGATAGAAAGTCATGAGAATCTTCCCTTTTCTGTTTCATGAATTTCCTTCATATATAATCGAGGGTGCCATGAACCACAAGAATGAGAGAGAAAGAGAGAGAGAGGGAGAAAGAGAAATGGAAAGCGATATGTCATGTCATTCCTTTTTCTCCCTCTCATACTTGTCCGTTTCATAGATGGAAACAAGCAGATAAGGTTGTAGATCAATTCTACATCCGGATTTTCAGTCGATCCACTCTACAACTAAACTGTTTCCTTAGCTTCAATTGAAATTTCAAACATTTCTTCTCACTGTGAACCAAAGCTCACCCCAGAAATAGTTTTTATGATCTGCATTTCGCAAAAAAAAGCCTTTGAAGTTAAAGCAATGAAAATGAAGCCCAAGCAACAAACTTAAAAGTGTAATGCGAAAAAGGTATAATGATAACAAGTGAGAAGGAGAGAGAGAAAAGAAAAAACAACCGTTCTCTACGTTCGCTCTAATGCCAATTGCAACCTAGACTTGAACGGTTTTCCACGTGTAATACACGTGAAGGCGCGCGAAAATGATTCATTCAAAAAGTTTTCTTTCTCATATTCTTCGCTTTCATCCTTCTTGATCTACTTCTATAGAAATATATAACAATTCCAAACTATCATATTTTGACCTAGCTATTCTCATATTCTATAAATTGTTGTTGTTGTTTCATTGAAATACGAAAGATTTCCAACTTTGACATCTTCATTCATTCGTTTCAATGGATATGGTTAATATTCAATAATTATATGGATGAATGAAGGAGGAAGAGGAATAGACTTGTTTTTCGAAAGTATTGTTCATCTGAAACTGTTGCACTGGTCAACCAGCCAAACCCAGCTGTTCTCGAAATAAAAAACTATTGAGACAGGTGGTTCGAAGCAAAAACTCTTTCTCTATTTCAAAAAAATTGATGTTTTGCTTGACAATAATGATATTATTAGTCTGGCATAATCAAGCCATTTTTCAATCTTTCGCCATTCAAATAATAGCTGATAATCTTATTTACATCAGAAAAACAGTAATCTGAGACATATGAAAATCTAATTAATATACAATTGGCACGGACCTTACCATATGACAGTTTCTCTATCTTTCTACTCTCATTCTCTATAATAGTCTCTACTTTTTACTTGTCTGCCTCAAGTCATTGGAGCAGATTTCAGTTGATCCGTTTGTGATCGATTTTAAATATTCTTCTTTTCTTATTTTTTGGCTCATTCTCTTATTTCTCACTACTCTTTCCATTTTTACAAATGAATGCACTTCCAATCAATTAGCATAAGCAGAAGCTATTGTTGATATAGCTAGTTAACCTCAAAGCCCATTGGTCAGTCAGTCAATCATCGATCATAACCTGATGCTTAGCTGTCCCGTCAACAAACTTTTTTTACAATTTTCTCGTAAAACTGCTTCTGTTTATGTGAAAGAAAGAAAATGATTCTCAAGTCTATCAAGAAATAAAAATAGAAAGTTTTCTCATACTCATTTGTATAATAATGACGTCACACAACAGAAGTTGCAAACAGACTCAAGAGGTATATTGGACCTGCCAATAGTTTAATGGCCCGATATATATCTAGTAAAATCAGTAAATGTCATCATTATCCTTTTGTAGAACAGCTTGAGAATATTCTCTCTCTTCCCCCTCTCTCTCTCCTTGCCTCACTTCTCTCTCTGTTCTTACCATTAAGAACCGTCAAGTATGCCAGATGTAAACCATATTTGCCAGTCATCATCCGTATATTTTCTTTCATTTTCCTTCTGTCTATTCAAAGTAATAACTCTTCTCATGACAATTCAATTCGTTTTCAAGAAAACTAGCCGGAAACATAAATAATGATTCATCTTCAGTCATTTTTGACTCTCTCTCTCTCTTTTCCTTTCACGGTAGTTCAGCTTCTACCTTCCGAATATTTTTTTCTTTCTAGCCTCCTTTTCTTTTCTTCGCAGTTGTGGCTTGGCCAATTATCAATGAGAACATCCAAAATTTTCTCCTTCGCTCATATTTTTCAAAGGATTGTTGTGGCAATTGACACTTTCCTTTTCGAAGCCTTCACCTTTTCACATAATCGTCTAAGAAAACTACATTTTCTCTTCCTAATTTCTCTCTCTTTAATTTTATTCATCCTCATCTCATTCCTCCTCCTCCTCTCTCTCAAATTGCGCTTCTCTTTCTCTCTTCTCCTCGTAACAATCTCATTTATTTCATTTTTCTCATTTCATTTCGATCGTTATGGCTATTTCATGCATATAGTTCTCCGACAAAGCTTAGCTCAACCATCCCGACGTATTACTCACTAAATAGTCAAATGAAACATTACTTTTTCGCTCCTCGCTTTTCTCTCCTCCTCCGTCCATTTCCACAAACAACAATTCTTTCATCCATTTTTTTGAGATTCAACAAAATCATTTAAATTACTAGAGTAAACAAAAATATATTCAATAAGATAAGATTATCGCAACAATTTGAAATATCTTTGTCTTTGGGATCTTTCGCGCACAAAAAAATGTTTTCTTAAAGTTTGAACCTCTCAAAAATCATTTCATCTTCAAAATTTTGATGATAAATTGGCTTGCACTCATGGCTGTCAGTTGAGCAATCGATTCTAAACTACAAATCGAAGAAGATTTTTCCTTTGTTTACGAATTCGACAATTTCATCTTCTCTTTTTTCCGATATAAAATTAGAATACGCAAATGTACGTGAACTTCAGACGGACAGTGGCAGCAACATGTTAGCTTTCATTTTAAGTTTGTCAAGCAAACGAACGGTTGTAGTCTCAACGATTTCTTCTGATTTTCATCTTCCTCGCACTATATTTTCTTTTTTTTTCACAAAACAAAGGCCATCCCAACTATAATTTAAGAACAAAACTCTCATTGTTTCTTACAAACTAATAAAATTCATTGCCAAAATTTGCATTTCAGCATGGACCTTTTAGACTTTTGTCGTCTTATGTCAGTCACATCCTTCCCTCTAACCACCCGGGTTTTGAGCACTAATGACTAATGTCATCCAAATTGGCCCCTCTCTCCATCCCATTTGCCTTTAGGACATAACTAACTCTATATTCTAACAGCTTTATCGTCTTAACTCTCTAATTTACATGAGAATTACGCTCACACATTGTCTCATATTCTTAACATCACCTAAAGATTGAGTCCAGTCCAATGCTAATCTAATCAACGCCTCAGAGCTTTTTCTTCTTTTCATTCACCAATCTTTTCTTGTCTTGTAGAAGACAAAAAAAACTGAAATAGAATTTCGAACGAAATCGTCTCGAAACAAAAAAAGACGAGCGAAAATGGAGTAATAATTTGTCACTTTTCTCTCATAAACAATTCTCTTTCTCTCGTCTGATTATTGTTTTCACAATTGATTGATCAATAAGAGAAAAGAAATAAAGAGCATTCTCGTTTTCCTCCATCTTTTTCTTAATGTTTCTATCAAATGTCCTCGCCGCATCCGAATGCTCTCATCAATTGACTTCCTATCTCTTATACATTTTTTTCTTTATTTTGTCTTTTGTGTCTTTTATATCACACCATTAAAAGAAGTCCGAATGACGGCAACAACGATTGTGTTACCAGTTATGGTGACGATGATGACAGGATTAAGTTACCGTCCTCTTCATCGTCGTCGCCATCGAAGCGCTACATCTGCTCGTCAGGCTTCTGTCTCGACATCTCCAACTTCCTCATCATCTCACTCATCTAGCTCATACTCACGTCATTCACAACCAGTAAATTATGATTTAACTTCTCCCGTGACATATTCAGTTCCTATAATTCGTTTACGACGTCCTTATTGGACGAAAAGTCTCCAAAACGTACAGAAGGTACTGAAAGCAACTAATACTTTGTCTAAACTAATTCTCTGTTGCATTCGCTGTTGCTTCTTGAATCGCTCATTCATCAAAACGTTTAGTTAGTTCTGCCTTTTATAGGATAATGGAATGAGTGAGGAAGATCATTACGATACGCCGTGGGAATTCTTGGCCCGGCCGACTTCGGTTAGACTATCCTCAGCGGACATACGCTATTCAATTAGTCCCAAAAATAGTGAATAAACAATTCAACAAATAATGTCTCAATTTGCTATTTCAGGGGATAATTTGACTAAATCGCCTTCAATCACAAGCCAACTTGCCCATATTAATAACTCACCACCTATCGATGATCCAAAACGACATTCTTTAAGAGAACGTGTTACAAAAATTGAACATCATCATCCTCTTCATCAGCAACAACAACATTATCGTCGACGTGATGGAGAAGATTACATTTTGGAAAAAAATGTCGATAGGGTCGAAGCAGAAAAACGCTTAGAGGCACGAGCTACAGGAGATTTCCTATTAAGGTTAGTACAAAAAAGTTCTCACCTTAGAATAGAGAAAAAACATTCTATTTTAGTAATTAGAAAAGGAATTGAAAACAACCGTTTGCAAGTCAGGGTGAGAGGAATGAGTGATGTAATTCTTTTTTGAGTGAAAAAGCGCGCGGAGTGGACCAAATTAGTAACAGCAAACCGTTGGCGTTGAAATTCCCGAAAACAGAAGTGTGAAAAAGAGAATTCAAAAAAGATATGAACATATGCTGAACATTTCGCAAAAGATGAAAGAGATAAGCATTAAAAGAAAGTTAAATTTGGTAATAAAGTGGAGATCAGTTAGTTCACGAAACATTGAAAAGAACAGACGAAGCAGACGAGAAATAACTGAACGAAGGTTTTTGATTCCACAAACAAGAAAAGATAAAAAGATTATTTTGCGTTTCAAAAGATAAAGTGTCGTCATATGAGGAAAATAGTTTGATAAGTCAAAAGTGAAGATTAGGCACGAATATGAGAATCAAGAACACAGAATAACAAATAAATCACAAACATCTAAAGAACTTAATAAAGTTTGAGCGTTGCTAAATCGAAATTACGATTTATCACGGAAGCAGGATGCGCTTGATGGACGCTATCTACAATTTGAATGAAATGTTCTTCCTTTTCTTAGAAATTATCAATATTTTATCGCTCCATGCGTGGACCGTATGATTTCTTACAAATTTTCTTTTCAGGCTTCGTGGCGAAGACAGTGCAGCTTTATCATTACGAGGTTCAGCCGGAATTTTGCATATTAAACTTGAGCGACGAGGCGAAAAATGGATTATTGGCGATGGTCCATGTTTTAGATCAATCACATCTGCTATTAATTACTATCAACGCCATCCTCTGCCTATCAGAGGAGCTGATCATCTCTTGCTCAGACAACCAGTTTCAAGTGTTATAAGATTCTAAGAACTGTAAAGAACTCTCTCACGGGGGATCGCTCTTTAGCCAACTCAATCATATAGGGAGTAGTAATTCGAGAATTTTAAGCTAAAGTCCCAAACATTTTTGATGTCCGGTTGTTACGTTATAAGCATTTTATGACAAATGTACATACTAATAAATGAAAATAAACATTAAATTGAAAAAGAGAAAATGATGACAAATGCGAGAAGAATGACCGTCTGACACGAATAGCTAACTAATCAACGTCGTTAGTAGCATCAATATTAACATGTAAACATGAATATCGAGCTGTCTCAGGAAATCCTATTTATATAGTGATTTTCCTCTTATCTATGACTAGGTAGCTTTTGTGTGCTCCGTTATGACGGATGAAAGTAATTATTGGAAGCAATTCATGACACGTGTGATTTTTAGAAGCATTGATTACGTACGGCGTGTTATGATCGTTTCAATGAATCAAAGATACCAGACTAGTGCAACATGTACAGATATACTGAGATAACATCAGCCATTCTCCTCTAGATCTTTGAAGATATATTATCAAAAAGTTGCAGTTAGGTTTTACAATACGATTTCAAATACAAATTTGCATATTTGACTTGCTGAATACGTACGTGCCCGCAATCATTTAACGTTCATTTTCATCATGACCACAAGTATGATTCGGTTGCTTGTAAAACTTCCAAAATCAATCTCTGATCATTTCTCTTGCAGAGTATATACCACCCCGGATAGTTTCGAATCCCACAAGAACACAGACTTTGACTTTTTTTTTAAATCAGAAGTCTAGTGTTCCTAAGATTAAGAAAACTAAAGATCAACGAGATGAGAACGTAGTACTAATTTCTTGAAGATGTTCATATATCCCCCCCCTCGATTCTACTGACAACAACTAAGAGAACAGATCATTGAGAACCAAAAAAAAAACCTTGTTACGGTCCTCTACTGAACACAGTTAGCCTGAATGAGAATATTTCATACGCAAGTACGTGATATGTCGTTCTTGTTTATTTATTCCTGATTTTTTCAAATCATATAAGGAAACATGACGGAGAAGCTGAAAGATTCACGTTTGAAGGATAAATTTATAAAGCATCTACCTTTCCTGACGCGACCCGTAACTCACAAAGGTTTTTGATTCAAAAAGTCTATGCCATTAACATCTTTAAATTGCAGAAGATTGGTTTTTCGCATGCTTATTCGGTGCTCTGCATGCACTAATTGTTACTTTAATTTATCACCATGTTCCTGAACCATATATGGATGAGATATTTCATATTGGTCAAACCCGAAGATATTGTGAAGGGAACTATACGTATGTTCTTTCATTGAACGACAATGAACTTTAATTTCAGTTGGGATCCAATGATTACAACTCCTCCTGCTTTATATGTCTTAGCAGTACCTTTCTGTAATGGCTATGAACGATACGTTAATTCTCTGCTGTACATACTATTGTTTGTGTACGCCAGCAGGTGAATTATTTGAAATATTCAGCCCTATGTATGCGCATTTACAGATTCCGCCGAATGTTCTTGAAAGATAATGTCTCAAGCACTGTTATGGCAGTGGTACTTCTTCCCGTTCTTCTTCATTCTTCAGTTCTGTTTTACACGGATCTTCTATCTTTAGTCTTCGTTGTTGCGGGCTTCTCAATCCATTCCCGATTTTTCGCTTCAATAGCATTCCTTCTTGCCTGCTTCACAAGACAAACGAATATTGTATGGGCTGGATTATATGCTTTAGTTCGCATATATCACCACTTCGATTCAAGGAGTCCAGTGCGTTCCTTTTTACGATCAGTTTTTAAGCTTTGGTCATTCGTTGTTCTTGCTCTACTTTTTTTGGCTTTTGTATATATCAACAAGGGCATAGTGTTAGGAGACCCTTCTGCTCATGAACCAAAGTTACACTTTGCTCAATTTTTTTATTTCTTATTATTCTGTGCGCTTCATGCTTGGCCCAATGTATTCCGAAATCTCAGTGGGTTACTGCAGGAATCCATGAAACCTTTAGCTCTGTTGTCTTTGGGAGTTATAGTACCCGTGATCAATTACTTCTCATTCGATCATCCTTACTTGTTAGCTGACAATCGACATGTTCCATTTTATTTATGGCGTTGGTGGTTGAGTAATCCTTTGAAAAGGATCGCCCTTGCTCCCGTCTACATGATATCCTTTGTTTTCCTTCAAAGATTGTCTTCCCATATACCGTTACTGGTTAGAGTTTTATTTTGCTTGTGTACATTGGCAGTTGTAGTGCCGGCTCACCTAATCGAACCTCGATACTTTATAATCCCATATACTCTTTGGAGATTGTCTGCAAGATCTCTGAAACCGTTATCAGTCATCGAAGTTTTAAGTCAACTCTTTGTGTTCGCAAGCTTACTGTACTTGTTCATTTTCAAACCTTTCGAATGGTCTCATACTCCAGGTGTAAAGCAAAGATTCATGTGGTAAAAAACTTATTATTTAATAAAAAATTATTTAAGTATGAAATGTTGAAAAGAAAAAGGCATTAATTGGCATAAAAGGCAAGGTACGTGAGCAGAAGGTAGCACCGATCTTGCAACTCTATCACTGTTATTAGCAATTTAGTAAAGTGAAATCTATGGTGAGGACAATATGCAGAATTAAAGCTTATTCTGCCTAAGTTAATGGCATCATATGTAAAATGTCAGACCCATTCATCACAATATTATGCTTCTAATTGACCGCATAAGAGACAAGAAACTGATGGCAAACTATGGCAAAACAAATAACGATAAATACAATATGCAGTATAGATTAGTTGTCTGCTATCACAGAAAGTTTAATAAGGTAGTGAAAAAAAAACTTAAGTATAGGTCGAGATTTGATCGACCAATGTGTCGATTGAAGCTAAACTTGCAGCTTTAGATCCAAAGCACATATTTCTTTGAGCTTCAGGCATAGAATCAGGGCAGTGGATAGGATGGTAGATATGAACCAATCCTGGTTCAGGAGATCGAATTATTCGGAGCGAACCATTTTTAACAACCTATATAGGAGTACTTTTTATGAAAAAAATATATGCGAAGGCATACCTTCTCGAACAGGTCAACATCTTCTAGACCCCATCCTTCAATCTTAGTGTCAAAGCCTCCAACTCCGATTAGGTCGGCCTAGAGAGAAATCAAAAATATGAGCAACAGATATATAACAAAACCTTATAAAGAGCAGCTAATCCATATCCAAAATGACGGAAATACCCTCTTCTTCGCCCATAATGGAAAGCATCAGCCAGAAGCCTATCATTCTCGGACCAACTCTCCGGAGAGAATTCAGAAAATACAATCGGGAAGTAAACCTTAGAAAAATAGTATTGAATATTATGATGAAGTTTTCTAACCTGTGCATTAAGAATAGTGTTCAACTTTATTCTTTTAAGAGCATCACATGTGAACAGCATATCAACATCCATGAAGAACAACAACCCATCATCAGGTACCTGAAAATATTAGTTAGCGATGAAGTAGAGCTTTTCTGCCTCACCATTTCGGCTCCTTTCATCAAAGCAACTCCTCGACTGAATGGGCTATCATTCATTTCAATCACTTGAACAGGAATGTGACTACGAATCAAGTCATTAATTGTGACTCTAAAAACTTTTCTTAAAAAGTGTGAAGAAATACTACGAACCTGTTGGCCTTCTCTTCATCACTGTTGTAGAAAACTATGACCAGAGATAGATCACCTGCTTTCCCACAAACATTCTTCAGATGAGTAGCAAATCTGAAATTTTATGGATGAAACCATAAAATACCCACAAAACAAACCTGTTGAATATTTCAGCTCTGCCTTTCAGAGGTAAAATAAGATGAATGTGACTGTTTTCAGTTGTATAATTGCTAGTAGCACGTAAGTTAGCTCTATAACAAATAAAAATACAACATCAAAACAAATAAAATGGTAAAAAACCTTATCTTCGATTCAGATTTAGTTTGTATGGGAGCGAAAGTTTGTTGTACATAAGCATGTCGTCTAACAGACAGAGTCGTTCTATGTGGCGGACGGAACTTTTTGAACCTTCAAAACATGATCATCCATTTACGATCTTGGCTGTTTCTCGTACCATAAAATCATATCCAATACATAGTCCACTCCATACTGTGGTTCCACTCGCAGATATCCATATTGGAGAGATTGAAATTGTAGGACACGACCCCGCTGTCGGGCATTGGTATTCAACTCATCAAACAACTGGGAAACATACATAAAAGAATATTTGAAAAAAATACCTGCGTGATTATCTCTCCCATTTCAGTTCTGATACTCAATTCCACTGTATGTCGAGGACAATTAACTCGTCCGGAACAGAAAATTATTTTATTATTATTGATGAATTCGAAAGGTGTTAAATCCTTCGAGCTACAAGATAACTGTTATGAAAAGATCACCAAGCGATAGAAATACCTGTTGGGCATTGAGCGGCTTAATGTGGGTGGTCGAGCACTGCTTAATTCCGAGTTCAAAGTAGCTCTTGTAGATCTCAAAGACTGTAATTTGAACGCCCTGTTGAAAGCATGAACTCTCTTCATGACGTAAGGATCTTTAATGGGATGAACTGTGATGGCAGCTTTGACTTCAGACAAATCTCCTTGGTAAGGCTAAACAAACAACTGTCATCTCGAATCAAGAACGTATGAAATACCTGTTGAACCGATTGGTTGTTATGGAAAAGCTTCTGCATTTCATAGTTCCATGTGCAAGCAACTCCAACGTGTTTTCTAATACATCTTCCTAGCTCAACATCCTCATGGCTTGTTAACATATGTTGAAGGCAATCTTCCAAATTCGGTGATAGCATTCTAAAGCATTTGTAAGTCTATTATTCATATATTTGAGCAACCTCAATGCTTCCTGACTAAGAACGACCCCTGGTCCTCCCATACAGTAATTATCTGTAGAGCCCAAAGACAAAGTTCCATATTCGGCACTGTTGCCCAGACCAGCTTGGCCTATGACTTGTGGCCTTAATATGAAATAATGTTTGCAAGTAATATCAATCATACTTTGAAGAGTCTAGAGAATGCAAAATAGAGGCCAATTCCTCTCCCCTAATGTATAAATCGTCATCAGCTCGTAAGAACCAATCATATTCCTCCAACTATAAACAGAACGAAATCGAGATGAAAGAGCATAAACAAGACAACATACGTAATTCTCAGCCATCCATTTAACCATGGCAAAACTTTTCTTTTGAGGAGGATATGCATCGTCAACTCCTTTCAAACGAATTAACGGTAAGTCAGGGTGTATGGAATATGTATCTTCGGCAACAAAAAATAAAACCTTAATAGAGATGATTCATGATAAATTAGAAAAAGGATATATACTTTGCCGGGAATATGTTGAGCCCATGTTTTCCACACATTGTACGCTCTTGTATCTACATATTTGGCGGCCTATCGAGCAAATATTAGAGAGACCTTATTAGGCAATCAAACCGTCATTATCCCAATCATAACTAATCCTCTTTCCTTTGGAAATGCTCGTAATGCTTCACATTTCACATCAAATTGTTGGATTGAAGGAGACAAGGACCACCTAAAAACGTGTCAAGGTAAAACAGAAGCCCAAAGTCAAATTTACATTATCCCACATCCTATTAAAAAGCCCGTCAACGAAAGAAGGAAAGGTCGGGAGAGCGGCATTTTCTGGAAAACAAAAAAAGGAAATTAAAAAAAAACTTAAAAAATACCCCTCGTGTTCTCATATCACTGAAATAAAACTAAAATAGGCAAGTAAGGCACTGTAGTTTGAGTTAACGGTACAACTTCAGAATAACATGTAGTAAGATAATAAAAAACCCGTGGATTGCCAGACTAAATGAGTGTAAAAATCTGTACAAGTAAAAAATAGGCAAGAAAACAGTAATTTGTACAATAAAACGTTAAAGTTACATGAAGACTGGGAGAAGGAAGTGCATAGGTGTGAAAGACAAAGTATAAAACTCAAGAGACACCAGGAGGTGAGGAGAGGCAGAATGCTCTGAGGCAACAAAACGATTCGTAAAGGTCACATAATAACAAAAAGGGGAGAATCAGAAGACAGAGCAAAGTACTGTTTAATAGGAACAATTGTCCCTGACCAAGCATGCGTCGAACACCAACAAACGGACAATTCAAACACAAAGGAATCAGACATGCTCACGGAATCTTTAAAAGGTCACTAACCCAATATATTAAGACCAGACTTTCAAGCAGTTACAGAAGCACATAAGATCAGATTCAGAAGTTTTCAAGAGAATATGTCACCATTAGGAAATACAGGACGAGAGATGGAACCTTTCAAGTTTTGTATAACTGACGCACGTGGAAGACACCATCCTGAAATTGTTTATTGGCGCAAACTTCGTTAGACGTCAATTTCGTGTCTCATAGTTAATGTCGATATACTGTATTTTTTGTATTTTTAAGGCTTAAGCTAATTCGTTACATTAACTCATACAGAATGCAATATCACCAAAAACCCCTTATGCAATATTCTCGTTGAAAATGCGAAATCTTTTCGAAGAAATATTTTTAGATGAATAATGCTTCCACCTCGAAAGACGTGGTCGCTTTCGAAGCTTTACATAATCATGATGAAAACGGGTATCGAAATGTATGTTTAAGAAAAAATAAACTTAATTTTGATCAGTGCACCATTTAGAATAATGGCATAGTCGATGTGAATTTACTTAAAAAGCAGAATGCCCTCGAGGCTGTACGTATAGGTTTAAAAGAATTGAAAGTTCGAAAATATCCCGAAAACAAACTGAAAATCAAACTTTCTTATCGTGGCGAGAAGAGATGTGTTATGGTCCATCGTCCTGCTCGATTTCAATCATTAGAAGAACATGTCAAGAAAACATTTCAAATGAACTTAGCAATTTATTACAAGCCCGATGTGGATAGTGTGTTAGTATGTCTTAGAACTCAGGAAGATTTAGATAATGCTATTAAGGTAAACTAATTATTCAATAAAATCCTTTTGAATGGAATTTAGGATATTGATTGCAAAAAGCTGACGTCATTGCATCTAGTTTTATCACAACAGAGTAGTACGGAATCTAATAGGAATCTATCAAAACCGAATACGTCGCCAACTTTCATTACTAATATCGTTGAAGTTTGTTCGTTTATGGGAAAGTTTTTGTGAACCTATTCTGTAGGTTCCTTTTTCGGAAACGTGTTCCTTATGTAGTGCAGTTAAACAATCCTCAGGTTATAGTGCAAGTGAGTTATGAATTGTTTTCTGTTCAAGAACTTTTTTTAGTTCGCAAGAAGATTTCAATTTTGTAAATCGATAGAAGCAAATAGAGGACATATTGATTCTTTGAATTATTTTAGCGAATGGCTCATTAGGTGGACCTAGTGGTTCTCAAATAAATTCTGATGATGATGTACTCTTAAAAGCTCCGTTTAGATGGAAGAAAGGAAGGTATGTCTTAGATTACTCTCTCATTTAAACCTTCTTTTCCAATTATTCAGAGAAATAGGAAAAGGCGCTTATGGAAGCGTGTATATAGCTCATGATGTAGATACTGGTAGAGATTTAGCAGTAAAAGTGATCCCATCAATTCCTTTGAATCGTGAGGTAGCTGATCCGGCAAAAAGTTTGGAATGTGATGTCAAACAATTAGGTGAGTCGATCCTTCTCTTGTATAACTGATTCATTCCATTCAAGCGGAACTCGGACATTCTCGAATTGTAAAATATCTGGGTGTTGAGCATAAGGTACACGAGATATTTATTTTTATGGAGTATATGCCTGGTGGTTCTGTAAAAGACCTGATAGCCATAGAAGGAGAGCTCAATGAGAATGTCGCCTTGCGTTATACTCGACAAGTAAACATTTGAAGTTTCGTTTGAGTTGAAAGCCAAATTTGTTAGATTTTGCAAGGATTAGCCTATTTGCACAGCAAGAAAATAGTGCACAGGGACATCAAACCTGCAAACATACTGCGAGATATCAACGGGAACGTCAAAATAGGAGACTTAGGGACTAGCAAAAAGGTTCAAGCAGCGTTATTAAATGGTAAAGCTAATGAAGGTATGGTAGGAACAGTATTATATATAGCACCAGAGGTAAGACAGACTGTATGAATTGAGTATAAAACTTTTTTCAAGGTATTAAAAGGAGTTTCCACGTACGGAAGTGAAACTGACATTTGGAGTATGGGTATAACTTTAATCGAAATGTTGACGGGCAAAGCACCTTGGGCCGGCTTGGAGTCAATGGAAACTATGAACAAGATAGTTTATGAAGAAACTCCTTTAGATGTGAGTTCCTCTTAGCTCATAGCCCACTTCTGAATATTTTTTCTAGTTTTGTGAAAACAAAGACATTTTGTCTTTGTTGAAACAAGTTTTAACCAAATCACCTATGGATAGGCCGACAGCTGATGAAATTTTATCGAATCATCCGCTTTTTAAGTGATAATTCTTTACGAGTTTGTATATAAAAAAATTAATAAGAGAATTCTTAGGGTATCATGAACGTTACGTGTAAACTTATATTTCACTTCGAAAAAAGGTTTTTCTTTGTCGAATTCTGATTTAATCGGTGATTTGCCGCGCCCGTACATGTTTTTTTGTAAACTGTTCAGCCTTCAACCTTTGTTTCCTTTTAGGAATTATGTTGGGAACTCTTCGAGATGCACTTGCCAACGTTCAAAATGAGATTGCTATCGGGTATGATTTGAATGAAAAAAGTTTTTCTCGATCACAAGATATTTCAACAAACTGTCTCAATCAAGTTTACATAAAACCATTCCAGAGTAGAGAGGATTCGTAGTAATGTGGCGCCATCAGCTCTGACGATTCAACAAAAGTAAGTAAGGGGAGGGTTTTCGAGTTGAGCCTTTTGCGGAATTTACATAAATACTCAAATATGGGCAGTGAAATATGTCATTATTATGAAATAATGTTCAACTGGCGATTCACTCAGCCCACATTAGAACAGTTTGTTTTATCTTTTCTTTATCATTTTATGTATAATCGAAGAATTTTAGATGCGTAGAAGAAGCTGTTGACGACATCATCAAAACTACTGCTGGGGGAGAGCTATTGCTCAAGTGAGTCGAAGTTTGAGAAAAAAAAATGAAGAAAGAATGAAAATGCGTAGGCGACTCTGTCATCGCAGCAAAACTTGTGTAAACCGTTCATAATCAACAAATCTGCAGAAGATTTTTGCAGATGAAATGTTTCGGTTTACTAAGGAATTTAGAAAGGAAAGTGAGTGTCACAGATTTCGAATATGAAGAATAGACATAAAGAGAGAAAGCAATAGATGAAGAAGCGGGAAGAATGTCTTCAAAAGGACGTTAAAAAGCGAATTCGAAGCAATTTATCAAACTAGTTTACACGTGCTCCACCTGGCACGTTGAGGGTACGATCACACTATTTTCGATTTCTCAAAAGTAACAATCACCTCATCTTCCACTTTGCCATGTTTCATGTTCTAATCAAGTAACAATAATAGTCTACGCCGTTTTGTTGTGGCACCCTCTTACCCTCACATTCCTTCGTTTCATTATGGGTCAAACGGAGTATTCTGACGACGTAGACGACATATGGTTTATTGTCCATCCAAGTACTCCCAACACATTCATAAGAACCATAAATCGGAGGAAATGATTCAGAGTTCATTATCTCTGTATAATTTATTTCTTTCCTCTTCTATTTTCACTCCGAATAAGTCTTCTTCTCTCCTAGACAGGCTTTGAACTCGATTTGAGATGAATAAGAAAAATCAATGTTTAAGCTAATTTTCGTTGTTAAAAGTAAAAACACATGAAGTACGTTACCGAAACAGGTTTTCAAGAGGATTTTAGTGAAAATAAAATGAAGAAGCAAATAGTTTCTCTTTTAATATAAGCAATTATAGAATTCTTTCATTTCCAATTGCAGATTCCAATGTAATTTGCAAGAGATGCGCGAAAAAGCTGATGAGGGAGCACGACTAGCTAACTTGTGCAGTACTCGTATGGGCAGAGCACAACAAGTGAAGACAGATCTCTGAGAGAAACATTAAACATATTCAATTTTAAGATGTGCAAAGAACGAGCGGATGCTGTGCTTTCGATTGACTCATTTTTGCGTAATCCATATGATATTGACAAACAACTTCGTGATTTACACAAACAAGTGAGATATTTGAAATAACTTTTACGAATGAATCATTCCGTCCCTTGCATGTTCCTGCGAAGTTACGTGTTCAACTTTTCCCAATCCTACCAAATTGTTTCCTTGAAGACTCTAATTATCTCGAATCTTTGTAGGTGGATAAATTACAGCGGTTTTGCAACCAGACGGAACAAGCGTTGACTCATTTAGAAGGTCTCCAGATTGTTGCTCAAACGGAAGAAGAGGTTTGTCTGCTTAAGTTATTCTTGTCTAAGTTTAAGTTGTTCAGGTTGAACTCATTCGTCAACAGGCACGAACTGCGTCTACGATAATCATTATGGACTCAGGACCAGCAACTATTTTAACAGGTAAACCCATTTTGTACTTTGTCTTCTTCAAGATATTCATAACTATAGCTCCAACAAGGCCTGACGATGAAGTAAAACAGAAACAGGAAGAAGTAATGTTGGAAGAATTTTTATCCACACAGAGCTAATTGACCGAACTTCTCCAAATAGAAGTTTACATTAACTATTTATTTGAACTTCGGAAGAAGTTAATTAATTTTATGAAAACTATGTGTTTGTATAATTCTAGTCCATGACAGTTCAAAACACTTGAAACTCAATTTTTATCTATTCTTTGGATTAATTCATTTTAAATTATTCATGTCTCATTATAAATTAGACATACAATTCACTTCAGAACGCTTTGTAAACGAAGAATAAATAACATATTTGCTTAAATCTTATAATGCCTCCAATCAATTTATCCCAGAGATATATAACACCGCGACTCATTTTAATGAATAATTTCCGACACGACGAATTTGTAAAAAGAAAACAACTTAGAAACTTCTTATCACTAAATATGGTTTGCCATAAATATAATTTAATATTTCAATATGCTATTTTCTGACATCTCTCTTACGTGATCAATGACGTCTCTTTGATCCCACGTATTACTCTCAGGAACAGCCGATCCTATAATTTCTATATTTAAAAATGGAAGTTCAGCTTTTAAAAAGGCAGTTGCGCGCGTAAAATTTCATTTTGTTTTGTGATTACGGGACGCACGGTCGGTCATGCATATTGTTACAGCGGAAGTTCGTAAGTTTTTTCTTTTCTTTTAAATATTTCGTTTCCTATTCATATGCTCATCTTTCGACTCCATTTCTTTCTCATATTCTCGTTCGTTATCGCATGGTTCTCTCATAAGTTCAGCTATTGTTCATTTATAGAGCAAGTGAGCATTAGCAAAAGGATGAATTCATATGATAAATTACTGCATTATTCGTTGATCTCCAAAATCTAATGAATATATGGTGAGACGATAGTGAAACGCGGCATTTGCGGTCTGGTGCGAGAATAGAGGGGAAAGGGGTGGAATTGCCAAGTAAGAACTGCTGCTAGATGTAGTTGACCTGTCTGTAGGCAATTGGTCAGCCATATGGCGCTTCCACTTAGATTCCTCCCTACTTGGTCATTCTAGATTTTTTACGATTCTGTGGATAGAACTGATATTTTTCTCTCTCTCTCTCTCGCTGCTTATGTCATCCCACCGAGCTTGTCATTAGAATTGCTTTCATTTTAATGGCATTGGGAATAACGTTTTATGCATATTCGCATTGTTATAACTTTGGATCTTTCCGCTAGTCTTCTTTCTGTTTCGTTCACTTGTTGCATAAGTTGCCAGCGAAAGTCCATTATATCTTATAAACTAACTCGTTCTTCATTTCGCATAATCTCTGTTCTATTGAATAGTTGTCTTTTCTTCTTTTGTATTCGATGCTTCTGCCTTATTCTTTCTAAAATTCACTTGAAACACAGTGGTTCGTCTTTTTCATCAAATTTATTAGCTTCTTGAAGTGTTCATGGATCAAGTTATATTAGTTTGTATTATTTTGAAAATGAGAAAGAAAAAAGAAAAGTTTCTCTAAATTGTGTAAACGTAAAGTCTTAAAAATCATTTTGTTAGTGCAAATAATATGAGAAGAGGGTGGATATCGTTAACAAGTAACATAAGTAACGAAGAACTTACAGAATAAGAAGTAAAGAAATAGATTCATGTTCTAAGGACTCTGCGTCTCTAATGCTTAGAATCTGTCTGTCTGCTTCCAAGTTTCCAGTATTTGGACCCTCTTCTCCCAACAAGCCCTTTTTTCTTTTATTCTTCTTCATTCTTTTTCATCCAAATTTTCCTCATTTTCCATCGGCTTTCATCAGTTTCTGTGAAATTTTCACTTTTTCTCGGTCAGCTGTTTATGTCTAATGTTTTGAGAACATTTTGTTTCTTCGAGTTCTGCCTAACATGGGAATGGCATACCCTCCAAGAAGTTCAAAAATATATGGGCTTCCGTTGTGTATCTAATGAAATTCATTGCTTATATGCAAGATTTCAAACTTCAAAGATGTTGGTTAAGAGTGAGGATTTGGCGGTTTCAGCACGCTCGGCTTGATTTTAAGCTTTTTTTTTCAGTAAAACCAATAACGTCTTGCCTTCTCTTTTTCTCATAATTCGTTCAATACATCATCTGCATCATTTTATGTTTGGTGTCAGTGAGCAACGTGATATGACTTTCATTTTTTTTCGTTTTCTTCTAAGCTCATTTTTTGAATTTTGTTGCAAGTGTGACTGAGTCATGATCGACATCTAATCTGTTAAGTTAATATTTTGGGGTCATTAATAGGTTTGGCTCATCACTCTTTACTATTTGCTTTACTAGATAGTTGAATCACTCGAAACAGCTGAAGCTGGCATCAGGACATTCCAACTCCATTTTTTCTCGTCTTTGATGCTCTCGTCTTTGTTTCAGTTGGATGCAATTGATTTTTCATTCATGCACTAATCCAGTTTTCTGGCTTATTATTCAGCTTTTGTTTTTTAGCTCTTATTTTTTTGCTTCAAACATTTATTTATGTTTTGCTGAATGTTTTATCTTTGTACAAGTTTTTGTATGACGATTTGAGCAGTTGGCACCCTGATTAGATTTTTTTCCTTTTTTTTTTCTTCCTTTCCTTCCTCGAATTTCTGACTTGTGTGTTGTGCTGTTGCTAATTTACGCACATGGGATGCGCTAAGCAGCCACTTCATGGTGTTTTTAGTGTGTGAAACAGTGTGCTCTAACGAACAAGTTAGTGATGTTTAGACGAATATCATCTATTATGGCATTGAGAGGGAATTGCTTATGTTTTACATAACTCCGACACATCATATGTCAGTGTAACTTAAGATAGACATTTCAGCCATTTTTTTTCTTTTTGCTTTGTTTTTTATTGTTTAAAAATGGCTTGTTTTTTGATTCTTCCCTTTAGCTGCTGTGCTATGTTAGGCTCTCCTCATACTAGATTTTTCTTTCTTTCTCGTCAAAAATGAGAATGGCATGCGATTTCACCAAATCATCTGGAAAATATGTTTATCAATGGGTCTTCTGCATTTTTTTGCCTTGAAGTTGAAGTTTCTTAGGAAATGAAGAGGATGTTGAATAGCTCGTTCGAAAATTAGGTTCAGCATGTGTATTCTTCTTTGTTTAGCTATTTTTCCGTTTTATTTGGTAAAATCTTCGTTGTATTTTTTCTTATTGACTATTAGTTGTCAAATTTACGTCCTATCTTATTATCTTAATTATTCGAAGGATGAGTACCAATGAGAGGATCTTGTGTCCAATTCTGTTCTCGTCATCTTTCGCTGCTTAAGAAGTCTGTGTACTTCTCGTTATAGTTGGACAGGGTAATATAAGTAGCTTAGTAGTTCCACCATTAAAAGCCATTACTGTCTGTAATCTTTCTCTCAACAATGAGTTGGATGCTGTTTTTTCCTCACATTTTCCACAACTTCTAAACATCACGAGAGATAGATAGAGTTGAAATTAAATCCTTTTTCGTTTCTATTACAAACGTTAAAGATGAAGTCAATCTAAATTCTAACCTATTCATCTGTTTGAACTTTAGTTTATACAATGTTTTTCTAATTCATCTTTATGTGCATTTGCTAAGCTCAAATACTAAAAAGGTCCTGGTTTATTTACCCGAGTACGTGTGCGAAAGAACATTCTGCCTGTTTTTCTTGGGTCTTTTTTCTTCGCTCTTTTTTGTGGCAAACTCTTTGTGACTGATGGAAAGAATATTCCTATCTTCACCTTCCACTTACTTTGCAAAGAAAACTGCGTCCCGGAACCCTAACAGCTGCTGTCATTTTCAGTTTATGAAGGTCGATAGTCTTGTAGATTCTGAATTTTGTTTTTTTGTCACCTCTTGACTTTTTTTGCTTATTCACTAACTTCTGGTCTTTTATCATCAGCGTTTTGACTTATAGCGGATGCTTTCGCTTCCGCGAATTTACCAGAAAAATAGTATTTGAATGAGCATACTCATTCTTATTCCTATCTCACTTTGAATTAATATATAGGGTTCAAAGAGATACGACGCGTTTTCGGCTCTAATCAATCTATGATGTTACATCGCTCATATGTTTGTATTTCACTGAGTTTAGGATATATCGTTTAATTATGTTCCAAAGTTGATTGTTAATCGAGCGATGAGTCCTGGATCGACTCTTCTTATTCTTCTTCTTCTTCTCGGCACAGGCTTCATCATTATTCTCACTGTCTGTCCATCTGTTTCCTCTCTGTTAGCCAGCATTTGTCAGCTGATGTAATAGTATCAGTCTGTCTTTACATGTATTGTGAGGCTTTTCATAAAATAGTGTCTACTATCTGTATTCTTAGACCCTAATTTAACTTTAATTCTTTTTCCGTCACGTATGAATGTGTTTGGCATTCTTTGTCATTTCATCTATGTTCATCCATCAAACGCATTTTTTGAATGCTCCTTGAACCTTCAGTAACTAACTTTTGTGATTTCGAACACGCTTTCCGTTTCACACAACAATTCTTTAAAGTTTTCTCAGTTTTTCGATCTCTACTTCTAATATTTGCTCGCAAATGGTCACCCCATCTACTTATCACTGTTTACAAGGTATTTTGATTTATTACAAAGTTTCCATTCTGCGAAAGGTTCTCTCAAACAGAACAATCACTCAAGACTTTAGATCAAAAAATGTGTCGAACAGTGGGTAAAGTATGATAATAAATTATGTTTTATTATTTGATGATTACTCTTTATCGTGATAGCTGCATAGTTCTCAGCTGCTCAGGACTTTTGTTTATTTGAAAATATATTTGATCAGCTTAAGTATTGAATTATTACATATATAACCTTTGTTTTGCATTTACTACTTGCTTTGCATCATCGCTACTACACCTTTTGGTGGGCAGGATGTGGAAAATATTTTTTTTATTCTTCTTCTTCTATAATGAAATGTAAATTTTTGCTAACAGATGGTATGGCAAGTCATGTCCAATCCTGTTTCCATTGGCTTTTACCACACTATTGTTTGTTTTTATTGATTTTTTGCAACTATTGGGGGCAGATGATGAGACTATAATTTGAATTTTGTATATGGAATGGAGAAGAGAAGAAGATGAGTACTCTGTTTTGCTTTTTCCTCCATCACCAACCTGCTATTTAATTATTTAACTTTTTGTCTTTTTCTCTTTCTCTCTCTTGCGCAAATATATGGTCAGGCGGAAAAATTAATGTTACCACCTGTATATGACCTTATGATATTGTATTTGAATGAACTTTCATAAGTTGACCAGATGTATGATTTGATTTTTGTATATTCTATGCCCTTTATTATTCATTTATACTAACTTAATTACATTAATTATAATTCTTATTGATTCAATTGGCCCATCTTTTTGCAGTTGCACAATTCATTGAATGCCCTTTGGTTGAACTTTAAAGGGAAACCCCAGAGGGGTCTCAGTCAGTGTTGTTCAATTTGTTGTTCGACCAGGATTAATATGAGGGAAAGCATTAGAGTGAGCTAGAGAGAAGATGGAAAGACGAGAAACTTTGGCTGATTGCCTTATAGCTAATGTCATGTGCTCGTGCAGTTTTGGACCTACTTTTGGTCGTATTTTTTCTTCTTCTTCTTCTTTTTTTTTTCGCTTCTCTTCTCCCTCTCCTCCCTTGCACACTACAACCTCTTGCTTATTACCCTCAAAAGTTAGTAGTTGTCTCTGTGGTTGAACATTGCCTTTCCGCTTCGTTTTTTTCACATACTCATTAAAATACTTTCTTCACCCAATGTTGAATAATTTGTTTCTTTTATAGATTCTTTGAACTATTAGTATTCAATTGACAATCCTGCAAATGCTGAATTGTTCCTTGAGCTCCGCAGATGAAATTGGTTGTTTTTTCTTCTTTGAGAGTTTTTGTGTTGCGTTCTCATATGAATCAGGCCCTTCTTCTCCTTTTTCTTCTTCTTCGTCTTCGTTGTCTTCGTTGTCTTCTTCTTCTACCTTTGACTTCTCTCAGTTTTCATTTGAGTTTGCAAATTTCTAAAATTGATTTTCTTCATATTTCTTACGGCGTTTCCGTCTTGTCAACGGACACTCAAGAATACATTCAGACGTGATTTTGTATTTCAATCCGCCACTTTTTTCTGAAGGAATTTTATAATCCGTTGGCGGTTCAGTTATTAGCTGGTTCCTTGTGAATAGCTAAGTTGTCTTCCCCTTTAAGCTTCTTCCCTTCATTTCCAGCTGTGTTTCTCTATGGATTGAAATGCGTTTTCACTTTTTTCTTAATTCCTCTGATCTTTTGGATATTCTTGTCATATTATCTTCTATCTCTTCCTCTTTTTTTTATGTTCTCTTTCCTATTACAAACGATTGCCTGATCAAACGATTGACAGACATAGGAACAGGCGAAGAAAAGTAAAGAGAAATTTATAGAAAATAACATAAAAGAGGGAGAGTATGAGTGAGATAGACGCCCAATCATTCCTTGTTTGGCAGCAATTATGCGCGGAGAGATTGGTGGCTATCGCTGTATGCCGACAGACGACAACGACGACGACGTCGTCGTCGTCAGCGACCGCAGGCACATTTAACCGGTTCCACCCTCTTCCTCTCTCGTTCTTCTACTTCTCTTCTTTCTCTCTGTCCATCTCCTAGTCTACACAGTTTCTATCATCACCATCACCACCATCATCATCACCATCATCATTACCATCTCCTAGTCTACATAACTCGTCGATCGCTCTCATCAAAATGAACTGAGCCTTGAATATCTCTGCCTTCGATATCAGCTTGCCAGTCATTTTACTTGTCCTCCCTTTAATGACATCTTGTTATTTTATGAAATTATTTTTTTTTAATGAAATTCATAAACTGATTGAAGAGGGTTAGTCTGTTTAATCCGTTTAGTTCTCCCATACTTTGGTTTTAGAATAACACACACACCCATACACCCTGATCGTTCATTTAATATTTGATGGACAATTGATTTTGATATTTCATCTATCAATTTAACACAAATGATTATTTTATAAAAAATAACTTGTTTATGACTCAAAACCTTTTTCGACTCGGTTTTCTCAACAAGTGTTCGCTTTTTTTTATTTTTCTCATCTCATGTGTGTTATGGTTTAAACTGTCTTCATTTGCTGTCTGTTTTGAAACATATTCGACACACTCAAAATTTTCAAAATTTTTGTGTTCGTTTAACCATTTTCATGATTATTGGTTATGGAGAGTAGTCGTTTTTTGTTTCATCCGCATGTGATTCTCTGTTCAATTTTCATCTTCTCACCTTCTTTCATTTTTTGTTCCATTCCTTCTATCTTTCTTCGCTTTTGATTAAGCTGGTCTTCCAGGAATTCATCGATAACTCTCATCATTATTTCTCTTTTTTTTCACAAAACATAAACTTTTGGAAAAAAAAAGTCCTGAAAACGACCCGGTTTGTCAGAGAACAGAATGACCGGAGGCTAACACTAATAATTGCGGTCATTGTAAAATTATTTGGTGAGCCAGCATCACCATAACAGCCTTTTTACTTTTTCCACTCCCTCTCTCTCTCTCTCTCTGTACATCTGTTCTCTCTTACTTTCTTTTTTATTTTTTCTTCATCATCGAAAAGTTCTCAATCACTACCATATCAGGTCAATACTTCAAGACTCAAAGTTCATTGCTTATATCTGTTTTCTTATTTCAATGTAAACATTTTCATAACAAAGTGGCAAGTTAGAAACTCTTTTTCTCTCTCTCTCCTATAATCGTCATCAACAGAATGCCGGTTTATTTATTAGTTTCTGCTTATATTTTTCTGCCCCTTCTTCTGTTTTCTCCAGTTTTTTCGTCATCTCCCTCTTAACCCTTCATCTGTTTCTATCATATCTCTAAGGATCTTTCTTTTGTGCTTGTGTATGTGTGTGAGAAAGAGAGAAAGAGAGACAGAGAGATATAGAGAGAAAGAGGACTGAGAATTGATTTGTTTTTTTCTCTTTCTCTTTTTTTTTTCTTAAATTTATATTCATTCTTAACTGTAAATTCTTGTTGAATACCGATCGCCATCCTATCTCTGAATTTTTCATTGTTTTCTATTCCATTACTATTCATGATTCAGCACCTTAACTATATGTATTTGATAAACGCTTAGTTTATCAGTCAGACTATATGTACTCCCATCACCATATTTTCTGATAGTGTGTTAAGTCCTTTTCCTGTACAACCTGATGTACCAGTTCGTTCTACACGCAACCGAAATCTCTCCTTATTTGTTCAGCTGTCTTGAGATCTTGAACATATGCATAGATGTCTTATGTGTTCATTTCCTTCTTTCGTTCAGCTTTCACCATTGCTTCTATTATTAATATTCAATATTGCAGAGCTTGTGCTAAGCGAAAACTATGACATCTTCTGATGAAGATGTACCGTTACAGGAATCACATGTTCACCTCAAAACGCCAAGTAAGTTTTTATGTTTTTATGTGAAAATGTTGTGTATAGCATATCTTTCTTGGTCCGTAATCAAGGTCTACAGATAGATTAGCAGTTTATTATCTTTGTGATCACTCATCTCTTTTCTTCAGAATCAAAGCTTGCTAAAGCTATGACTTGGATGAAATCAGCAACATTAGAAGAATATTTTCGATTATTAGGCGGTATAATCGGTTCTAATCCGTTATCATTTATTATAGCAGGAGCTATATTATGTGGTTTGTCAGGTGAGCTGTAATAAAAAATAAAAAAAGGTTTTTTTCATTTTGTTGAAAAATAATATTGAAAAGAACAACCGCTATATGCGTTTTGCATGAAAAAAATAACTCTGTTCGTCTCATGTCACGCATGTTACATCCACGTGAGACTTATGCAAATCAATTGTTCAATACATATAGACATATTCAATTTCAGTATTCATGGTGAATCTTCATCTAAAAGATAATGTTCGCGATGGTTATACTCCAAGTACTTCGCGATCGCGTTTGGAAACTAATTTATATAGAGAATTTTTAAATTCTGATGGTAACAGTTGTTTCATTTGAAAAAAAAAATAATATTTGTGTTTTTGCAGGAGATCCCACGATGACAACCATTCTAATGAGGGCGAGAGATAATGGCTCTATGCATCGAATGGAGTATTTAGCTGAAGCGGTACAACAAATGGTTTGATACGGGTGATTAAAATATTTTTATATTTCCTATTAAGGTTTATATATCTAAAAATTTATCAGTGGAGAAAGACGATCACATTGTAACTTATGATCAGTTCTGTGGACTCTATTGTAAGGCAAACCAAGTAGTCTCATACTTCTACGTGAGTTCCACACATCCTCAATGATGATAATACTTTGTTTTGCTTTCCAGTTAGCTCTTGTGGAAAAAATGAAGAGTGATTCTCCGAATCTGGTTCTCACGTATCCAATAGCTCGACTGAATGAAGTGAAGATGCATCTAGAACGTAACTTCTATGGAGTGCGAACAGTTGAAAACTATACAGTAACAAACATTGAACATATTGAAGTTAGGATTGCTTCTCATTATCTCTCTCAACTCAGTTTCTTCTTCAGCTTGTTGCTATGTCTTTCTTAGCAGAAGTTAAGACCATCGCTGACATGGACCGTTTGAATGCTTGGGAATTAGCTGTCTACGAATACTGTACCCAGTACTCGTCGTCTCCTGATAATCAAATGGAAATGCTGGTGAGTGTGGCATTTTTCTATAAGAAGCATGGCAGTTAAATGTTTTCTTTGCTTGCAAGATGTGTCTTATTTTGTTTACTCAAAGCAAAGATCATTTTACATGAATAGAGATGAGACAGGACTCCATACAACAAATTTTTACTCAAACAACTGTGAAGTGCCACTTAGAACTAATAACGAACTATGACAAACTAATCTCTTTTTTTTAATTTAAAATAAAGGGTAAATGAAACTTATTAACTCGAAAATGTTCAGGTTATTGGGGCTGAAATTGTTGACACCGAAATGAACAAGGATGGCCAGCGAATGACTCCTTACTTTGCGACAGGTGTTTTTACTCTTGTTTTGAAGTGCTGAACCCTTACTTTCCAGGATTTGTTGCTATGTTTGCTTTTGTATTTGTAACAGTGTTCGTATCAGCAGCCTATTTTGATAGGTTGACGTTTAAGGTATTTGAAGTTGCTTTCAAGAATCTCATGTTGTTTTTAGATACCATTTGCTGCTTTCGCATGCGCTCTCGTTCCGATTCTCGCCATCACCACAACTCTTGGATTATCGACATTAATAGGAAATCGAACTAATTCTCTAATGCTAATTATGCCTTTCTTAATAATGGGAATAGGTAAATTTGAAAAGACTTCATCACTTACTAATTGATGACATCTAGGTGTCAACGACTCTTTCCTCACTTTACATTCATGGCTTCGACAGCCTTTAACGTTCTCTCCTAAGGAGAGAATAGCTCGTGTTCTCTTAGAAGTAATTGCTACTTATCTTATTATCATAAAGTTATTTGTTAAGGTTGGACCTTCTATAACAACGACAACACTAACAAACGTAGTTACTTTCATGATTGGATGGTTCACTCCAACAGAAGGTTAGAAAAATGTGTTTTCTACGAAAATTACTTTTTTCATATTTCAGAGATTTCAATCTTCTGTCTTGGAAGTGCTTTAGCCTTAGGATTCGCTTATATTTATACTCTTATAATATATTGTCCTATATTATACTACTGCTCACAGCCCAAGGTTGATGGAATTGAAGGGAAAGAGAAAAACAGCTGTCGAATCAAGGTTAGTTGGGGATATTTGTTCAAAACTTTCAATGGCTATTATAGACGAAACGTTTTTTGAAATCATTTGTCCATTATTACTGCCGACTTCTGGAGTACAGACCGTTTGTGATTATGCTTGTTATAGGATCTCTTTTCTATTGGTATAAGCGTTCTCATGAGATTCTTTAAATATATATACTTTTCAAGGTATTTCGGAATAATTGGTAGTATTTCTATGAGTGCCAAACTTGATACCGGCAAGATTCTTCCAATGGAATCACCTGTTCGCCGTCCAAACCGATTCATTGAGGGTGTAGTGTGGAAAGAGTACTATCCAGTTACCATCATAGTCAATAACCCTGTTGATATCGGAGACGAGAAACAGCTCAATCGTGTCCTTAGTATGGTTAATGATTTTGAAAATATTCCGACATGTAAAGGTTAGCTGCCATTCATGTACTACAGGTACAACTCTACTTTGCAGGAACAAACTTCACTACATTCTGGCTACGAGACTATCAAGAATACTTTACGGATACCGCCAACAACCTTTTTGATTATTATGACGATGATGCCGAAATGAAAGTCGATAACCGCCCATTTGGCTTCAGTAAGGTATGATAATCAATCCTTTGATCCATATATCTCAATGTTTTCAGTTGAGTGCATTCTTCAAACACATTCTCTACAGCCATAATCTGGCTTTCGTCAAATATGACCCTGAAGCTAAGTGAGTGAACTTGATCTCATCAATTTTTTATCATCTGCAAATGAGATCATCCAAATTAACATTATAGAATTCCTGTCCGAAAATTTTCACTTCTTGTTGTCTATGAAAACAGCACATCTTGGGACAATCGTATCGAATTAATGCAAGAATGGAGAAAAATCGCTGATAAGTAAGGGGGAAGTGCAAGATAACTTGAATTATATTTTTCTTCAGTTATAAAGACCTCAACGTATCGGTATGGAATGTGAATGCTATGTTTGTAGATCAGATGCTCAGTCTGAAACAACTAACTTTCCAAGTACTTCATAGGCGAACTGGATACTCTTAGTGATCACTTCTCATTTCAGACATGCTTCTTAACATTGGCATGTATGGTTGTTGTTTGCGCCGTGTTTATACAGAACCCAATAAGTGTCATTATGGCCACACTGTCAATCGCTTCCATTAGTTTAGGAGTTATGGGGTAGGGTAAACTTTCTTCTCTCAAAAAAAAAAAGATCATTTTTGAACTTTGAAGTAAATACAACCGGTTTCATGAGCGTAATGAGTTTTAAATGAAATTGTTGAACGATCCACATGATGATGACGTGAAGTCTAATTATATGAAACCTTCAAACCAATTAACATTAAATATCTCTTGAATAATAATCAATTAATTATTTTGCAGATATTTATCTTTCTGGCATTTGGACTTGGATCCAGTTTCTCTCTGTGCCATCTTGATTAGCATAGGAATGGCTGTTGATTTTGTGGCTCATACCGCCTATCACTATCAGGTTCCGAGTTTCACAAGATATTACTGAATAGGGTTTTCTTTCTTTCAGTTGAGTTTCCGACATGTATGCAGAAATGGAATTGATATGGTAGTTCCAATCAATACCCCATATGAAAGATTAACAAACTCAATCACGAATATTGCTTGGCCAATGTCACAAGCTGGAATATCCACTGTGATATGTATCTTACCTTTAGTTCTTTTGAAAGTAAGAAAGAAACTGGAGTAAAGGATTATTAACTGCTATTTTCAGAATTATATTCCATTAGTGTTCGTGAAAACAATTACATTAGTTGTCATTTGGGGTCTGTTCCACGGTCTAGTCCTACTGCCATCGCTCCTTTCACAAGTAAGCTGGAAGGAAATATTTTGAATGCGAACCGTTCTGATTTCAGATTCCTGCTGAATATCTCACATATAATTGTTATCGAAGCATGTTCACATCATCTTCAAACCTTAAGAATAATCAAGAATTAGCTCCTTTGAGCAAAGCCTAACTCAGGGATTTGCGTATCAAAAGCCAGAAGCTTTTCGCGCTTTCTTAATAACTGCCGGTATTTGTCACGAAAATTCCTCAGGGTTTTTATTGTTGTTACCGTGATCTTTGTTTATAGAACTGATTTTCGATATCAGTACGCTAACGTTTACAACGGGATCTTTTTGTATTTTCCCAGCATTAAGTGCCTCTCTTGAGATTTCTTTTAAGGAATAACGGGGTTGCCATTTTTCTTTTCTTTATTATCTTGCCTTGAATTTCAATGTACTTTATAATCATAGATATTCTCGGTGTTTTGTTGTCAATGTTAACAAGACGGTTCAATGACGGTTAACAGTTTTGTAATAAGTTTTAGAATATGGGAATGAAATATCCAATATTGAATTCCAAAGCTTTTTAGGTCGCAATTTCTTTATAAGTATATGTTTTCATCCAGGCATTAGGATGTCACCCCCACCCCCGTAGCATTGTTTCACGTTTTTTTCTGTTTTAGCTTTAGCCTATGAGTGCCATTCAATCAAATTTACACATTGTCCAACAAATAAAAGTTTTTTTTTTATATCATGACTTGTTGCTGTTTATTGGAATTACATTAAAGTTGCAAGTGGTATAGACGAGTTGCTCAGAAATTGATCACATTCACTTATCAGCCTGTCGAGAATGATAAGAGTTATCTGTATCGGGTAGTGGCAACCGATTTTTCATAGTATCCCACTAAAAAGCTTTTTCTATTATACGTTTTTTTTCTTTTCCATGTTTATAAGTTAATGATCAAGTGAAACATCAACAGTTCCCAACTTCATTAGCACATCCGTCTTCTGAAGTTATTCCTTTTTCCCTGAAACATAGAGCAGAAACTTCTTATCTGCATAAACACCAGTTTTTTTTCAGAAAAAAAATTGATAAAGAAAAGATAATTTTTGAATTTTTTTTCACAGGTTACGCGCTATAATGTCAAAGTTAACCTCCCGCTTGGCCTGGGGATTATGCCTGACAGCCATTGATATCTCCGTCTCACTAGTTTGCTCCTGTCTACATGGAAATTCTTTCTCAAAAGATAATGTGATCAGTCAATTTTCTACTTTTTCCTTCTTCAGCAGGTAATTTTTGATTGAAAGGTAGATTAAGTTGGAGCTCTGTTTCAAGCACTATCGACTTCCTTTTCATTACGCTGGTTAGAGCAGGACTATGGGTCTTGCCTGCATTTATTCATTATTCTGGTGGAGCAAATCAGCTCCCCATTTTCAAACAAGTTTGCTTATTCGTTCGAATATCATCAACGGTTCGTACTTGTAGGCTATCTTCTGCGTTTCGTTGCTTATGTACGCATGTAGTCCCACAAAACTTCTCTTGCTAACAGAACATAAAGCTACTGGTGATAAATGAACTAAAAATTCAAAGGAAAACTGTATATTCAGGAGAGCTATTGTATTTTGGAGATTACCTATTCTTAATCTGGAACTTCTTTGCGGCCTTTATGCTTGATTGGTCATGGAGAGTTTACTTCTCCAAGAGCCCATCCTCCTATGTGGTCTTGGACGAGTATGAAGATGTTCGTCGAATGAAACCTAACCTTCTTCAAAACTGTTTTCATTCAGGAAGACGAGCTAGCCCCCAAACAAACCTTCGAACTATTGTTCCGATTGTTCCAATATTGTAAACAAGAATGGATTTGGCATCTTTCCGGCTTCTCTTGGCTCTTCATCTATTCTATCAGTAATTTTGAAAAACTGAAAGTTCTGGTCTATTCAAAATCATTATAGCTAGAATATTTGTGCCATACTACACTGGTCAAGTTATCGCAACCGTGGTTGCCACCAAATCTTATCCATCCCTCATCAGCGCTGTTTATATTATGACCGTTATCTCAGTTGTTAGGTAATAATCTCACTCCGAGGTATTCATTTTCAATATGCTCCAGTGCAATAGCTGCGGGTTTACGTGGAGGCTCCTTTGATTACGCGTACAGTCGTATCAATCGTGCAATTCGTTACGATTTGTTTTCCGCTTTAGTAACACAAGATGTCGCTTTCTTTGATGCTCACAAAACAGGTACATAAGAGAAATCTGCTCATAGAATCAATCAATATTCAGGAGAAATCGCCTCCAGATTAGCTGCTGACTGTCAAACAATGTCTGACACAGTTGCCATGAATGTAAACGTTTTCTTGAGGTACAGTTTTAAACTATTCTGAAGCATATCCCAATTCGCAACAAATTTCGCTGAAAAATGAGCAACCGGTCTATGCGTGAGCAGAAATGAAACGATCTTTAAAATCAGCTGATAACTGAAGGAGTAATTTATGCAAATTTCAGAAATACAGTCATGTTATTGGGTTCCATGATTTTCATGATGACACTCTCTTGGCGTTTGTCATTAATCACATTCATCCTGGTTCCAATTATTTTCGTCGCTTCCAAAATCTTCGGAACATACTATGATGTACAGCTGATATTTTTATATTACAGTTTAATAATTGAATTACAGTTCATTTCTGAAAAAACCCAAGATACAATTGCATCTTCCAATGATGTTGCTGAAGAAGTGTTATCAACCATGCGAACTGTTCGATCATTCGCTTGTGAAAATGTAGAGGGCGATCGTTTTTACTCTAAGTTGACAGACACATTGTCTGTAACAAAGCAGAAAGCTATCGCTTATATAGGATTCTTATGGGTTTCTGAGGTATTAGTTTTGGGATATGATTGAGTTAAACTCAATTCTCTTTCTAGCTTTTCCAAGCCTTGATTGTAGTTGCTGTTCTCTGGTATGGTGGTCATTTGGTTTTGCAAAAGAAGATGAGAGTATGTGACACCTATCAATTTCATATCCCTACATTACTTTTGTTTAGGGAGATTTATTAATCTCATTCTTATTGTACCAAATGCAACTTGGAGATAATCTGAGACAAATGGGAGAAGTATGGACAGGTTTGATGCAGTCTGTCGGAGCTAGTAGAAAGGTAGATTAGTTTCGGCTTATTCTTTCATATGAGCATGTAATTCACACTTGATCCTTTTGTTTCTCTCTTAAGGTCTTTGAGTACATTGATCGACAGCCAACAATTCTTCACTACGGTACTACTCAACCAACACAATTGAAAGGAAGAATTGAGTTCCGTAATGTGCATTTCAGTTATCCAACAAGAAGCAACAACCCTATTCTCAAGGTGTGATTAACATTTTAAACTTTAATCAATTCTTTTTAAGGATCTCTCTTTCACTGTTGAACCAGGAGAGACAGTGGCTTTAGTTGGACCATCTGGATCAGGAAAATCATCATGCATTGCTTTATTAGAAAATTTCTATCAGCCAGTTGCCGGACAAATATTAATTGATGGAATCCCATTAGATGATTATGAACATCATTATATTCATAGAAAGGTTGGTACTCCTACTTATCGACTAGTGAAAAATACTTTTTCTACAGATAGCCTTGGTCGGACAAGAGCCAGTATTGTTTGCTCGTTCAGTCATGCAAAATATTCGTTATGGTTGCGATGAGAAAACAGAAACGGTTTGTATCACAACAAGAGACATTTGAAAATATTGAAACATTGAAGGATTGTATCAGTGCATCAGTAATGGCTAACGCTCATAACTTCATCATGGACAGTACCAATAAGTATGAAACAAACGTTGGAGAAAAAGGAAGTCAAATGTCCGGCGGTCAAAAACAAAGAATTGCTATTGCAAGAGCCCTTGTTCGTCAGCCTGTTATCCTTCTTTTGGACGAGGCTACCTCAGCTTTGGACACAGAATCAGAGAGTCTTGTGCAGGTTTCGCACTTTTTCCATTGATTGTAAAAAGAAGGGTTTTAGGAAGCAATCTACAAGAATTTGGAAGGAAAGAGTGTTATCTTGATTGCTCATCGATTGTCAACAGTTGAAAAAGCCGATAAGATTATTGTTATTAATAAGGTTAGACGAAAGGATTATGGATTTTCAGGTCTTAAATTCATTTACAGGGAAGAGTTGAACAGATGGGTACCCACGAGCAATTACTTAGTGAGCCAGGTACTTATGCCACATTAGTTCAGAGACAAATGTTAGGTGGAGGAAAGAAAGTTGTTAGGCCAGCAGCTCAAGCAGCTACCAGGTGCGAATGATCATATCAAACATTCACATTCAAACTGTTTTCTTATTTCTAGAGCTGTAAATGTTAGTGGCAGTAGCCAAGGTGGACCCATGGCCATGTTATCAACGAGTTACAGTCAGTCAGCGAGCAGTGTTACTTCTAGATGATGCTAGTCTTCCCGTAATTCAAACTTTGCTTGTTATCTGATGATGATTACTTTTCCCTGCACAAATTTAAATATTTTGTTTGATATTTTTGGACAGTTTCATTGAATTAAATACGTTTCGTTTCGTAATATCTCCTAAGATGTTAACTCATTTCATTACTTTGAGCACATTGCCACAGGGAAATGTGTTTACACTTGATCGTTGACTGGTAAATTCTCTTGTTACGACTCGAGGGGGGGGTCGTCGTCATCGTCATCGCCATTTTCTCTATGAAAATCCAAGGTCGATCTTCTCTCTTTGACGATGATGATGACGAAGCCGACGTTCACGTCTGCGTTGAAGACGGCAATGATGTTGTCGTTAATGTTTCTGTTACTGAGGATGAAGTGGCGTATGAATTTCTATGTGTTGGAGGATTTAGGGAAGCACATTTCCATAGTTATATGAGAGTACCCTGAAGATGTTTATAAGAGGGTGGTTGATACATGTGGTCTCTATAGCGTCGCAAACAAAACAAATCCACACGTCCGTGTCGATCACAAAGAGCCTCACCGAGAAGATATCTGACGGAATGGCCTTCGAGACTGAATCTAATACAGATATGAGAGAAAAGTAAAGAAGAAAAAGGAGAAGGGAAGACAGAGGCAGCAAGAGAAAAAAGAAGACAAGGTAAGATTCAATGAGACAAGCAATATAGAGGAAGATCTTGCAGACCGAATGACCATGGTTCGCACCCTCTCACTTCTGATTGACCAGCAATGTCTACCCCCGTGTTGGGTCTTGCAAGTTCTGAAATTTTATCTTCAAGTACAACCCAAGTTAAATGACAAGGCTGAACATGTTTCGAACATCACACAACCATGGTTCATTACCATCTTCAACGTTAACAACTGTCTGATATCAACGTCCTTATAACTAGGTTTGAAGCTATCAGAACGGAGATGTACACCGTACACTAACAAGCATGGGCAGTGATTAAAACTCCCTAAGTGCATTTTCCATTAATGGCATGAGTAGTTACGGAGATCGGTACAATTCACACGACAACAATGCAAAAATTCTTTTTTTTGTGTGTTTGGAGGGCAAAGTTGCTTCAAGGTTGTCGTCAACACACTAAGATCTCAAGAAAAAGAAAAAGCCCTATGGCAGACCGTTCCTACTCTCTGTGGTCGATGTGTTCTTAAACTCATTTCTTATTTCTTATTTTTTTACACAAATTGTTTACAAAAAAGTGTGATGTCGAACTGGAAAAAAGGTGTTCTTGTACATGTTCTCATGTGTTGGAATGTGTAAATGGATTAACTTCCTCATCTCTCCGTGGATCCCTTTAGGGAATGAGCGAATACTGAATTAGGGGGATGTACAGGGAGCTAAAGTGTCTGTCGTTATGGTTTTCAATGAATTCCTCACATCTTTCTGCATCTTATCGATTCCTTGTCTGATGCATGTTATCCTATTCTTACATCTTGCTCGGGGACAGCCAGGTACATCAGTATGACAATTAAGAAGAATGATCGAATATCATGTATTGACTTTCATAAAATATTGATTGATTAGATTGGATCTAGATTTAGCTGCTGTTAAATCTTCAGCACAATTACTCTTCTTAAGGTTATACTTGACTTGGAGTGCATAATACTAAATTGCAGGATCCAGACTGTCAGTCTAACTGGCAACAAAGCAATAGCACATCCGTTGAATAGCCGAGAATTCAAATCCTCCCAAATATGGCATTGTTCATAGAAGAGAGGACCATTCCGCAAGGACACTGATGCCAGAAGATTTGGTGGTACCGTCGGACATCATCAATTTTCACAGAAGAATTTTATGATGACTCTTTTTTTCAAATGACTACTTTGTTCTTTTTGTTTCATAAAAAAATAAAAGAACATATAATAGTATTTCCATTGAGAACGATAGCACTCGTAGAGATCTTTGAGATTCTTCTTCAGTTTCTTCTTTTTTTTTGAAATTTCAGCCATTGATAGCAATTCGATTGAAAGAAATGATCAAGGGATCGTATCAGTTGGACAATATTCAAAATAGGATTTTCTACTTGGTTTAACACTCTTCAGAAAAGAAAATTTATGATGTTCTCACATCATTTGATACTTTTCTGTTTCATAAAAAGAGAGAAGGTAGGACCGGTGCCGTGGCTCATCATCATCGTCTTTGGTGACGGTTCGTGCAGGTCGGTGACTGGTTAATCTGGATTGATGTAGTCTGAGTCTTCTGACTGGACATTTGAACTGCTGTAATCACTGCCCGGAGGAAGTTTAGTAAGTTTCTGACCGAATGAACTTTGAGATAAAGTAAACTCAGTTCCTCAAAAAGACAATAATTGGTACAAGAAAAAGAAATATTCATTGACCAACTGAGTTGTATTTTGGTTCTGGCGTGAACACGGTGATCGCTCTGAGAGTTTCGAGAAATGCATGAAGGATGCAACGAAACCTCTTGTATAGTTAAGAGAGGCAAAGAAAAAAACTCTGAAAGAGAAGGAATTTTGTAGAGGGAACAGTCGACTGGACAGTCGTCGACGGACCTGGGCGGGCCCATCCCCCTATAGGAGTGGCCTTCAGCCGCAGGCAGCCGCCGTCGTCGTCCCCGTCTGTCGTCCGTCGTCCGTCCGTCCGTCCCAGCCGCCGGTCATGCGAGGTGAGTCTTATATCGTTTATTTTTCTCGTTTTCTCCTTTTTCTCGCCTTCTCTATGTTTTCCATCCTTTCCGAGTACTACTTTTCCCTATAACACATAACCCCCGTCGGGCCTAACCCGGTTACCCAGAATCCGTGACCCAAGAAACAGCCCCGAGGGCCCCCTCCCACCCAGTCAGGTCCCTCCCTTTGTTGACCCACATTGAGCACCAGACGATGCCAACTCTTTGAGAGCAGTAGCTGAAGAATACATTTCAATTTTTTTTCAGTTCCAATACGCATCGGCTGTACCGATGCAAGAATAATATTAAGATGATATGAAATTTTTTTCTTTACATATTGTGTTATGTCCAACTATTCATTATATCTCTTCCTTGCTCGGTTTACTCTCTTGGACACTTTTCACTCTTGTTGTCTATCCAACTCCAGTGTGCTCTTTTATTTTTTGAGATTCCTTCAATATTTTTGCAATGTACCTTGCTCATCCAACATTACCCATGTTTTCTACCGGCTCCTTGCTTCTAGAATTTTACTAAATTGGTAATACGTTGGATTTTTTATTCCTCTATTAGTAAGGGACGTTGCATTGGGATACACAACGGAGAAGATGGTGGAAAAAAGGAAAAGACGACAATCAAAAGGAGTAGAAGTAACGGGGATGACCTCTAGATTGCCGCACGACGTAACAGCCTCCACCACCATCACCCTTCTACCAGCAACCATCATCACCAACCACCATCCCCCATAACCTGCGCTCTCGTCACAAACATTGGAGAAACGAATTAAGAGGGGTTTAAAATCTACAAAAAGGTCCCAAAAATCTTTGCTTTTTCATCTATATTTCTTGTAGTTAAACCTGCACTTCTTTTTGATCTTCTCGCGCCTTCTCAGTACAGTAGCGCGTAATCCTATTGATGACTCAAGCATGATATGATTTTTTTGAATCAATTAGGATTCGGCTAATTTCTATCTTTGATCAAAACTTTCTTGTTAGAAAGAAAATTCGGATTTTCGATAATCACGTGTTTATCCATAAAATAGGAACTTCCGAAGAAAGATTCGAAGTAGATAATGTTTTCCGATTGGAATTTTATATTTTCGGTTCTTATTTTCCTAATTTGCTTTATAATACTATAGCATCGTCTAAAAGATTACCTCCAGATGACTATTATTCTATAGAGAATGAAAAAGAAGCTATTGAAAGAGTAAGAAACCTCTACGATTGCTATCCGCGCATCCTAATATCCATAATCTTCTATGAACTTCAATTCTTCCTTTTCTCTTAGATTTACTATGTTTTTGCAATTCTTCTCAATCTGCTTTCCTTTTATTTGCTAGTCTCTCTCTCGCTTCTCTTTTTCTCTCCTTCTCTATCTCTCTCAGTCTTTTACAATACAATGTCCGGTAATTTTTCCCCGACAACAAGAGAGCCCGAAACTATTGTGGTATTGTACATTTGGTATAGTGGTTAGGGACCGGAGAAGAGATGAGTTCGATACTCTCAAGGTTAGTGGTTGCCTGGTACGGCAGGAACACACTGGCATCTCCATCATCCATCACCAGCCCTCTATTGACACCATATAAGGTTCTAAACAACTTCACATAGGAGCATTATCTGGCTACAACATCTCATTACATGAAAGCGTATTCTCCTGACAAGGTTTTGCACTTTTGGATGAGGAATAATAGCCATGATTGCATGGGAAAAGAAACACTTAAAACCTCGTGATGAGGCCGATTCTATCAGGCCTCACAAGGGCATAAGTCTCGTTTCCCATTCTGGAAAACGAACTTATATGTGAGAAATCTTAAGGAGTGTTCGTTTGTTCTTTATTGAGATAATTATATGATGTAACATGCAAAATATTTATGGATATGTTTTGTTAACCATCTCAATTGTTTGTCAAATAAAGTAAGCTCCTCCCATTTTCTAGATACGGTAGACCGGCAAGCAGCAGGCCGGCTGTCTACCGTAATCTTAAAGAAAAATTTTACAGTTGAACGTTATGTTTGTGTTTTCAAAAAAAAAAGAAAAGAAATGAGATAATGATTACTTTTCTTATTCATCTTATCGATATAGTCAATGTTATCTGTTCATTTTATATTGGCTGTGTCTCTCTTTTCTTATATTATTATCTTATCTTAGTGAAGGTTAAACATGTTTTCGGGCGTTCACCTACGCTTGATATCGTTATTAGTTCGAGTGTGTTCCTCTGTTCCTTTAATAATAGAAGAACTTAGCGGAAAGAACATGAAAGTAGCTTTAGCTCCCTGTATTTTCTCGGTTCCCTTTATCGCTTTTGATGAATAGCTGCCCGCTACCTTGCCATTCCGCATTTTTCGCTTTTTTTTCCCGGAGAATCCGAAGAAAGTTGTTTGGAATAATTTAACATCTCATAGACAAAAAATATAACAATTGCATATGAAAATGATGGAAAGGATAAAAAAAGGCAATAGAGAATGTAAATGAAAGAGGATTTCTATTTTCAACTATTCGGGGTGACCTTGTGGTCAGTAGGTGACAGCCACCCTCCTACCATCTCATCTCTTAACTCCATCCCCCCATAATTCCCTCAGTATTTGTGAGAGAATGACTATAACTATGAATAAATTATAACTATAATGATAAAAAGTAAGTTGAAAAGTGCACAACAGGGGAACACTCTATGTATGTCAAGAAAGTGACTGCGCCCTATCCATAACACTTTCTAAATGGCAATTTGCATGTTGTGAGCTTCGAGGCCGTCTATCGACTTCTTCAAACTTTCTGACAGAACGAACTGATCATGACATCAGTAAAAGTACGTCAATTCCATGTCCGTCTCAATTATGGTCAATGCTTGCGACAGCCATGTCGGAATAATGTCCTTCCACGGGCTTCCTCATCTTCTTTCCTACCTAACATTCTACCTGTTTCTCATTCTCTCTTTTTCTCTAGTTCTCTCAGCTGATTAGCCTTGCTGTTATTCTCCGCACTCTTCCTAAAGTGCACAATTTACGAAATTGCAACGCGTTCGTGTTACTCCGTGCAATTCACCGGCTGGAGGTCACCCAGCACCGCCGACGGCGTAAACTGGCCGTCATACAGTGTGCCGACGCGCATCTATCGTGTTCACCGAGAACAACAGTCTACAGGTCTAAAACTCGGAAAGCCAACTTGGGGACATTCACAAATCGCCATGCAATAACTAACGATTATCTCGTTTATAGTGTGTTTTATTGAACTGAGAAACTTGATGGGAGCAAGATGACAATTTTACAAAAAGTGTGGTCCAAAAAGTTTTTACGAAGTACTACCAGTTTTTTCTTGATTGATAAGTTATTAATCTAAGAATTAGCATAAACGCGTTGCGCGCCAAAACGTTGGATGCGCCAACTATTTTTTATTTCCATTCACATCACGATTGCGAACGGTTGTGTTCGCATCACAGGGAACAATAGAAAAAAAAGAAAAAGAAAGAATGAATAAGGTAAAAAGTCACGTTGAGAAAGTTTCTAATTTCGTTACTTCTATCATCTATTCCTTACACTGCCGAACGGGCTTGTAAAATTCAAAGCTCTTTTGATATTTTATAGGAAAGACTGTTGCTCTAATTGTAAGATTAATTGATTTTTGAAAACCACGCGGGAATATCAAACTACAATTGATCTTGCAATCTATGAATGTTCATTTAAAACAGTTCTTTTCTTCCCTCCCTACCCAACTTACCATAAAGTTTTTGTTATCGATTAAGAAACTAATATTTTATAGCGCTATTAATATTAGATTTGGTATACGGAATATTGTAGAGGATATATTACTATCTAATCGTCTCTTTTGATTTCTAACGAGATATTGAATTTCTAGTAGGGCGTGGTTGATTGATATATGCTATTATTACATTAACACTCTGACGCTAAGTTATAACTGTTGCGCCTGGACGGATTAGCTTTTGAGTTAGTTATAGATTTGTTCGATCTATTGTGGCCAATAGCTATATTGTATTTGTAGAGAATAATGCTTAACTTCAATAATAACGTTGTTTCCGTTAATTACCTTCGTTCCCACAACGATCTCTCCCCTACGGCATCACTATGCCAGGAGCAAGCACTGTCCCAACAGCATGACCCGTCAGCTACTCCGATGACGCGTCTATCCCCACTCGGTTCTGTGTCTCCACCCCCCGGATCGGCAGTGCACAGTCTCCACCTACTTCATTCAATACCCCCTCCGCCTCAGCAGCACACTGTTCAAGATCAAAGTGCAATGAGATCCCAAGCATCAGTCAAGCTGGAGGTTGATCAAGATCCTATGATGAGCCTCGATAGTCAACAAGATGTCCACCTTTCTCATCTCCAACCTATAAAGAGAGAGATGAGTCCTACTCTTATGGCTCCAAGCTATACCAGAATGGAATCAGCTTCTCTTTTAAACCATAGTGTTGATCACCACTCGCCCAATAACAACAGTTTGAGCAGTTTTGATATTCCTGAGGTTCCCATACTGCAAGCACTTGATCCCATCGATAGCCATGTCTCTCATATATCTTCTATTCAAACCATGTCTGGATACCCAAGCTCTATGAAAGGCAAAATTAATGGCTCCATAACTGCATCTAATCAAATGATGGATCTTGCTCAACCTGGCGTTAGTCGAATGATGTCCCATCCCTATAAATCCCAAAAAGTTCCGTTGAGCAATTCTCATTACCGCTCTATTAAGCCAAAGGCTTCTGCTTCTCCTAGAGAACCTGGAGAGGAAACAGAGAATCAACGTAGGTTATTAAACTAAACTTTCGCATGACTCCTTTTTCAATCATCTCTTCTTCCAAGATACTTTCATCTGCATCCATCCAACTGTTTGATTTTTGAAATATTCTCTTATGTTTCAACTGTCAATCCCTCAACGCATGTCACCCTCGCATGTTTCTTTACCAAAAAACTCATTTAACCTTTTTTTTCCAGCTCAAATTGAAGTCATACCGTGCAAAGTCTGCGGAGATAAATCGTCAGGAGTTCATTATGGAGTTATTACTTGTGAAGGGTGTAAGGTAAGTATTTAAGTTATGAGAATTGATCAAAAAGTGTCTGTGTATGTATGTGTGTGTGTGTGTGTGTGATGAGAGGAGGTTTTTGAAAAACGTATTGTCTCACTAGTCTTTGAAATCATTTCTTGTCATTGAAATGGCAGACATTCATTCTTTTGATATTTGAATTTTCTTTATTTTTTGGCATATGTTACTTAGTTTGTTGTCAATCGATGAATGTGCATAGCAATAGTGCTGAGCTCTTACTGTGATTGCGCAACTATGTAAATGTAGATCTCGTTGTTTGCTGCTCACCTATTCTGACATGTGATATGAATAAAGAGGATTTAAAGCTGAGGACACGCTGAGAATTAGGGTCCTCAGATATAAGAATGAGAATAACATCGTAAATATATATTCTTTATACTCATCCTATTCTTATAGGGATTCTTTCGAAGAAGTCAATCTTCTGTTTGTAATTACCAATGCCCACGCCAGAAATCGTGTACAGTTGATAGGTATTAGTTGAATTCAATGTGTTGTATCTAATCATTTGTGTTTCCAGAGTAAATAGAAATCGTTGTCAATATTGCCGCCTTAAAAAATGTCTCGAATTAGGAATGAGCAGGGACGCTGTCAAATTTGGAAGAATGAGCAAAAAGCAGAGAGAAAAGGTTGAGGATGAGGTGTGGCATGAGTTTTTTTTTTGTCTTTGTCTTGGCCTGTCTAGTATCATAGTATTCTCATATTTGGAATATTGCCTGAGTATCATTATATCATTTTTATCGAAAAAAGTTGCCTGTGAATTAGAAGCTATGGTGGTCCTGTCAAAACTGAAGTCTGAACATATTTTCAAATCAAGTAGTTCATTTTGCATTAAACAAGTCTTCCTGTCGACGAGTGTTCGCTCTTGGAAATCAGTCTATCGGATTGATACCTCTAGCTTGATAAGAGTTGCTTGATATATACATTTAGCCTGATATCATATTTAGCCTGATTTTGCCTGAATTTGCCTGACCCATGTATACCCTCTTGTATTTTTGTGGTCTTTTTTAAGCATGGTGACCACAAATTACAGGTGCGGTTGCATAAGCAAATGGCTGAAGCGAATGGACTTCCGTTCCAGGGTTATCCAGAGTACTCTCCTCCATCCCAACAGCAGCAGCAGCAACAACCCACATACAACCAAGGGTTTGTTTTATTTTATCTTATCTTATAATCATCACTTTTTGTTCGATGTTTATATAAAAAAAACCCAGATGTTCTCTTAATGACCAGATGTTCAAATCAAATGTTTTCAGATACGAGTATGGTCTCTATCCTCATTATGCGCCGAATGCTTATGCTCATGCTGTAGCCGCTGCACCAGTCAACTATCCAGCTCAACCAGGATATGGTATTCCATTACAAGGTATGTTGAAACTATTTGTTTGTGATTAATTTTATTGTCGTTCCAGCCTCTGTTCCTGCTGAGGAAGATAGTTGTTCCAAGCTAGGACAAGCTTTCGAATCTACACACACATATTTACAGCCACCACCAGATTTCTCAAGGCCTGTAGATATCCAGAGATTCGCATCAATTGTAAGTTTTTTGAGCTTTCTGCCATTAGGTGATACCATTGGCAAACAAAGTGAGGAAAAGAAGTGCCGCTTGTTGCCATTAGTACTCTTGTATGGGCATATGGCTTGCTGCTGGCAAGCAGCGCGTGAACGGCTACTGTGGCGTCGGCGCTTTCTTTTATGTAATAAGAGGCAATAGTCGTCATATGCCACTCCTGCTGAGCAGAAGATAATAATGCCATTGCTAAAGTAAAAAAAAGTGGTTACGATTGTAATACCATAGAAATTAAGATTAGTATAAGTATGATGCTTAATGAGGGGGGATTAATACATACTACTGTACTCATGTTTACATTTTGTATTCTAGAACAAGCGAGATGCTTGGAAGGAAATCGCAACTGACCTCACAAAAGTTATTCAATGTGTTATCGAATTCGCTAAGATGGTTGATGGCTTCATGAGAATAGCACAAGAACAGCAGATCCAGCTATTAAAAAGTAATTTTGAGAATCCTAACCGAATACAACCGATCTGTTCAGATAATGTTTTTGAAATGGCATTGTTATCGTTATCAGCTTGTTACTCTTGCCAGAATAATTGTTTAGTCTTTGGAAATAAGGCATTACCTTATTATGCTATCCCAGTGAAAGAAGGAGATTCTGAGGTTTGTTGCATTTCCAACTTCGTCAGTTCATTTCACTTTTTAAGATTGCTTTGATTGTTGATGTTTTTGGAGTATTACATGATGTGTCCTCTCTTCAACTTAACACATCAGAATTAGCTATGCTCTCAGTTATTGTATTATTAGAGGTCAGTGTTTCTTTCCAAAACTAGTTTTACCGGCAATTTTCAGAACTCAGAAGCTCAGTCAGAGACTGTTGAAAAGATGAGGACGACTCTGTCGAACTCTTTAGTGTCGAAAAATGGAAATTTAGCTACATACACTAAGCTTATGGATGTTATACCACGATTAAGAGTAAGTTACCTTAACATGTTCGTCTTGGATTAAAGGCTTATGTTTGCAGGGAGTTTCACAGAGTCATAGAGGCTTGTTATTGCGATTCAAGGAGGAACATCCTACCGCTGAATTGCCAGCTCTATACAAAGAACTCTTTTCTGAGTTATCGTAAATCTATTAATTAATATATTAACTATCTCCTAACTGAACTGATGCATATTCGGTTATCAGCATTTTATTTCTGTATTTTCATCACTATGTGTGCCACTAACGGGTATGTGCGGCCCGACCACTTTCAACACAGATCCGGGAAGTCTGCCTATGATCTAAGTGCTTTATCATCAGCGTTTGATTATCGTGATAACATATTTATTATACTTTTTGCTTAATTGCAGCTGGTGCAATCTAGGTATATCTTTAATAAATAATAAGAGCTACGCTACATAACGTATTACCTAATAATATTGTATATTCTTACTTACGGCATTTTCATATTATCTCATCCTTTGGCCGCACGACGATCTTCTATTAACATTCCCATAAACCTTTGGGTAGCTTACTGTTGCAATATGTTGTATTTTACGTTGTAATATGTATTAATGTTAATTGTTTTCAGTAAGCTTTACTCTGTTGTGCTAGAAATTTTGTGTGGCTATGAGCTGCATTATTTAAAAATGCAAAACAACTCTCAATACATATACCTAATGAATATTCGAAAATATGTTTTCCTTCCTAATTACACTCGAACAACAAGGAATCATATGAGTTACATCCAACATGACTCTTCGACTCAAACTGCTTCAGCTGCACCGACTATTATTTGCACTTACTGACCAAAATTTAACTTAAAGGAATACGGTAAGCAAGAATGTACCCGATGAAAACATCTGTACGCAATTGAAAAATTGTCAGTTTTCTAGTTATTCCTGCTCTTTCTCATTCTATTTGTTCTAATTAGGACTTTTGTTGAGCTTATTCTAATTGATTGATTACGTGAAATTAGTGTTGATTGCAACAGGAATTGTGCAAATAGATCGCTCGAAATAAATATACAAACTTTTGCCTTTAATTTCCTTGATTAGTGAGCCAAGTTAGTTTCATTTGTCGGAATTGAAACAGCTCAGAACTCGGAGTTGCGAAATTCGACACTCCCATGCAGCATAATCAATAAAAAGTGAAGCTTGAATCTCCGGAGAAAACAAAAAAGTGGCGGCTTAAGCAGAGATTCGCTGTGTTGTGGCAAAACGTTGTCAAACAAGCCTCCGAATACTAAGCGATCATGTGTATGGTTCACAATTCAATAAGATAATCTGGATAAATTCGTTCTAAAGCCTAGGTGCGAGTAAAGTTTATAACGTAGGTTTTCAGAGGATTACATGTGTTTTGCTAGCGATCAACGTGTCATATGGTTTGTTGTCTCATTTCATAGTGTAGCGTTTGAAAGCAAAGTGATTTCTTGATATACATACACATATATATATATATATTTATATTTATACATTTCTTTATATTTTTTATTGAATGATACTTTCCACGTTTGTGTGACGTCCAACAAAACATTCCTTTCAATGCAATATTAACATTTTTCTCCTTCATGTTTAGTATGAAGATAGGAGAGAGACAAAGCTTTAATCAAAGGTCCTCCTTATCTTAGAGTATTAATTTATCGGCATCAGTCTGAACTTTTCTTGTGAGTGCAACTTTGTTTTTCTCTATTTGTTCTATATCATCTCCTTTATCTTCTTTTTTTTCCTCCTTCTTACATTTTTTGACTCATTCTTTCTTAGTGTTGAGCCGGAATCAACATGAGTATACCATGTCCCTCTCCTCCTGGAGAGAGAGAACTGATGGAGCGAGAAGAGAGGCTCACACGAGGATCCGTACGTGTTTTTTATCTTTCCATCTCTGGATATCTATCTTTTTTTAGAAAGCTATCATCGGGATATGTGCAATGAATAGAAAAGCTACAAGTAAACCAATGCGGGAAATTATGAGCAAAATTATAGAATTTTATAATGTACGTGCTTGTTTTTGTGTCCAATTTTCGCGCAAACTGATATTCTTTCAGACGTGGTTAGATTATTTTATATTCCCTGAGTCTGTGATTTTGAATGAACCAGTTGAACGCTGGCCTCTATGCGATTGTTTGATATCATTCCACTCTACAGACTTTCCTTTGCACAAAGTTTGAAACGTTATAACAGGCTGCTCTTTCATTTCATTTTTAAGGCAATCAAATATGTTGAGTTGAGAAAACCTCATGTAATTAATGATTTAAAGAGACAATATGATTTGGTATGAGAGAATATGAATAAGTGTCTTAATTGAACTTGCAGCTTGATCGTCGGAAAGTGTTTCGAACATTAGCCAAAGAGGGAATAGAACATCCGAGACATGGAGTTCTCATGCGAGCGGATTCAAATGAACCAGGTTTTATCTTTCAGTATTCTATGTGAAACATCTGTGTGGCTCTAGATGGAGAATTGATAGAGCACAGCGATCATATCGAAGTCAATGGAATGGTATTTAACAAGCCTTTCGTAGAGAAGCCAATTTCGGCTGAAGATCATAACGTATATATTTATTATCCGAGTTCTGCGGGGGGTGGATCTCAAAGACTCTTCAGAAAGGTTTGTTTCAGTTTTCTGACAAGTTTGTTTTTAACAAAATATTTCTCTTGATTCGCCGGTAGTTAACCATCTAATGCTACAAAATCGCCAAAACTTACATAAAAAACGGTGATGATCTAGTTGCTAACGTGGGGATCTTAAACTTTGTACTCAGTTTCACAACTTCCATCACATAATTTTAGGGAAAGATGTCCATAAAAGGGAAATTGGTGAATGATCCGCATGTGAGTATATTAGGCATGACATTTTAAAAATTTGTTTTGCAGTGCTTAACATTATTTCGAAGTTTTCAAACATTAACAAAGCGCTAACAAAATCTTTTTTTATTTAAAACAAGTAGATCTTGTCCATAAATACGTAGCGAAACAGTTTTATAAAACCAATTTCTCTCTCTTCTCAGATTAATAATCGAAGTAGTTGGTATTCCCCTGTCTCGGAGGTTCGAAAAGCCGGATCTTATATCTATGAAGATTTCATTCCTGCGGATGGAACAGACGTCAAGGTTTTCACTGAGCTTCATCGTTTTAAAAATTTTTTGTCTTCTCAGGTTTATGCCGTCGGACCTTTTTATGCTCATGCTGAAGCTCGAAAAGCTCCAGGCTTAGATGGGAAAGTCGAAAGAGACACAGATGGAAAAGAGGTGATTATCTTTCTGATTCGTTTCTCAAATTTGAAAGTTTTTCTAGGTGCGATACCCAGTCATCTTGAGCAACAAAGAAAAGCTGATTGCTAGGAAAGTGGTGGATGCCTTTGGAGTGAGAGTCTCAGTTATAATAAGCCATCCATCCGTTCTTTTCAGCAAATTGTCTGTGGTTTCGATTTACTAAGAGCCAATGGAAAGTCTTACGTTTGTGATGTGAACGGCTTTTCTTTTGTAAAAACATCCACAAAATATTATGAGGTTTTGTGCAATTGAGATCTTTCAGTAAATTTAGTCTGTTCAGGATACGGCTAAAATCCTAGGCAACTCTATTGTTAGAGCGTTATCCAAAAATCATGACAGGATAGCATTCCAAATGCCACTATCCGAACCTCCTTTACTTGATTTAGGCTTAGGAGGTTGCTCTTCATTTGTTTATCTATGCGGAAGTTCGAATTTCTAGATGATCCTCCGTTGGTCTCAACACCAAGTGGAAAGTTGATGGAGTTACGATGTGTTTTGGCTGTAATCCGCCACGGAGATCGAACACCTAAGCAGAAGATGAAAGTGATTTTTGAGAAATAGTATGAGAATGAGATTATTTATTGAAGGTAATTGTACACGACCAAAGATTCTTTGACTTATTCAAGAAGTACGACGGGTATAAAAAAAACGAGATTAAGGTGAAGCAATTAGAACATCTTCCAATACGATTATGAGTTCAGATGAAACGTCCAAATCAGCTGACGGAAGTGTTGGAGTTAGCTAAGCAAATATTATTAGAGAAATATGTATTGTTAATTTGCTATCATCAAAGTGTATGAAAGAAATTTAGGAAGAAAGAAATAGGGTTCTACAGGAGATAGAAAACAATGAGAACGAACCCAATTGTATGGACCACGTAGAACAAAAGTTGGAAGTAGTTGAAGACCAAATTAAAAAATGGGAACAGATTAGGACAGTGCTTGAAATGTACGTTCATTTGATAGTTTTAATTTTCAAATCCAGGTTTTCCTTAGTTGCTTGAACCGTCTTTAGTTGAGTGTTTGACCTCTTTGCATGATGAGGTTAATTTTCATCTTTTATTTAGATCTAATATTGATATCGTCTGGAACTTGGCATTTTAATGGTTTCACAGCTTTTCTACTAACACTTGCATGCTTTCTCCATATTTAGTTATTTTTTAAGCAGTCTTGTGATGTTTAGTGCTTCTAATAAACTTTCATACTAACACCGCATGAGATTATCTTGTTTGTAACCAAAAATATGTTCAGGTACGGACATTTCTCGGGAATAAACCGTAAGGTTCAGCTCAAGTATTTGAAACCTCGAGAAGTGAAGCGAACTGAAGAAGATTCCAGCACACAACAGGTATGCTCATTCTTTCTGCGACTGTACCGCTAGATTCTTCTAGGGTGCTGCTCTCATGCTTATTCTGAAATGGGGTGGTGAATTAACAAATGCAGGTTAGTATACTTTCTGTTGTTTGTTTTTACTAATTTATCGTTTCAGGAATGCTACAAGCAGAAGCATTAGGAAAGCTTTTCCGTACTTTGTATCCCGGTATCAGAAGAACAGATGGTAAAACATCTCCTGAAGATACACAGGTAGCTTTGAAACCTTTATCGAATTATACTGTTCAATAGGGTCTTGGGTTTTTACGACTGCATTCAACATATCGTCATGATTTGAAGATTTACGCATCCGATGAAGGCAGAGTGCAAATGACTGCTGCAGCTTTTGCTAAGGTGTTCTATTGACATGATAGTTATTAACGATATTTTCTATTACAGGGAATGTTAGCTCTTGAAGGAGAACTTACACCCATTCTCATGCAAATGGTTAAATCTGCCAACACTGATGGATTACTAGATGACGATTGTCATGCCCGTGACTTCCAAAATGAGTTAAAGTCTTATCTGCATCAGGCCCTACAGGTTTTCCAAAATTCATACTGGCCGGAAAACTATTAGTTTATAGGTCGATCGGGAATTCACTCCAGAAGATTTCCAAGCTTTGAATCCTGATGGTTTACGATCAATCAACAATTCTATGGAATTCATCAAAAATCCAAGAAAAATGTGTCATGAAATAGCTGGCTATGTACAAAAGATGTGTGAAGTCATATCTTGGCATAAAACGAACAAACCCAGTGAATACGACAATTGCCTATTCTATAAACATACGGTACTTACAGATCACTCCCTTTATCAGAATGAGTCATGGGATCTAGCTCAAAGGAGATGGGGTAAAGAGCTTAGAGAGTTTCGTCGCACTAACAAGCTTGGCGACGTAGAATTTGACATTTCGAAAATACCTGATATCTACGATAATATAAAGGTTGGCAGTAACCATCGTTGCATAAAACTTGTTATCATTTATTATAGTATGATATGGAGCATAATCCAGAGATATGTGCTGGACATGAAGTTGACCTTGAGCGGATGTATTTGTGTGTTAAAAATATGGCAGACATCGTGGTTCCTCAAGTAAGATATAAATGCATGAACTTCCTATGGTTTTGATGGTTTAGGAATACGGGATACGTAAAGAAAATAAAATATGTGTAGCCCAACGTGTGTGCACTCCCTTATTGAAGAAAATAAAAAGTGATTTACATCGATGTTTGGAAAGTTCTGAAGAAGATGAGAGCCAAACCAGGCTAGATCCGAGGTAAGTAAACGCGATAAGGAATGAGCTTGTAACTAGAATGTTTTCATTCTTCCAAAATTTCTCAATTAGCGGCTGTGCATCAGAAAAGACCGAAAATTATCACAGTTTTCATAAAAATGAAAACGCCTTGTTTTCATTTATAATTTTTTGCATTTAATTACCCGGCTGTGCTATGAGTTCAACTCATACAGGCATCACTCTGAACAGAATGATTTTACATTGGAGCTTGATTTTGCTTTTTTTTCATTTTCATGTTCCAGGGCCTCTCAAGGAATCGCCACCCCTCTAAGACATGTCAGAACCAGGTTATATTTTACAAGCGAAAGCCACATCCATACAATGATGAATCTAATCCGATATGGAGGACTTTGCTCAGTATGAAATTTTTTGTTGCAACATTAAAAAAAATGTTATACAGGTTGACGATCGAAAGTGGCAGAGAGCGATGAATTTCCTTAGTGGAGTGACAGAGTTTAATTATATGACTCAGGTTTGGATAAATGTGGCTTCAGTGCCTTATACCCGATTTTCAGGTTGTTTTAATGGTGTATGAAGACAGTAGAGCGGAAAGTGGACAAGATCGATTCCATATAGAACTTCTCTTCTCACCTGGGCTTTATCCTTGCTTTTTGACTGAGAAGGAGAGGATATATGAGAATAGAATGAACAAGTAATTCATTTATTTTTCGAAATGTTTATCATGTTCTCTAGTAAAACGAATGGGTTATCGAAAAGTCACTCGAGAGATGGTGGAGCAACTTCTCCTTCAACTGTAGCTGGAGCTCTTAGTGAAACACAGAAAGAGAAAGAACCAACTAATTTAACTCTACCTACACCAGTGGATGATGTTTCTATATCAAGTCAACTTGATGACAGTCATCCACTTCCAAGTTCTGGGTAAGAGCTGATGTGTGTTCGAGGATATTAATGTTTTCAGCCTCGTTAGCCCTGCTGATAAAATGTGTGTTGATTCTGATGACCATTTCGAAGACCTTAACGATTCTGAGTCTGTTAATTTGGTTGCTCTCGATGAAGTTACTCAGAAGCAATTCAGTAAGTTGAAATGCTTTTTTTCAAATATTTGGCTAACTCTTGCATGTGCTTCACGCATCTTTAGCTTATAAAATCTAGAACGAGTTCCGATTTTTAACACTTTGATTATTCAGCAGCAGATGAAAAATCGAAAAGACAAAGGCATATGACAGGAGGTGAACGAGAAAAAGCTAGTGAAGAAGGGGATAGGCCCAAAGAAGATGGCGAATGGAGAAGAGATAAAACTTCAGAGCCTCTCGCAAGAGTGATGAAAAGTTCCTCACAGGTGTGATTACTCATAACCCTACTCAATTTCGAACTAATGCAATAACATTTCTTATAAAGGTTTCCGTTGGTGATGGGGAAGATGATTGTCAAGCCACTGTGGGCAGTGGACGCGGCAAATGGGCGAAGGACCTTCTTGATGAAACTCGAAAAGCCATGAAGAGTATCAAAGAAGATGATGAAAAGAAAGAAATAGATAGAAAAGATAGTGGATGTGAGTACTTTAGTTGAATAATTTTTTTTCGTTCAAGTGATATTGACTAACAAGGACCATTGTTAATCGGTACCTCTAGAGATTTCATTAGTTTTCATACAACACCCAAACCTTTCACTAATATGTTTTTTTCTGAAACTTCTAGATTTTCTCATGTGCTTGTGTTGACGAAACAAACCCAGCCATCTCTTTGAATAGGATTTACTTTCCTTCTCAACTTTAATTATTCCTTTTAAAGCATGCGTTATTTTCAGCAGGTGCCTTCAAGTTGGAACTATCTGCTTCCGGAGAAGAAAAGTGTATGTAAAATGTTTCCCCTACTCAATAGTGTTGTGCTGAATGCCTTGTTAGCTTCATAACCCCACAGATATCAAAACAACTACTTCATTCACGCTCTTCTCAATCGTGATGAACATACACTAGCACGTTGTTCAAGGCTTTATTACGCTATCTCTCTTTCGCTTCTTTTTTTCAATGTTCAGCTAACATCAGCCAGTTCTGTCATAATATTATTAACACGAATAACTTAGTTATACGTTTCTTCATATTTCTCTTTTTAGCACGACGCTCTCGTTTCCCCTACAAATTTAAACATCATACGGTGAATTTACTCACGGGTACGTTATAATAACATGAACAATGGTAACAAAAGCTTAAGGAGCAGCATGTGTTGCTGGATTGAACAAGTTGGTTAGTACTGATGTATTGATGGGAAAGTTCTTGATCGAACATGCGAAAGACAAATCTAAACAGACAGGACGTAAGTTGGTTATGTGATAAGAGATTTGAACCTCTTCATTTCTGTGGTTACGTTTTATTAATAAATTTTTAGAAATCATTTCAGATTATGCACCAGGTCCAGCAGTTTTGTCCACTGCTGTGATTGCACGATCTTCAAGTGCTCCTAGATTACAAACGTTCAAAGCTGAAGATGATTTGAACGTTGGAGGTAGTTTTCTTTACGTCGTGGCGCATAAGAAGTTTAATTTCAGAAATCAAAAGATTCTGGCCTCCTCTTAGATCTCTAGAAACATTGCATGATAATATCAAGTTCGAACAGTTTGATCGTTTCGTTTCTCATCTGATCAATTTTCCTACACCTCTGCCAAGCCCTCCTAAAACACCTCTCCCTGTATCAAACGAAGGTAACGCTCTCAATCTTTAACTCGACTCCTGTGAAAAATTTTCAGATCTACAACCTAACCTCAGTAAATTATCAGCTGAAGTTGAAAAATTGAAAGAATTGTCTTTAGAGAAGAAGTGAAACATTCCTTTATGATAGCTACATTCTATCTACGAACTGGTAATAATTGTTAAATTGAAAATATGTGATATAAAATTGTATATTATGCTTTAAAATATGTTTGATAATAAAGATTACTTCGAGCACATCTACTATTCCCGGCTACGTTTGGTTTCCTCATACTTCCGAATTATTACCTAGTTATGATAATATTTGAAGCTCGGGTCAGAAAAAGATCTTTTCTCAAAAGAACAATGTGCAATGATATAAAAAATACTTTTTTTTGGATTGATTCCGAGTATAAGGGGACAATAGCATTCATGGCCGACGACCATTTGGCAAAATTGGTCCCGCCACTCTTACGAAATTTAAACAACTAGTATGAACCTTCCCTAGTATTTGGATTTATGCTTAATCTACTATGCTTGATATAAGGCTATAGTTTATAAATTCTACCGAAATAACACATTGTACACCAAGATATAAGTTAATTTGTAGAGTGTTGATTCCATCAAAGTCATATCTTGGTAAACCTAATGGAAAGTAATAAGGACGATGTACCAGAGGTTGTTCCTTCATTGTTGGCTGATTGTAGAAGAAAAAAACTATTTCAGAGAGAAAAATCACCAGTTCAGGAAGAAATTGTGGAAACCACTGTAAGTTTAAGAACAAAAGAACGGTCAATTAACATGAATTGTGTTGTAGGCTCCTGAATCTGTTGGTGAGGTAGTGTTGGACGAAGAAAACGACGATGAATACGAATGTAATATTAGTAGTCAGTTTGATCAAACACTCCTTTTTGATGTAAGCCTTTAAAGAATATGAAACAAAACAATAGAAGCATGTTTTTCAGCTCTATCAGCCTATAGAAACGGATGATTTTCGCTTACTCTGTAAAATATGTCTCCAATTAGGAAAGCAAATGCTTTTCGATGATAAACAACAATATGCATCTCATCGCTATAAAGTTCATGGCTCTTATAATGTTTGAAATCTATTAATCCTTCTTGTTGATTCTTCCTGTTTCAGAATAGTGTTGCTTGTCCCATGTTGGGATGCCGTGAAGTATATGCGTCTTTAATTATTTTGAGAAAACATTTGATGGTATTTTGAATTCTTGCTCTATTAGAATAAGACAATTTATGCTTTCAGAGTGAACATAAGCTACCATTAGAAACACATCACCAAATCTTTCCAAACATGGGCGAGTTTGAAGTGAGTCTTTATTTCATTCATTGAACGGATATGTGGAATTTTTAGAGATGGCGTCAACTCGTGGAACTTGCATCCAATTGTAGATATATGATGCATACTAAACAACCTCATTACAAACGACAAGTGATGCATTGTTCGAGGAGTGAGCACAAGATGGTCCTACAGTCTAAAAAGTAATTAATTTGAAATATATTATTTTTGTTACGATATAAACTGTAGACATCGTCTACCTCGCTTGCGGATGCTGAAAGAAGGGTCTTGTTGTCCAGCGTTTGTTTCTTTCAGAATAGAAGAGAAAACGGGGTTTGACATTTTGGTTTGAATATCATTTGTTGGTTTGATAATTATAGCCGCGTACACTGTTTCTACCAGCTCGTGCATGTCGGGCATGCAACTCAGGATGACACAGAAGAGACCAACGATTCCAATCAGCAGTCTACTTCCTACAGCGAAAGAACTGTTAGTTTTTCTTTAAAGTTTGCTCGGAGTTATTATGATATATCAGGTTGGTCGACTGCCATCTCTTCATTTTCCTGAAAAGCCAACTTACATCGGAGAGCGTGCTATGCAATACCTGCAGGTTCGGTTTGAATTCGCTTCTGCTCTAACTTCAGGTTCAGATTGATCTGATTGACATGGATAGTACTGTATATGCAACTGTTGTTTATTCTAATGTGTTAATGGTTACTGATTTGTATACTGGCTATATGTGGGCAAAGCCCTTGCCTGGATCAGCCCAAAAACAGTTGATTCTAAGAATCCTTTCTGATTTATTCTGTCAATTCGGAGCTCCAGGTTCCTAGCATGTCTTTTACTATTTCTATGTAAGCTTCTTACAGAGGGATTTTCATGTTCTGCTAGCCATTCCCAACGCATGATAAGAGAAGCTATGAATGCGATTGGAGATGTGTTCCGTGCCGAAATTCGCGAAGTTTTCAATGAGGTTCTTTAGTACTGAACATTTAACTTGAAAATTTTTTACTTTGAAGATGCCTGATTATGAATGGCTTAGAAATAGCCTTCTTAGCCAAGCTTCAGAAGAGTTGAAGTCTCCCAACCGTTGGGTTGAAGTTTTGCCATTTACTATTATGTCTATCAACCAATCAGGACAGAGGAGCTCTTTCGAAGTAGATACCTCAAAGCCTGAAACTCAAATCAGAAACTTAAATTATAGAGAATGTTCAATAGAAAACCGTTCGGAGATACATTCCCACCTTGGCTTAATGAGAGTGAAGCATACTTCGAGGACAGTGATCAGTTTGAATCGGAGATCCAGCATCAAGTATCAGCTAGATATCAAGTTGGAGACAAAGTTTATGTAACTTTTGCTTTGTTTGTGGTTTGAGAGCATTCCGTTTAGTTGAGAAATTTAAACTCAAGACCTGGAAGAGGAAATACATCTCCTTACTTATATGGTTACATTGGCGAAGTAGATTGGAAAGATAGCCCCCACTTTCCATATAAAGTTCACTATTCCAAAAGTAGTGAACCTTGGCCTCATGAAGGTATTTGTCTTCTTCATTCATAATCATTCATTGATAAAAACTAGTCAACGTGTTCACATGGGTCACTCCGTATGATGTTCTTCCCACCAGTCATGACTTGATGCTCATCAGAGATGAAGGTGATTGAACTTTCTTTGAGTTCAAATATGTTTTTCCTATAGATCGCAGACGTGTGATGTCCACTTTACTCTGTACTTGTCAAGATAAGTCGGACACGGGAGAAACTTGTCAACTTTTCCGGAATCATGCTTGTATGAACGCAATGTCTAGAGTTTGCTGTCTTGCTAGTGGATACGAGTGTGGATATCATGATCTCGTCCGTGGAGAAGAAAGCTATATAAAAACTCAAACGATCTCACGATATTATGCATCTAATTGTAGCCCAGCAGAAAAGAAAAAACTGGGGGAAATAATAAGGTGTCCCGGTATTCTCATGACTTGTTTATTGGAATTTTTTAGGACTCGGTTCGCTAAAGCTAGTCCCACGAACGACGGTGGCAATGCTTCCACTGAGGATTCTAAGTAACTGTTCAATTAACCTTCAGTTTTTAACTTTTTGTTCAGTGTTGAACCCATAGATGTGGGAGAAAATGGTGAAGTTACTAGTTTAGTTCGTCCTTCCATATTGGTGAGAGATCATATTGATATTTTTGTCATCAAGTCTTCTGCAGAGAAGTCGAAAAAGACCTACTAGATCAGCTAGCCGAATAATTGTACATACTAATGATACTGAACCTGAGCAGCATGGATCTTATAGAGATCCCCGACATCGCGTTCAGATTATAACGGACGGAGAGCAGGCACCTCCCAGGGTTAAAAGAGTTCAGGTTAAGCGTCGACGATTGAGTGATCAGTTGAATGATCTAACTGCGAATATAACATTTGAAGTTCAGGTTTTTAAATTCTTCAGCATTCCCACTATGAAGTTTAGACTTAAGGGAGACATACATAGTCCAAAAGAAGAACCAGTAGAACAAGTGGAAGTACTGCAGATCAGAAGATCAGCTCGCCCGATCAAAATCAAATCGTACAATGAATTTGTTCCGCATTAATTGTGAAATACGATCTCAATATGTATCATCGTTCTTGATTATGATTTAGGAGTTCAAATCTCCTTAGATTACCTTCTTCTCAATTTTTAATGATTTTAATTTTATTCTTAAGCGGTAAATAAGTGTATGGCTGCGGACCCGAATTTTACCTATAGGCTGGGGAAGCTCCTTGTTTTGAGAGACAAGTTTGACTCTGTAGGAGAATGTCTCTCACGAATGGTTCATTCAGCGGGGGTTGTCCAGAACAAAATCCATGGCTTATCAGAAAAAGTACGATCCATATATATATATATATACATCAAACCGAATATCTGCTCAGGAAACCGTCGATGCCATAAACACTCTAGTGGCTGAAATCAAAATCGACCCTGTTGTTAGTGGTTTAGTTTGTTTACTAATGTCCGAACCGGAACAATTTAATAAGGTAAAGCTCTTAGTTTAAACCACAAGTCTTTTCTTAGTATTTCCATTTACTTGCTGCCGTTGGTGAATGGTTTCCCGTACTTTGTGTTGTAAATATGGTTATCATAGAGGGATATCATAAGTTGCAAGATCACTGTAAAGCTGGTCTTGTCAACTTTTTTAGAGAAACTATCAGATTAAATGTTCCTAAGGTAGTTCGAATCTAAAGTTTTAGTTTAAACTTCTGACTTCAGATTGAAAATGTTGTTATGAATCAGCTAAGAACATTCAATGGAACTGGGGATTGGGAAAGCAAAATCCGTTTTTCCTATATGGTATATGAAATTGAGTTCTTTCTTTTCATTTTTGTTTATTCTAGATGGGAAAACTTCTTCAAGAGAATGAACAGTGGCTGCTGTCGGTTAAACCTGGCTCTTACATATTTTCAATGATTTTAAGTACTTTTGGTCACTTAATTGCTGATATCTCAACTCAAAAAGACGCTGTTCGTCAAACTTTGATTCATGTGTGTGTGTTTATTATCCGGTAAGGCTTGTTTCTATACCTTAATATTATGTCTCTTCTTATAGAAATCGTATTAATGATGCTTGTATGTTGGGTAGGGATTTGATCCTCATCTTGATGCGTCTTTCGAAAGTTCCGCAATTTGCTCAAATTTGGAAAGAAATGATCAATACGCCGAAAACTTTGCATATTAACAGTTAGTTTTGGAAGAACTGTTCATTTTTACTTCTTCTGTACTAGGTCTCGAGGATATAATGTTCCGGACTAATCAATTATATCATTCATCTCTTCGCTTATCACCTGAACTGACTAAAAAAGTAGACTTCATATTGTGGCAGGTCAAACCAAATATTCAATATAAGCATTTTGAATGGCTTACGTCTGCAGTTAGTCATTGTGTTATTTAACAATATGATCATGTATTTCAGCATTTATCCGGCCCAGACTCAGCTAGTTTACGAGCGGAGATGATTCGTTATACACTTTATTCGGTAAAAGATAATATGCCTCCTCAGTTCTGTGATGCCAAAATCCATTTCTTGCAATATTTGTTAGGAAATGCACAGGTAAATCTGTGTGCGTCTAGTTTTCTATGCTCTTCTTCAGACGGGATATGAACTTCAGTGGTGTAAAACAGCTCTTTGGATTGATTGGATCCTATATGATTCAAACTGCCCCCTCTCCATCATTGAACCTGTGCTCGGTTGGTTTTTTAATCGCTTTGTATCATTACATATTCAATTTTCAGCCTTAGTTCGTTTCACTCTGAGTGCTCAAGCCGTGAAAGCAAATTCTTTGATGGAGTACGCTTGCAAGGTTAGATTATCAAACAGCACAGAATTATGGTTTCTTTATAGACGGTCAATGTTCTTCATCCTCCCATGAAAGAGCAAATCAAACGTGCTATCAATCAAGCGATGAGGATTGTTGCTGATTTTTATGCTTCTACGTATGTGAAAACCCTTTTTCATGTTATGGTTGTGTCTTTACAGAAATCAGCACATTTCTAACATTCTGGAAAATGTACGGTTGGATAAACCAGTGAGGGAGCAAATACGAGAAGTATGGAAAGATTTTGTTCGAGCTCCCGTTACCCCAACTATCAAGTTTGCTATCTATCAGTACTCGATATTCATATTATACTTTTTAGCAGTTCGCCAGTCACGGTTCCTCCCACAACCGCTCCTATACCCATACCTTCAACTGCTACTCCACCTGTTCAAACTCCTCTCGTGGTGGAGAAAGAAAAGATTAGAACTGAATCGAGAGAAGAAAAAATTGAGACTGAAGTTATTGAAAGAAAATCTCCTAGTCCTTTATTAGGGAGTTCGACTGCAAGGGTGTGTTTGAATATAGATTGAGACAACTGATCATTATTCGTTCAGGCACTAAACAAGGAGGAGGTTGAGAAAGAGGTTGAGGCAAATTACCAATTACTACGTGAAGATCTGAAACCTATGATAGGCATTCTCAGGTTTTTTTAATCTCATCTCAATCAAACCCCTTTCTCTCTCCAGGGAGGCTTTCCAGTCTCAAGAGGCGGATGAAAGTGAGAAGAGTGAAGCGGTTCAACGATTTCTTAGTCGGTTACTCGAATTTGTATGTTTATATTTACATTGAAGAGCATATGATAAACTTCAGGAGGACGGGGTTGATGAAGAACAATTAGAAGTTATGGGTCATTGTGTGCTAGGAATTTTGGGAAGGCCTCAGGATTGGGGTCGTTTTGTTTATCCGGAGATAGTTACTGATTCAGTTCTACAAGAATCATTTAATCATCCTCTCTACATCATATTCAGGAACTTCTGGTATATAGTGAAGTATTGCAGTAATCTATCATTATGATTTCAGTTTCACTCCGGCTATTGATGGTTCAACGCGATCAGTAATGATATCTCTCATTGCTGCAATGAGGGATAAGGATAACACCATCACTTACGTGTTCTTGTATTTCATGAAGGTACTAATTTTTTTTCAAAATCAGCATATAAGCACTTTGTGTCTCTGACGCCAGATGCGTGTGACGTAATAATTAGAATTTCAAGAGCACTCATGAAGTTCTAAACATTTGTTTTTTGTTCTTTTAGAACGGTTGCACTTTAACAACTTTGGTTCCCATCTCAATTCATATTTTAGGCTGGTGTTCAAAGTTTCACAGAAACAGTATTGTGCTATGATGAGATTGCTAGAGCATGCGGGAAAGATGTTGGGGAAATGCTTGCAGAAGATCTTCAAGTATACTTCATTGGTTCATTCCTAAAAAAACCAAATTGTCATTTTCAGCAATGTGCACTAGATGATGATCGCCTTTTTGCCTATTTATTGCCTTTCGTATTCAGATCATTCTCCGGAAATGCCCACTCCACGCCTGATGTTTGCTTTTCTGAGATTTTATTACTATCTGTGAGTTTACAGGTGTTCAAGACCATATGTCATTTCCTCGACTCAACTCAGCTGAACGATTTAGTAGGAGCCATAATAAGGTATGTAGAAAACTCCTTTCTTAACTTCTGTTGTATAGAGAAAACTGCCAACTCTTCCGCAAAGATAATTTCCCTTCTCTGGTTACGGCTTCGTTCACCTGGGAGACAACTGCTCAGTGGATATTTTGGCAATTAGGTATGAAGTTGCGTTTTTGTAACAAAAAAAAAATTTTCTCAGTTCATGCGGAAGGCGTTCCAATTGATTGGGTGAGCACTTTGTTGCCTAAAATCGACAGTATAAAGAATGGAGAAGGCGCTACTAATATATTGTTAATGTTAAAGCGGATGGGTAACACATATATTCCATAAGCTTAGTTAATATACTGTCACTTAGATCGCGAACCAACCACAGGTTTAATAAGACAAATTTTGTCGAGGCAGCCAATACTTGAAGATACATTTACTTCAAATGCTTTAAAAGTAGGAGACTGAAAGAGTGTGAATGCATTATAAGGTTGTTTCAGGTGCTGATTGATGATGGTGAGATGTGCACGAAAGTAGCAGAAATTGTAGGAGCAATACTGAAAAAACAAATCGCTTCCGGTGATATCATGACAGTATCAGTGGCTAAGGGCCAAGGAAAGAAGACCACGCCTAAACTTTCCATGGAACAAGTATTATTTTGAGAGATTAGCGTGTTTGAACATTTATTTAAGGTTCTGAGTCACATCGAGAACTTCATACAGCTTTGTCTGAACAAAGATAAGAAAAGCACGGAGAATTTACTGTCAAAGAATTATGTACAGGATGCATTCCAAGCAATCAAAGCGTGAGTTCCTCCTACGTTAACAGTTTATTTATTTGTTTAGCAATGAGAAAACCACCTTCTTGCGGTCCAAGTACATGCAACTTTTCGCTGTTATTGAGATATTGGGAGAAGACAATCATGGGGTCTCACGAACATTACGAGGAAATAGATCTGGAACTGCGGGAAAACAAACGAAGAAAAAAGAAGAAGAAGTGGTACGGTGTTTGAACATTCATATTTATCGAAAGTTCATTCCTTTAGGATGAATCCACACCTACTAAAAAGAAGAAGCCGCGCGTGATTCACTTGGATTCTGATAGTGATTGAGCCAGAAGTAACATCCCATTAGAACTAGTCTAGCCAACGGGTGGAATGCTTGGATTGATCGCTTATTAACTGTTCATGCGGTCGACCCTTACGTGTATAGTGATGGCTTTTCTCTTGGTTTTTCTCCAAAGCATTAATTAATGGTGTCTACCGGATCTTTATTTTATGAAAACATTGATGATAACAATTATTCGTCCGCAATGTCATAGTCATGGTCCCTTTTGGAATACTCTGCGTCTCATCCAAATTCCTCGTCGTCGTCATCCATGTGCTCTCTGCTTTCTCTTTTTCTTTTCGCCCAGGGCTGCTTTTCTCTAACCTCCGGAGCTGCTGTTCTTTCATGATGACTAGAAAAATGAGCGAAATTCTTTTCAAACATTTCTATCATATTTATAATTTTCACGGTGACTTAACTATCTACTAGCCCGTTTACTTTTGAAAAAAGACATCGAAAACTAGAGATTTGATTTATATCTTCCTCCCTCAATAAATTCTGAGGTTGGTATGCAATCATTCTCTCTCGGGTTCCTGTTTGTTACCTTCCCCTTCAATTCTCTCTGGTAGAAAGTAATTTATTATCTTCTTATTATTATTTAATCTAGAGAATGCCTCTGAGATCTATTAATATTAGATTATATTCAGAAAGTAAGGAAAACCTTATAATCTAGGATAATTTCTTTAAATTGTTGAAGATTTATAAGATAATATCATTTTTCTATTGTTCCGGTTGCTACTTGGCTTCGATACTCATTAGCCAGAATTGTTTAATGGTGGTTCCAAAGCCATATAAGTTTTTTTTTCATTTGTAAAAAGGTTGAAGAAACGTTAACATCCATTTTCGTGTCGGAAGATCTGTCATTCCTACTTGATCATCTACATTCTGTCTTTTTTCAAAATTGTATTTGCTATGTGAAAGAGGGTGACCACGGTTTTCAAGCAGTTCTGTGTGTCAAATCCATCCTATCTCCTGATAAGTTTTGCTCTAAATAACTTTAAATGTTGTATCAGCTTTCGTTGTTTCTACATATTCTAACATTAAAATATATTCTATAAGACTTTGCGGGTAAAAGTTTTTGTCTATATTCGTGCATAATTCTCTCTCTCTCTCTGTCTGTCTCTCTATCTCCCCCTCTCTCATACGAACTGTTGCAACTTTACGGGTTTTGTAGATTGTTGCAGCATTTAATGGAATAAATATCTATATAATCTTGTGTGCTTCTCATTATCAAGCTTTCATTTCAACAACATTCTGGAGTGTTTTGCCTTTTGTTTTCATTTGGTTAAAAACAAATAGCTATAGACTATGTACGAAGACCGCTTTTATACTTTGTCCGTGAAAGCTGACTGAGCCTTTCCCCTACACACCAACTAGATCATGTTTATAGTCTTGAAGCTCCTTTTATCTTGCGTCTTCTCATTACAGTCACTCCCTGTCACATTTAAACTAAATTATCGATCGATTTTTTTGTTATCAAACTTCATGACACTTTGGTCATCATTCTGAACTTCCGTTATTTCAAAGATTTTGAAGTTTTCACGAAGTTTTCTTTCAACAACTTATTATATTATTCGGCTGTCGACATGCTTATTGAAGTGTTCGATACACCTCTGATTTTCTTGTTTTGTTTCTTTTTCATTGGCAATTTCTGTTCAATTTTACTCAAGCATTGCCCGCCGTACTCTTGAAAATTGATAGCTTCTCTGTTTTCATCATTAGACAATTGTTCTGATCAATTTGTTAAAGGCTCCGTTTGACTTCATCTTTCAACCTCCTTCTTTTACCTTTTCTGAGCTGAACTTCATTGATTTTCTTGTGTTTGTTTTGTCTCTTACCTTATAAGGTTTTATTCTTGTTTTCTTACATGTATATTGAAATAAAGTAAAAGAACACTTGTCACAAACTTCTAATGAATCTTGTTGTACTTTCATTGTTTTTTCTTTCCCTTAACTAGTATTCCCAGTTTGGCATCGTATCCTTCAAGTAATTTCGAATTGAACACGTTCTAACAGCTGGTCAGAAAGATAGAGAGAAAGAGAGAGAGAGAGCAATGATCAGTTAAATGAAGTTTTCTTCATGGCATACCCTACCATCAGCCATTTCGGAACATTGAGCTGGATATTATGATCAACTTGCAACATTGCCTAATGGGTCCCTATTTTGCAAGCTTTCTTTCTGGGTGATGAGCGCAGAACCGGTCTAGGCGGGTGCAAATGTCCACCGATCACGGGCCGAACTAGCTTTACTAACTATCCATTGAAGGAGAAACAGAACGAAATTATTGATCAACTTTCTTTTTTTTTCATTTCATTGGATATTTATTTGTTGTTCTAAGGTTTCTTTCCAGTTAGAGCTTATATGGTTTTGCTTTTTCTGGTGCTGCTCACCTCTATAATCATCTGTTTTCAATAGTTTATTTACCTCCCACTCTTCCGATATGTCCTGTTCTTTCGTTTTTTTCCTTCCCTATCTTTCTCTGTCGAACAAAACGTTATGATGAAGAATAGGTGTTGACTGCACCTCACTTACAACCCCCGTTTTCCCACCAATTCTATCTGTTGTTCTATTACCTTTCTCTTTGACCACATTTTAACTTCTCATTAAAGTTCTTTTTTCTTTTTCTGTTCAATAAGTTATCGATTTCCAAAATAATTAAGATAGAATTGCGAAAGAAGGTAATAATAACAGCTGCTCCCGATATGGCTTTAAGCGCCTAGCCTTAGTGGGGCCTGGCGCTGTGTCAATGTATTCTTATCTACAAATTCTTCTCATATATTATATGTAATGACGTCTTTATATTTTCCTAACTATATGAGAAAAGGGGATTAGACATGAAGCCCATGATTACTTCGTTTACTTGTATGTCCGTTCGCTGCATTAAAAAGCTTTGATGTTTCCATGCTGCCATTGTTTTTGTCTCTCTCTCACAATCTCATATCAATCGAAGAATCTTTCAAATTTTAACTTTGTCAACTATTGAAGAACAGGATTCCAACGGAACAGCTTCTCATTGATTTCTTTTTTTGTCATTTTCCACGTTTCCACGTATTTTTTTCACGTGACGTTTAAATTTAGGGAAGACGCTGAGATGATGAGCTTGTAGCTCATCTGTGTGTCTGTTGACTTCAAATATTGTGAGTTCTTCAATTATTCACTTAATCTATACATTCAATACACTATTAGTTTCAACTTATACTTCTCATTAGCAACTAGGCAAAATCATTTATTTCGGAAGCTCAAATGGTTGTTGTAATTCATGGCTTTGATAGTTCCGTCGAAACGGTACTTTATCTATTATCATAATTCATAGTTTAAATTGTTTTTCACATTGTTTTCAGGATACGGAACTGTTGAGAGTACGTATAGCTAAAGGTGAACGATTAGGCAAACGTGATTTATTTGGAATAACTGATCCATATTGTATAGTTCGATTGGAGAAGGTTAGTCATCATCATTCCTCCTATCATATCATTACTCATTTAAGGCTGATGGTCAGCTTGTTGATGAAGTTACTTTGGAGAAAAAAAAGAAAGTATAGATCACTCTTTGTAACATTGACTGAACTTTCATCCATTTTCAGACCCGAAATCCATTATGGAATTCCGTTTTTACATTCCGCGTCACCAAACAGTGTACTCTTAAAGTTTTGGTATTTAATGAGCATCGTTTGGTGAATTTTATGATTTAATTAAAATTATGCATTTATATAATTCAGAGAAGAGATGATTTAGTGGGATCGTTAGAATTTATGCTCAATGATGATAATATTCAAACGGAATCACAGGCACCAAGTGCTCATCCTTTAAAACCTGCTCGTTACAAGTAGATTCGTTTCGTAATAGGTCACGAGCCATATTTTTTATTATGTAGAAATCCCGGAACCATTTGGATGTCAATGCATTTTCTACCCTCCAACTCGTCCCCCAGTGAATCATCAAACGATCTTCAAGCTTCAAGTTCAATGCCCGAAGGTACGTTTGAAGTATCAATCTAAATGTCATTTCTTGCCTTTCATGTTTGACTCCGAGAAAAAGTGCAATGTTAAATCAATACTTACTAAAAAGTAAATATATCACACAGTTTGTGATTAAAAATCATTCTGGTGAAACTAAAAATACTCGTTGGAGTAATTATATGCAAATTCGTAATGCATGCACCATTCACAAACAGTTTTCCCATTTTTTCGATTGGCAGTCACTACCCCATTATTATTGGTTTTCAAATAATTAACCGAATTGCATTTCAGGTTGGGAAGAAAGAGAAGATGCCAATGGCCGAACCTTTTATGTTAACCATGTTCTTCGAACTACTCAATGGGAACGGCCTGGTACAAGTGCCGATAGAGAGGAAGAATCTGTTCTAGAAACTAGAAGACGTCGAGACAATTATGAGCACAGAAGTCAAGTAACTGATGGCAGTCCAGACGTTATGCGCCAAGTGCAAGAGGTTCGAACTTTTAATGTTTTCCAACTTAATTTACAATAATGGGAGTTACAAATAAAAGATTTGCAAGAGGAACGGGGCCAAAGTGAGGACAATATTGAATTTTATCCCAGATTATAGATTGTTGTTATCAATTGGGAGTATTATGTAGGTTATACTATTTGTATAACCTTAGACAATATTTTAAATATTCGTTGTCACCTTTAATCGATTATTCAAAAATCTTTTTTTTTTACAATATTTATTTAGATTGATAATGGTATGAGAGCTAATTTCGATGGTCAATCGTCAACAGGCGGCGAACTCAGTCCTCACGAGATACCATTACCTACTGGTTGGGATATGCAAGTATGTTTCCAATACCATTTTCTCTTACTATCTCTATTGGAACAGATAGCGCCGAATGGAAGAACGTTTTTCATCGATCACAGAACGAAAACAACAACTTGGATTGATCCTCGAACAGGGTCCATAGTAGCAAGACCGGGAGAGGGGCGAACGGACGATGAGATCGGTGCTATGCCTGAAGGATGGGAACAACGAGTGAGTTTTTGCGTGAGTTTTAACATCAAATAGCTATCATGTATCAGGTTCATACTGATGGACGAGTTTTCTTCATTGATCATAATAACAAACGAACACAATGGGAAGATCCCCGCTTCGAGAATGAAAGTATTGCCGGTCCTACAATTCCATACTCGAGAGATTATAAACGAAAAGTTTGTGACCAATTGAAGTTGTATAACCGTAATATGATGTATTAGGTCGAGTATTTACGATCCAAGTTGCCCAGAGCTGGATCTAATGGAAAATGTGATTTAATAATTAACAGAGAAACTGTATTTGAAGACTCTTATCGCCAAATAATGGAAAAGGTGTGTGTTGCTTTCAGTACCTCTGTAACCATTTGCATATCATAGAGTCCCAGTGAACTACGGAATAAGTTATGGATCGAGTTTATTGGAGAAACAGGACTCGATTATGGAGGTGTTACAAGAGAATGGTTTTTCCTTCTCTCTCATGAAATCTTCAATCCATATTACGGGCTTTTTGAGTATTCTGCTACGTGAGCATATTTCATGAAGGTTTTTGACAACAAATAGATGTTTGCAGGGATAATTATACACTTCAAATAAATCCTCATTCTGCCGCGTGCAACCCTGATCATCTATCGTATTATCTTTTTATTGGTAAAATCATGGGGATGGCCATATACCACGGGAAACTACTTGACGGTATGTTATATTAATGCATGGAAGTTCAAAGTTTTCACTCATTCAGCTTTCTTCATTCGTCCATTCTATAAAATGATGCTGAGCAAGAAAATAACTTTGTTTGACATGGAATCTGTAGATAATGCTTATTATAATTCATTGATTTATGTAAAGGTGATCAACAATCATTTGAAAAACAATACTGAATACTAACCTTTTAAGGATAATGATCCTGAAGAGTTGTATCTTACCTTTTCGGTAGATGAGAGTGTGTTCGGAGAGGTAAGAGCAATATTCTCCTATTCATCTATATTTGTCTTTGTTTAGACTCAAACTGTTGACTTAATAGGCGGCGGGCAATATGTTAAAGTTACTGAAGATAATAAAGAAAAGTATATTGAAGCCGTTGTCAACTGGCGCTTTGTCAAACGTGTAGAAAAACAAATGGAGCAAATTCTCAAAGGATTGCATGAGGTTAACCGATCTCTTTTCGTTCTCCTCAATTGTGTTTAAGGTTGTTCCGAGCACCCTTCTCAGAATTTTTGATGCTAACGAAATGGAGCTACTCATGTGTGGTTTACAAAAAATTGATGTGAAAGACTGGAAGTTAAATACTGTGTACAAAGGTGGATATGGGCCCAGTAGTCAGGTATATTTATCCGAGTATTCAATTCTCATAGTATCATTAAGGTTATCCACAACTTCTGGAAATGCATACTTTCTTTTGATAATGAAATGAGAGCTCGCGTTCTTCAATTTGTTTCTGGAACCTCACGTGTTCCAATGAACGGATTCAGAGAGTTGTATGGTTCAAATGGTCCGCAGAAGTTCAGTATTGAACGATGGGGCAGCCCTGACATGCTTCCTCGAGCACACACTTGGTTAGTCGAGAAGAAGCTGACTATTTAATGAAGCTCTTATTTCAGTTTTAATCGGTTGGATTTACCTCCCTACCCTACATTCGCAGAGCTCAAACAAAAACTATGTACAGCTATTGAAAACTCAGAAATATTCAGCGGTGTTGATTAGAAAAGATGGCACTTAGATGATTTATTTACGTGATATGTATGATTCGATCATAAAGATAATTTAACATCATTGTCTTGTCTTTTTCACACATGATCTTATCTAAACCCTAGTTTAAATCCAAATACCAGTTTTTTTCATAAATTTGAGAGAGAAACCAACTAAGCACGAGTAACGGGATGAAAACATAGCCATAAGGGAAGAACTTGAAGTCTATGAATTTCATAAACTCGAAACAACAACAACCGCTTAGCGCACGTTAAGACATCAAAATAAAATGTTTTTTTCCAATCCTCACATATTCACGTATAATGAAAGCATTTTTAACTGTGATCTATCGCCTTTAACGGAAGGTTAAACTTGGATAGCGAGCATGGATAGATTGAGATGCTTCATGACATACTGTAGTAAACGTAAATATGCGTACAAACCGTACGGCGCGAACAATTATTTTTCAAAGAAATGAATAATTTTTGATCGTTAATGAATGTTTCGTAAGTTCAGCTTAATCTTATATGCTATTTATGGTCTAGGAACGAGGTCATAAAGATTTGTACTGGAATATTACTTGTTGTTTGCTTGAATGTTGAAATAGTAGGGTGTTAAAACACTTTTCCAGCTTCTCAAATGATAGACGATGAAGAATTTGCTGTTCATGATAATTTCGACAATGAATCTTTTGATGATTTCGACATAGGCCCTGAAGGTAACCTTAACTTATTGATAGTTATTCATAGGTTCATTATAAATATTCAGGTGAATGTTTAAATGGCTCAATATATGACACCGATCAGCCTCGTTCTATGGAGAAGAAAAAAATCTCTTTACCTGGAAAGTAAGTGTTTTGAAGCCTGCATAACAATTTGTTAAACATGTCAACTTTAAGAACTCCCAAACCTCCATTGTCCGTTATTCCAGAGGAGTCTAGAGTAGATACTGATATAATTTCATGTAAGTTTTTTTTCTTTTCCGATTCCATGAACATCGTGTTTGAGCTGACAAAGAGAATATTGAGAGCGATCCATTCGGGGATTCTTTCGGTTTGCGTTGCTCTTTGAAAGGATCAAATTTTGATATAAATGAAAGTGCTGCTTTTTCAAGTGGAAGTAAGTTTTAAATTTTTTGAATAATATTTTGGTTCTTAGTTGAAGCAATGAAGCTCTTCAAAAAAGCGGAAGAATCATTTGATAAATCGGGTAGAGCTCATTTCATTACTGAAGATCCTAGGTAAGTTAGATCTCTATGTGCTTTCACCTTCAATTGATATAGGTTTGATTGTATGAATTTTAATAAGGAGAATAGCTGGGAACCATCTCCACCGAGCTTTTATGCCAAGTTTGTTCACTACTCGGAAGTTTAACTCACCATATTGTTGTTAGGGCTAAAGATGATCCTGATACAACTCCAAAACGAGGATCAGAGCGTTCAACGTCTTCGTCTTTTTTCAAGCAGCGTAGCATCAATGAGCGTCCTGTGATGAAGGTTGTTCAGACGGTGTTTCCATCATTTTCTCTTTCTTAGGAAACAAGATTCAAGGACTATGACGATGATCATGACAAGGAGTTGCCTGTAAAATCACTGAGGGAACATGCAACAACTCCTCGTAAGCCTAGCAGAGTTGGAAGTAGGATCATGGCTGATAGAGTATTGCGAAGTTTTTAAAATATACATTTTACTATCATTCTTAGGCTATCTTGTCACCCGAGAGTAAATCTGTTTCTACTAAAGCGAGTACACCAAACGGGAGAGGTAGTTTCTAATTAGTTTTTGAAATATTTAATTATTTTAGGAAATGCTCCACTGCCTGCTTTTGACATATCGGAAATCCCTGGAGAGAATAACGACAGCGTTTCAGAAGAACCTAAAGGTTTTTTCAAACATGATAAATGAATATCGAAAACTGATTCAGGGGATAAGTCACCTCGTCACTCAAATGATGACTCTAATGTGTCGGATGTTAGCTCAATTAATCAATCAGCGGTAAATGATATTCTCAGTGTAAGCTATTCTTCAAAAATTGGAATATTCCTCTTCGTACAGACTGCAAAGCATGAAAGTTGTGATGCGTTAATAGAAAGATTGGAAATGATTAGGAAAAGAGGACCACTTATACATAGGTTTTGCGTTCATTCATGTATTAAAAACCTTTTTTGTGTTTAGAACTGTTGGACGAACCAACATGCCACCCCCTCCTCAGTGTTTGACTGTTGTTAAAGTATGTTTCAGATAATGTTCTAATCATGGTCTCATTTAGGATAAGGATAATGATGTTGTTAACAAGTTTCAAAACTTGAGCATTCTGTCAAAAAGCAAATCTCATTACCAGAAGCAAAATATTGAAAAGTTGGTTGATCTGCTTGTTTTTCTGCGAACTTAATCTTATCATCAGGAAAAAAGAGAACAGCTTCCATGACAGTAGTCATTTGGCATCTCGTCCTTCTTCTTCTGCACTAACCAGTCGTCCACCTACTGGAATGAGCTCTCGTCCTCCTACCGGTATGAGCACCAGACCTTCAACAGGCATGAGTGTCAACTCACAATCAGACAAGTTCAGTTTTCCCGTTGTCCATCTATTAAAGAAAACTATTCAGTCCTCTGAGAATTGATTCACGTTATCTCATGTTCGGATTTCTGGATGTTGGAGACTCCGAAATTCTCAACGTTAATCTCACTAATAGAACTACACAGCCTATGCGGTTGAAGCTAACCCTACGAAACCCTAACTGCGGCTACACGGTACTCTCAATTTCAATAAAAAAAATTTCTGATTGTGGTGCAGATAACGAGTGGCGGAATAATGTCTTTACAATCAAGTGAAGCGATGCCTGTATCCATAAGTTTCCGTCCAAACGAGTACGCTCGAGTTAATAACACTCTAATAGTCTCCATCATATCTGGAACCCACACAGGATTGAATTATTCGGTATCGAAACACAACTTATGAAAACTATACCACTTCCCAGGTGTTTTTAAGGGGGTCTGGAGGAGTAGCGAACTTGGTGCCTGAGGCCCAAAAAGATTTGATGGTGACGTCCAATAAAGGATTTTTCATCCGAACAGCCAATCGCAGTAGCTTGACCTTTGATGTGAAGAATAAGGGAGTGAGGTGTCGTGTTTTCCTGTATTTTGTCTGAGTTTAAGCTGTTTTTTTTGCAGAGAAGCCTTCTGTAAAGTTCTACTGTTTTATGGAGGTTCTGTTTTAAATACTAAAATAAGCCCTTCTTCTAGCTTTATTTTGAAGAGGAATCACACACAGGTTCGTTTGGATTACTTTCTATTCTATTCAAGAAACTCTTCAGAGTATTGTCATTGAAGTCAGCAATCTGCAGTCTTACCTGAGTTCCGATTTTCGATCATCATCTCAGTCGTTAGGCGGATATGCTTGTTCGGTACAATTTCCATATGAAATAGAGTTAACGCCGTCGTTTCTAGAGAAACTCTTCAATGTCTTCACAGCACGGACAGGCTGATATGAAGATAATTCTACTGTGGGGAGAAGAATGTCAAAGACAACGATTGAAATGGTTTGCTCGATATTCGCTTCATCAAACGTCTCTTTAGTTTCGGAAAGAAATATCGTAAGAATGTAGATGTACAAGATGTTGACTTCACTGTCCCGTTCCTTGGAGAACAAACCGATTTCGTGCCACCAGAAGATTTTCCGGTGCAACCAAAAGACATAACAATTTTCACGACATATTTGAGGAAAACAGAAATCCCAGTAAGATTAATCAGATTTGATTTTCATCAGAAAAAATGCTCTGTAGGTTGTCTCAGTGTTTGCGTCTAATGCTATGTTAGCGCTTCCAATTGATTGTGATGCTACGTTTGGACCAGATACAACTATCATGTACAGGCAAGTGTTATAGGTGAATCGATCTTAAAATAATTTCATTTTGTCAGAAACCCAATTGATCGTACTGTTGTCGGTGATGTGACAGTAGCAAATCCTCTGCGACGTGGGGAATAAACTTTGAGCGAAAAACGCCTGCACAACGTCGAATCAATGATACTAAACCGTTATATTGCCTAATGTACTATTGTACTGATATTTAAAAAAAATTAACAAAACTCACTGAAGCACTTTGTACTTACATATTAACTCACGCTTAATTAACTTGAGTACATAGTTTGACCAACTTTATTCTGTTTCAAAACTCGTATTACTATGATATAGACTATTTTGAATGTGATTAATGTACAAGTTTTTCTCTTTCTTTTTACTTATATTTATATATAACTGTTTTAAGCAATATGTATCATTATCTATGTGCTTCATCTTGCTATGCAAGTTGCCTGTCAATTGACAGCACAAGATGAGAGGATAAAACTTTCAAAAGCGTGTATGTTGCCTTACATATTCTTCATGGCTCTACTATCCATTAGAATATATGCATACTTAATTCTTTATTTCTAGAATAGATTTCGTTCATAATTATGCCAGCAGTAACAATTGCTCTCAAACTTTCCTTTTTTAACATTCTTCTGGAAGCCATGCATTATTTCTCTGTACATTCTGTTCAAAGCGCGTTTTTGCCCGTTTATGAATGTTAGAGCAGTAGGTAAAATGAGCGATTCCCTTCCCCCATAGACGGAACCTTATAGTCCAAAGTCTCGAGATCTTTATACGTTTACAATGCTTAATTGTATTAAAGAAGAGCGAGGAGACGTCATTGTTTCTACCACTAAACTCGTTTTACTTCAGTAACTACTAACTCTAGCGCTATCTACAATGAGAGTAGTAATATTCATTTGTTTGATTCTCCATGTTCTGTGTTCCTTGCGTGAGGGAACTTCAATGTCTGGAGAGGATTGACATGAAGAGACTTGGGAGCTTCTGGAAGACTGAATTGAGAAACTACAATCGATGTTCTCATCCTTTTCTTTTTCTTCTTGTTCTTCGCGGTGGCACTGCTTAGCTGTATTATTCATGTGTTCATTTCGTTTCGAAGCCGATTTTGAGCTTCTCGACCTTGGGCATAACAATCCTTTTTCGTTAACATGACCATGTCGCCACCTTCTGTAATTATATTTTGGGAATCGTAAAATCCGATTGTTAGATGATGGGAAAGGCGTATGATAATCATGTTTGTTTAATATTTTTGAAGGTATTGACACACAGAACGGTTGCATTAATTCTCATTCCACACCTTCATTATCATATTTCTCTTCTATAGTTAGCTTACGTTCACAGTATTAGACTGCTTTATCCCAAAAACGAACTTTTCTTTACGGACGAAGAATCACATCAACATTGTTATGGTTCCTTTTTCCATTTATTCTTCATAATTTTGTCGACCTCTGTTTCTGCTCCACTGCATAATTCTCAATTTGTCTTCTTTTCTGTCTTCCACATTCGAAAATCTAATAGCCATCTCTTCTTATCCTCAAGCAATTTCCAGAAGATCTAATGGTGTCTATCTGCTTGGTTGCATGAGTTTTGAACTTTCGCAAGATGGTTTAGGAAACGCTTTGTAGTTTAATCTTCTTTCTACATTAGGTGTGATAAATGCTGTGCAAACTGCGCTCAAGATCAATATGTCTGCGTTCTATTTCCGAACTCTTAGGGCGCATTTAGGGCTATCTGACAACGGATTAGTATTCCGTCGTGTGGTTTTAGATCAACTTCTTGATGTTATCTTTGGGTGTTCTGGTCATTAAAAACAGCTGCCGTTTGTCCAATTTTGCTATCCTGTAGAGCCAATCAGCCTAGTTTTTTGGGAATACATGATTGAAATTTACGTCAGAACGTTCGATGCTGTTGTCACTTATAGTGACGACCTTTTATGGGTGACAAATGACTTGGACGAGGATAGGAGGTTAACCTCAGCAAACTTTATCTTCCACAAAGGCGATTATACATCTATTGATGTGAAATGCGACGTTGTGAATGGAACGCACTAATTAGTTAGAAGCTTATTGCTGAGACTCAAGTAGAACTGATGGGTAATCCAACCAGCTGTTTGCATTAACTAGTTAGTCAGCTTGGCTAATGACATTCATATATGTATGTCATAACCGTAGATGCTGTTGTATTTGGATCTCAGGTTTTAGCATCCGATCCCATTCGATTGGTCATTGGATGAGTAATTGGATATCTGCTCAGTGTTTCTCCTCTTTCTGTTCCGAGTAGGCCGCACACATACATACATTTGTTCTGGTTCACGGCACAAAATGGTCGGTCATTTGGCTATTTCTGTGAGGAAAGGGTAATCAAACGAGAAGTAACACTTCTTAAAAATTTTCGTACTTCTCTCTTCCTTGTTTTCAACCAATACTCATCATTCCTTTCTCTCATCTCTTCTTCATATTCTCTTTTGAAGATTCATTTCCTCCTCTCTGAGTGAAATAGCGTTTGTCTCTCATCGTTTCCTTCTTTATTAGCGATAAGACTCAGTCTGAGTCATCAGCACTAGCAGAAACTTAAGAGAGGTGACCCGCCACTTTATGAGTTTATTTTTCTGTATTACTTCCACTCTGTTCACAACCAACATAGATCTAAGAGAAACAGTGATTGTGAAATTAACTTTCTAGAAATTAGCCCGTGGTCCTGATTGTCATGACCCTTGCGGTCCGGCCTGCTGCTACCCAAACCATGTGCTGTGGCCTGGCGGCCTGTCGCACTCAACCCGTCTTCTCTATGAGGCTAATTACCATCGATTTAGCTGTGGATTAGGAACCTCACACAGCCATTAGCTTGCTCTCTGCTTTCTCAGAGAATCTTATCCTTTTGTGTAGAAGAATATTTAGTTCGCATGTTTTTAGTGATGATTTGATTTCTACCAATCACACTTGAGCTTTATTTTCTTTTGTACAATCTCCTCTTCTAAAACAATCTTCGCCGTCTTTGCTTTGTTGTTGTCCTCCTCTTATTTCAATACAGCATGCCACACATGGTCAGACAAGCAGCGCTAACAAGATACTGACCTTCGTTTTTCATTATTTCATAATTGTAATCTTATATTTCCAGAATTGTGACTGTTTTAATTTAGTCGTCAACTATGCAAACGTTGAGTTCACATCCACTTTTCAATGTCCTTCAACAAGATATACCCCACTCATTTATCTTGAGATCGATTTTTCATCCACTAAGCATTTTTTATTCAAGCGGCTCCTCTTGCCGTCTATCAGTTTGATCATTTTCTGCACTTAGACATTTCTCCTTCTCTCCACCCCACCCAGCTGTTAATGTTCATGGGTTGTCCTTCTCGATGGTTGCCATTCGTTCGTCTTAATCAATCTTCAGACTCCAAAAATAATGTGTGAATAGAGAAAATATGAGTATTTGGTTAAATACGATAGTAGCTTCAAGCGTTTTACCAACTAATTCTTTTTTTTAGCTTTTTCGAACACTTCTTCTTCTCTCAGACATCTGGCTAACTGTGTATATTCGCCTGCCGAGAGCGGTGAATGTTGTGCTGCCCTTTGTATTCCTTCTTTATTTTAGTCTTTATCTCTTTACTTCTCTTTCTTTGTCTCGTTCTTTCTCCTGAATCACGGTCACCATCTGTCTGTGGTCATCATCAAAGGTTCGTTTCAGCACATACACTCTAAATTTATACAACTTTTGTTTCTTCGTTTTTTCCCCACTTCATACAGACACAGATTTCCTATTCAGTTTTATGAAGAATTGGTGAGTAGGCTCTTTTCCGTTCAGGCTAATCATCCAACAATTCAGCATCTTTCAACATTCTCAAAATTGTTTTCTGCAACACTTAAATCTGTTTGTAGTCGTGAAGCATTATTTCATTGAGAATCAAACCTGTGTACTTTTTAATCGTTTATCTCATTGAAAATCCATTAACAATCGTGGAATACATTGCCCAGATGAAGATCTCACAATAATGCCGACCGGAATTATATTCTTCTCTTTATTGTAGATAACTATCCGCTTATAGAATCATAATAAGTAAAAGAGGTACCTTGTTTATTACGCTCTTAATATTCTTCTCTCTCTCTCTCTCTTACTCCAATAGCACTTATTTCCTTCTTATTACAATACGTGCAACATCTGCTTTCCAAAGTTTTTTTTTTCATATTTTTTCGTTTTTCTCCTTCTTATCCTTTACTTTACGTTTACTTTTAATCCATTCATCTATACATTGGAGTTATTTTAACAATTTTGTTTCCTGAACTTTGGTCATTTCATTTGACTTTTACTTCTTCGCTACTGCAGCATCCAAAGCGCGCCCCAATGCCATTCTTTTAAAAATTAAATATTTATTTATGTATATATAGTTTTTGCTTTATTAATCCTCATTTCTTTATCTTTCGAACTGACTCTCGACTTTTTCAGTTTGTTGAGACAGGCTGGAGTAACTTCATTCGATAAGTCACCGGCTTTTATCTCCTTTGATGGAGGGTATTGACATATCTAAGTTACCTCTCGAAGTAAGAGAAAAGCTTGCAGAGCTTGATTTAGAGCTTAGTGAAGGTTAATAGCTTTATTTTTATTATCAAATTATAGTGATATTTGCAGGAGATATAACTCAAAAAGGTTATGACAAGAAGAAGTCTTTGTTACTTGTGCAATTCGTACCCGGAGGGAAGAATGGTCTGTTTTGTTTTTTATCGAGAATAATAGTTGAACATTTTACAGGATTATGTAAAATGCAAGCCAGTCCTAGCACCAAAGCGAATCGTCGTCACCAGCGTCGTTTAACGAGGGATGAAGGACGGTTTCATTCAGGTACGTTCGAGATATTCATTTCCGTCTTCTTTTCAAATATAGTACGATAGAATCTTTCGCATGAACGTCTGAAAACAATATCGCTCATATATTGTTATGATAAGACGATGATTGCACAACATATATTTGATTTGTAAACTTTTGAACGCCTATAATTTGCATATAATGTCACGTGTTGGTTTAAAGATTACATCTCACGTGAAAAGCATTTTGATTGTCAAGTATTGCGTGTACGGCTGTGCATTCAACATAAAAATTCAAACAGTTACTTTCTAATATTTTACTGCTTTCAGAAATAAGAGCTGAAGCTGTGCAGGCAGCATTAGCAGAGTATTCACAAGGAAAAAAGGAAAAGCCAGCATGTCTTCAAGCAATAAAGAGAACTGCGGAACCAAGAGAGCGTAATACAAAGCTATCAGGTATGTCTTTTATGTAAATATAACTTGCTTCAACGTAGTGTAATTGGGTTTGCTCATCAATGTTTTCTGTAACATATCCCCAATTCAATTTTGCTTTTCTGAGATGTGTCTTGTTATATCCACCAATTGCTTTAGTCACATTGAATCATCTTCTATTAGATTAACTATGACTAAAAATGTCTTTTGGTTTGTCTCAACTTTCTTCATAATATAACCTTTTTGCATCGAATGGCTCATTTCTTTGAGTAGTATTTACTTTATTATTGCATTCTCTCTATTACTGTTGACTGTTTGCCGTTGCCTGCGTTGATTACAGAACATCTCGCCTTATGAGGTTCGCGAACTTTACTAGCCTACGACTATCCTACATTTTATTGGGTTTTATCATATAAATCCTCATATCCATTTTTTTCTTCGAAAAATATTTTTTCAAACGCAACACTCCACCTTAGCCTCTTCAATCTCACAATAAATTTAATCCTCTGTTATTTAAAAGAGAAGTATTTTTTCACATTGAAGTGATGGCCGAACACTCTTCTTGTTGTAAATTGCTGTTGCAATAGCCGAAGGTTCAATCGCAATCTCTTTCATCCAATTAATTTTCAATCTTAGTACAATTTTTTTTCCTTTAATTGAAAAAAAACTTAAAAGATGCTAGTTCACTTTTTTGTTGTGGTCAAAGTTTCTATACATGTTTGACTAAACGGTCCATACTCTGTAAATGTTTTAATCGTTATTGGATGTTTTATTAAATGGTCAATTCTCTGAGGGGGATGAGCGCGGTAGATAATTTATTATTCTTACTCTTGAATATTTGGTCATTTCCTTTGGGACCATTAAATTGGCTATTTCTAACTCATTCATGCTGACCAACTAATCAAACTATTTCATATAACTTTAGCTATTTTGGCGCGTGTTCTCTTAAATGCCTCTCATAGAACTGTTTTTTTTAATAACCTCTTTCATTTTTCTCAATCATATTCAAAAAATATCGACTTTTAGTTATTTTAAAGTATCTTCTGCTGTCCAATTGTTGACATCGTCTATTACGTTGAACACATGTCGTTCTATAGACTTGCGTTACTTTCGACTTGGGCCAACTTAAGAATTGACAAGGACTACGTATGGTTTCTTGCTCAATGAATTCATATTAATATTCGATTTTGCCTTCTGAATAACCTTTGGTTTGTTTTTTGTCCGAAGAGAAAACTTTCCTCATAAGTTTTGCTTTTGCCTTTCGCTTATGAAGTAATTTTCCCTAGATTTAGCGCCTCACAAAGGACCATTATTTCTCTCGCTTGTTCTATCTACAACGAAATAAGATTATTCTCCTTGCAAATCAACCAAACGGGTTAGCATCTCTTCATTATGTTGTCTTGACGCATCTTCCGTAGTAATACCCGAAATCATCAATTGTTCATTATTTCAGTCAAATTCTGGTCACTTCTTTATTTTACTTTAGATGTGTTTGTTAATAATAAGGAACATCAACTAATTTTGAATACAATGTCTCTTTTCTCTTATTACTACCCAAACCTATGACAATCATTCAGTTTCTGTTTCTTCTTTCTTTTGGTTTAAAGGTCAAATCGTTTGTTCATCCTCCTACTTGATTGCAAATAGTTATTATCAAAGTCCATATTCACTAGATTATTTCTTTCTCATCGTTTAACGTTCCTTCAAAACTCTCGGATATTATTCAGCTGGTTTAAAGACTTAATTGCGAAGCGGATCAGCAATAAGTGAGCGATGTGAGCGCGGCAACTTTCCCTATCCTTAAGAGGAAGATGGACAATGCTTCCGTCAATCTTCATCAAATCATATTTTCATATGAATCTCGCGAACAATCTTTCTCTATATGAAACTTCTTCCACTAGTGGCAGCACATGAATTAAAAAAAACACAAAATCTTCTCCAATTATTTCTTGTCATTTAATCCTTTGTCGCTTCTGTTTTCGTCTGGCTTATACGACGGATGCTATTCATAATATTTTATTTTGCCTATTTTTACATTCACTCTGAAATCTATATTGAAGTTGTGGGTGGCTAAGCCTTTTCCTGTTGTAATTTTGATGGTTTCTAGTGAATTGAACGGGAAATGAAAACAATTCGATAGTTTCTTGAAAGTTTACAATGTTAAAGGAGAAGTGTTTTGCGACTTTTCATCATACTTATTTGCCGTCGTGTTTGCTTACAAATACAATACATAAACTTAGTTTTTTCATGAGTAAACTTTTTTTTGCCTGTATTCAATCTGTATGAGAATTGTTGGTTCTTCCTTTTTGGGTAAGGCCTAATTGCTCAATTGACAGAACTGGTTTTTGTCATGACGGATTGTATGGTGGAGGCTGCTATAGAGGGAGAAAACTGTTAAGGCAGGATTCCATCCTTTTTGCACTCTTCGACTTTCTTATATGTTCCTTAATATTTAATTGGTTTTACTATTCTCTGCTTTCTATTCATGATGGTTCAGATATAATCTTTTTTATAAATGACTCATGGAAATTACTTCTTTAGTTGTTCTCTCTCTCGTTGTTCACCATTTTATAGGTGTGGCAAACGGTTTGATATTGTTTCTTCATGTTCTCAACTTCCTCATTTCCCCACGCTTTCTTACCACATATGACTCTCTCGTTCGCATTTCGTATTATTTCCACTTGATTCTGTTGCATTCTTTCCTTATATCACTTCTAGGATTTAAATACGGGCATGCTGAGTCATGACGTTGCTCCCGTTTTACCTCCAAACATTATCCGTAGATCGGAAAATGGAGTGGCTAAAAAGCCTCATTTTTATAGAATTACAGCCATGAGACATTCAGCTTATTGTAAGTTGATCAGAACTTCTCACGGTTGAGACTTACAAACTATCTGTTAGTTTGAAACATTGACCTTGATAGTTGCTTATTTGCGTATGGAAAGAGATAAACTTTAAAGTTTATCGTTTTTGATATAAGAAAACATATGAGAAACCTAAGCTTAAAAACCCCCCATTCCATGCTGTTATCACCATGTTATTCTCTTTTTTTTCAGATTCCTCATCCGATGAAGATGATGATAGTCAGTTTGGTTCATCAGGGCGAGGTACGCGGGACCGAAAAAAGAATGAAGGTAAGAAAGAAACACGTTTTGTTTTTCCCTCAAATACTATTACTAATTGAATCTATTCACTTAAACTGAAGCATACATCACGATATCATTTTGAAAAGAAGTTGTTGCAGGAAAATCACAAATTATCAACCCTCCGGATGTTACTGGTGGAGCTGCTGTAGAAGCCATGTTGAAACGTGTTCGTGAACAGCATGAAAAAAACATTCAGGTACTTTGTACGAGTGGTAAATCGAATTTGTTACCAATATAATTCAGATGCAAAGAGAACATGAAGTGGCTTTGAGATTGAATCAATTATCAGTAGATGAACAACCACGGACATGTGAAACAAGTAGGAAAGACAATGAAACAACTGATTCTATGGTACATAAAAAAACGATTTACTTTTATGAATTCTTTATTTAAGAGTCCCACTTCTCTAACAATCGAAGATGCTGTTTATGTGAATACAATAATACCACCTAAGGAAGAATTTTCCAATCAGCAAGACTATCAGAATGCTGTTTTACGTGAGTAAAACCAACTTCAAATTAGATTCATTAAGAATCTTCAAACAAAACAAAATATTTTTTTGTTTTTTATACACAAACAGTAGACAAAATGTGATATTTAGTTTGATTTTGAACATTAAAGGGTGGGGGTGAAGCAATGTTCTTATCAGATGCTATTCTATTCTCATATCATTTCTTATTGAGATGAAGAGAAAACGAATCACATGTTTACTTATTTGGCCTTCTTCTTTTCAATTTTGCCATTTTTGAAGCTTTCAAATACTTCCCTATTTCAGCTGTTCGTCAACCTGCCAAAGTGTCATTGAAAATCCAGCAAGTGCTTAACAACTTACAGGTTTGTTTTATGTTTATCATATTCGATTGGCAGCTCCGTTGCTTTCTTTGCTCTTCTTCTCTCTCCCGGCTACTATCGTTTATCAAAATACTGTGTACAGCTGTATTTGGTTGTTTTTATTGGGTTGTTAGCCTCTTCCCCCTCCCATGTATTAGCGATTTCTGCCACTCCTCATTGGCTTGGTAATCTGACACCAAATAGCGGATTAGTGACCTATCACGGCTGACTTAACTCTTTGAAGACAGAGAGACACATAAATTTTCCTCTTTCATCCAGGATATTTTGTGTTTTATTCAGAACATATGGCTAAGATTCTGGTTATCCACTTTTTCTTACAGGTGGTGTTCAGTAAAATCATTTCCTTTCTGGTTAAGCTCAGAATCCGTTCTAGTCGAAAAGTGACCTCATTAATCAATCGGTGTGTTTGATAGTTGATTCGACAGGCTCATAAATTACAATTCTACTAGCTTAGTGGTACAGCTATTGAACTTTTTTACGACTTTAGCGAATTTACTCCAAATATTTTGAACATCACTATCTCAGCAGTTGTAGAGTATTCAAGGATGTTTAAATGAGTATTGTTTATACAATTCCAAATACAATGCGGATCTTCTAAACTACCTAACGATCGCTTTACGTTAAGTCGTTTGGTAGAAGCTCGCGCTAAGCAGAAAAATAGAACTTGATATCTTATTACTTTGGTTTTAAACAAATTGATAAATCCCAGTTCGAATTGACGGCTGTTATTAAAAGCAAAACGATACGTTTTGCATTTCGTTTGACGTCGCGGATTCTGAACACACTCAGAATCTTGAAAAAAATTCACTGCTTTGCTTGGAACATATGGATTCGATCAAGTCGAGTTTACGTGAAAGCAATTGATTTTCCGAAGATCATGTGAATGATTCTGTTTTTACGCATTTTGATCCTTTTACAAAAGAGAATCACTCGTGAAAGTATATTACTCAGAGAAGCAGAGTGTTTTGCTGATGATATGAGTACAATGAGTGCTGGTATGTAGTCAGGTTCACATGGAAAATTTTTTACACTTTCATTAATCCCTTGAGAGAAATCTTATGCTACATAGGAGGTACACTATGTTCATATTACCTGTTATTCTCTTCATCCTCTCTAGTTATTCTCTCCCCCCTCTTTTCGCAATCGAAACAGCAGTCTAAGGGTAGGGGGAGGGCTCATTGGGTGGAGGCTGTCCGTTTATTTGAACACTACAGCATCACCGCCAGAGCTACACAGCTTGGGTCGCGGTCCTTCGCTGCTCAGCTGATTGTTTCCTGTTCATTGATTAAGCCAAAGACGAAGAAAATTTTGAAAACGTTCTTTACTATTATTTCTATACTCCCTGTCTATATCATCTATAATTCACGATGGGCCATGTTGAACCATCACCTTACGCCGTGTCCAAAATATGTTTCCCGACGCTAGCTTTACAAAAGACCTTAACCGGTCGAAGCACTGTAGCTCCATCCAGATGTACTCATAGTGAGAATCATCGGAGCTATCTTCATCATAAAAAAGCAGCTTCTCTGAAAGAAAGAAAAGCTCGGGCGGCAGCGGCAGAACGACGTCGCTTGCAAGACGATGAGATAGTCAATGAAGGTGCGCCGGTTCCTCCCTCATCATCATTAAGTGTATCGTCGTCTTCTTCATCATCAAGCCATCTACATCAGATTCCATCTAGTTCTAATCAACGATCTATTGTGCCTCAGTATAGTGTTGAGTCCGAGCCAAGTATGAGCAGATATCATTCCTCCTCCTGTTCTGTTGATGCAATTTCTACAACTTCTATTGTTCGAATTGCTATTGGCTCTCCTTCTTGCTCTCGCGATGAAGTTACTTATTCTGAAATAGCAGAGTATGCTTCTCCTAATACTTCTGATCATAACTCTCATAACAATAACGAAAGTTATGAGGAAAACAGAAATTTCAACATTCGTATAGGCCATAGAGGCAGGCACTCTGTCAAATGTTATGAAAAAAACGTAAGTCCGAAGTACCTGATCACTTATCTACCTGTTAATCCTCCTGATATAAATTATATACATATTTGAACTTTTGTTTTGTTTCAGAGGCCTAAAGACAAGCCTTTGCATGAGTTTTACAACGACGACGATGCTGAACTCGAAGGTATGTGCTCTTTCAGACTACTAATCAACAACATCACAAAAAAAAGAGAAAGAAAGAGGGAGTGATAGAGAGAAACTTACCTTTATATTTTTCTGTTGAAACTGATAGATTTCTTTTTTTCCCTTTTCGATGATTCGTCGAGAAGCAGCTGGTTGCTTGTCACCTTTTGCTAAATGACTGGCTGTCGTTTTTGAGGAACTAACTCTCGTAACTTGACCGTTGAAATACATTTCTTGCATTCCTCAGTGACGAAACATGTTCTGGGCAAATGTGACCAGATTTTTGAAATCAGTTTCGTTTTCTGACCTCTTTATCAATCACCAAGGAAGAAGAAGGGATACGTAAACCGTTAAAGAAACTAAAAAATAATACAGAAAGCAAAGTCCTTGAAGAATAGAGTGAAAAGAATGTGAATATGATTGTACAACACTACGAGGGGTCTTTTTTCATGTTTTCAATTCCTTTTTTTACAGCTATTGCTAAGATGACTGATCCTTCCGCTCCTCGACCTGAAGGAATGATTATGACACCAGTGCGAGGGGAGAGCGCAGCTGCTACTAGTCAAACTTTACCTAGAAGTATCGACAGGTTTGTTTTTCTCCATTCATCAACTGCTGTCTGGAAACAGTTCTAGTGTTTCGCTATAAGTTTTTATTTGTGAAACTGATACAAATTTCAAAACCAGAAAATATCTCATTGAGGAGGCTTGAAGTTGGCGTTGAAATCAAATTTCTTTTGTTTTGATGTAAACGTCATCTAGTTTCGAATACAGCAAATTAATAGATCTTTTGAAGCTATTGTTCGCCCTTATTTGTTTTGAGTCCTTCCGCATAGATTAATTTGTTTCTCTTCTTGTTCATCACCAAAGTCATTCTTCAACTGAAGGCAAATCAAATATTCTTTTCAGTGCTCTTCATCGCTTTGGAACAACATGCGCCAAAAGCGTTTTCGGGATGGTGTTAGATCAGGCAGGAAGACCAACAGAGCAATTAACGTACGGAAAATTACTAAGCAGAGCTAACAAAATAGGCCACATGCTCCTCAACCGAACTATCACTATTGGCAAAGAAAACGGAAAAGTGCCGATGTGCAAGCCTGGAGACAGAGTGGCGTTGATCTATCCGAATACCGAACCATTGGCGTTCATAACTGCCTTTTATGGTTGTCTCCTGGCTGGTGTTGTCCCTGTTCCGATGGAAGTACCTCTTACAAAACGTGATGCTGGTATTCAACAACCAGGATTCCTATTAGGATCGTGTGGAGTCAAGGTTGCTTTAACCTCTGAAGCTTGTTATAAGGGCCTGCCCAAAACTGCTTCCACCCCCTCTGCTCCCTCTTCAACTCCTTCTGGATCTAATAGTTTAACGGGTCAGGGGCATGAAGTTGTTGATTTTAAAGGATGGCCTCGCTTGTACTGGGTAACTACTGAACACTTGGTAAGCTATTAATGAATTTCTTCTGTTACATGTGCTGTTTAGAACAAACCATCCAGAGATTGGGATACAACACCGCGGGTAGCAGATGAGAGCGTTGCTTATGTTGAGTATTCTACTGACAGGTAAAAATATTATTGAGGATTGAATATCATGACAAATTCAGAGATGGAGCTGTGAAGGGAGTTTGTGTCTCCCGGCAGTCTATGCTCGCTCACTGTAGAGCAATCACAACAGCAATGGAATACCAAGAAGGTTAATACATTTTTCTTCATCATGAGTAACTTCTTTCATTTAAGGAGATACAATGATGTGTGTTGTTGACTTTAAAAGAGAAGTAGGGCTCTGGCACGCTGTGCTAACGAGTGTTTTCAATGGGATGAGAGTTGTTTTTGTTCCTTATTCTCTTATGAAGATCAGTCCCGCTAGTTGGATGTTAACCGCTACAAAGCTCAAAGGTTCGAACTTTGTTTTGTTATGTTTACAGAAGTTTGCTTTTCAGCAACCATTGGAATAGTGAAGTCTAGAGATCTTCATTGGGGATTATTAGCAACAAGAGACCACAAAGACGTAGACTTAACATCTCTTCGTTCACTTGTCGTTGCCGACGGAGCGAACCCCTGGTCACTGTCATCCTGTGATCAGTTTTCCGCCAAGTTTTCCGAGTATGGTCTCCGTTCCGGAGCTATGTGTCCGTGCGCTGGTAGTAGTGAAACCGGAACAATCTCTCTAAGAAGGTTTCATCGAATATTTGAATCAATCAGTTCAATTTTTTATTCTCAGAAGAACAACTGTTGGAGTTAGTAGTAGCGGTCGTGGAGTCCTATCAATGTCAGCTCTCAGTCACTCAGTAGTGCGAGTTGATTCAGAGAGTTCTTTAACCAGCTTGGTACTTCAGGTTAGAATTCTAAAGTTTTTCTCGATCAATCGATCATTCTAGGATGCCGGACAAGTTATTCCAGGAGGTGTTGTTGTTGTTGTGAAGCAACAGGGATTACCACGGTTATGCAGGGCTGATGAGGTGGGATTTTAAAAAATTCCCCTTGTTTATTTTATATTCACCGGGTTTAATCTGTTTAGGTTGGAGAGATATGTCTGTTTGCTCACTCAACTAGCCAAGCATATTGGGGTCTTGACGGAATGTCTGTTTCCACATTTCGGGTATGTTGATTTACGATTAAAATGGAAATTGGTGTACCATTCGAATTTTAATTCGAGTTTGTGTTCAGGTAGAACCATTGGGGGCTGATGATCGTCCTCTGGGACCGATGCATTATGTCCGAAGTGGACTAATTGGTTTCACTGGACCTGATGGACTTGTATTTGTTGTCGGACGCAAAGATTCTCAGCTCACCGTATCTGGGCGACAACATTCTGCTGATGACATAATCGGTTAGTCATTTCTTACCGCGCGAGGGAGAACTGTTTTTTTGTTTATAGCCACTGTGTTAGCTGTTGAGCCAATGAAGTTTGTACATCGGGGTCGTATAGCAGTCTTCTCCATTAATGTTTTACGTGACGAACGGATTGTTATTGTCGCGGAGCAGAAACCAGGAACATCTGAAGACGATGCTTTCCTCGTGAGTTTGTAAACTTTTTCTGATATATTTCTTGCTAATTCTAGTGGATATCACGTGTTTTACAAGCCACCGACACAATACATCAAGTCGGAATATACTGTCTGGCTCTTGTTCCAGCCAATCAACTTCCAAAGACCCCTCTTGGAGGAATCCATGTCTCGGAAACGAGACAAAAGTTCCAAAATGGTGATCTTCATCCGTGCAATCTTATGATGGCTCCGCACACTTGTGTTTTGAATCTACCCAAGCCTCGGTAAAAACAATTTGTTGTTGTGAAAATTATACGAACTGTTACAGTGAAAGACAATCAGATGTTGGCCCGGCAGCTATATTCGTTGGTAACATCGTACAAGGAGTTAGAATTGCTGGTGCTCAAGGTAGAAGCTTAGGTCCAGAAGAAGACGTGGTTAGTCTCGGAATTCGCATTTTTTTAATCTTTGCTTTTTGCAGCCATTCAGTCTTATTGATGTACTCAGAGCTCGAGCCATGAGTGCTCCAGATCATCGCCTGTTCACTCTAGTCACAAGTAAGAATCAAGAACAAGATTTTGCTACATGTGGAAGTCTGCTCAAGTGAGTTCAATAGTCTAGATCATATGTTTCAAATTAAATTCAGACGAGCCGAAAGAATTGCTGCTTTGTTGACGGACAGAGCTCGTCTAAATCCAGGCGACCATGTGGCGTTAATCTTCCCCCCTGGGTTAGAATTAATTTCTGCTTTTTATGGTTGCTTAGCCGCAGGTGGGACAGAATAATAATGGTTGAAATAAAGTTCTTTGTTTACAGGTGTTGTTCCTGTATGTATCCGACCACCATCGCATTCTTCTTTACAATCTACTCTCCCAACAGTTCGAATGATTGTGGATGTCAGCAAGTCTGTTGCTATTCTGTCAAACAGCACAATAAGCAAACTTCTCAAAGTAGTTTAATTCAACTTATACATTATCACAGTTTTGCACTTTTTAGAGCAAAGAAGCAGCACATAGAGTTGATGCGAAAGCTTGGCCTATGATTCTTGATATTGAAGATTCACCTTCTTCATGGAAAAGAAAGACAAATGCTGAGCAACCAGAACCCCGTCCCACAGATGTTTGTTATCTGGTTAGTTTAAACGATTTAAAAGCAAAATTTATTATATTGAAATTAGTTCACATGTACTTCTGCTTTCATTCCTTGTTGTTCTCACTTTTCTTATCCTGAAATTTTTTTATTTATTCCTCGCTAGAACATTTGTTTGTTGGCTTTTTTAAAGACTCTCACCAAGTCTTTCTTAGATCCCACAGATTCTTTCTCCTTACTATTTGCTGTTTGCTTAGAGTCATTTTTTGAAACAGATTCCTCTTGGGTCTAAAAGAATTGAGTGATAGGTATTGAAACGGGAACTAGCCATTTTGAGATCATCTTCCTTGGATTGTTTCGTTTCGTTTTCTGGTTTAGATTCTACTTTTTGCTCAGGGGTCGCCTTTCATTTGAAACACATACACAAGCATAATATTTTCAAGTCACTACCTCTTGGCTATTCATAGGGACTGCAGTAGTAACGTTTTCAGTAGGTTGTGATTCCTTCTTAGGAGCAGCAGTTCTTAAGAAAAAAAATCATAATTGGGGTTTTTGACGAATCAAGTAACTTTTTTTTGCCGCATTTCACCAGAATGAACGAGATAAGTAAGAAGTTGAGAAAAACTAAGAATATCATGACCAACCCGTGGCGCAAAGATTGTTGTAAATGAAATCTTCGTGGCTTTATTTACGTTGAACGTTTTCCACGTTTTCCGTTTCCACGTGAAAACGTGAAATTTCCATACGGCGAGCACATCTATTGGCAAATTTCTAAAAGTTCAAAACTAGAAACAAAACTCATTTTTGCAGGATTTTTCCGTAAGTACCACCGGCCAACTTGCCGGAGTTGTTGTCAGCGTCGCTGGTGCAGCTGCGCTTTGCAAAAGCTTGAAGGTATCATAATCTTTGAAGCTATAACTTAAAATTTTTACTCAGGTTGCATGTGAACTTTATCCCTCTCGCCATGTTGTTCTATGCCTTGATCCTTACTCAGGTCTCGGTTTCGCTTTGTGGTGTCTGTCTAGTGTTTCTTCTGGGCATCACACAACACTTATCCCTCCAGCAGAAGTAGAAACACAGCCGTCCTTATGGCTTTCCACCGTTTCTCAAGTCAAAGGTATTTATGAGAAGACGAACAGAGGTTTTAAAATGTTTTTTCACAGCTCGTGACACTTTCACCACTAATGCTATTATGGAAATGTGTATTAGAGAGCTGGGAACAACTGTGTCACAACTCAAGGATAAGCAAGTTAATCTTTCATGGTGAGTGGGTTTGTTCCAACTTAATATTGTATTCTGCTTTTAGCTTGAGAACTTGCGTTGTTGTAGCAGAGGATAGGCCGAGAACATCTTTAGTAGCCGCCTTCTCAAGGATTTTCGCTCCTCTAGGGCTCTCTCCTAGAGCAGTTTCCACTTCGTTTGGTTGTAGAGTGAATCCAGCAATTTGCATGCAGGTATTGATTTCTGTTATTTCTAGCATCAGCAATCGTTATTTAGGGAGCTGCGGGTCCTGACCCTGCCACTGTCTACATAGATGCTCGAGCTTTACGTAATGACCGTGTTACTCTTGTTGGCAAAGGTGCTCCTCATAGCTTGTCTTTGTTGGAAAGCGGCAAGGTAATGTGAAAGAGTGGGTTGAAAAGTTATAATTTAATACTTATTCAGATTATGCCTGGTGTGAAGATAGTCATTGCGAATCCCGAAACCCGTGGGCAGTGTGCAGATTCTCACTTAGGTGAAATCTGGGTGTCATCTCCTCATAGCTCTGTCAACTATTTCACTGTATATGGAGAAGAAACTAACATGCATAATGATCACTTCAATGCTCGATTGACTACTGGTGATACAAGAACTCGATATGCACGAACAGGATATCTAGGTTTCCTCCGACAAACGCAGTCAATAACTGAAGGTATGGATAAAGCATTTATTGTTCTCGTGAAAACGCCTATTCAGATGGAGAGCTTCATGACGCTGTATTTGTTGTTGGTGCTCTTGAAGAAACATTGATGTTACGTGGAATGCGATACCATCCTGTCGACATTGAAAATTCTGTGACCAGATGTCATAGACTTGTAGGAGAATGGTATATTTTTTGTCTTTTATCCCCGTAAGCTTACATTTTTTAGCGCTGTTTTTACATGGACTCATTTGCTAGTTGTTGTAGCTGAATGTGCTGGGAATGAATCAGAAGCTTTAGACATGGTTCCTGCCATAACTTCTGCGGTATGATTTTCAAAGTATAACAATTAGTGACGCTATTTTATAGGTATTGGAAGAACATCATTTGATCGTCGGAGTTGTTGTTATAGTTGATCCTAAAACAATTCCGATCAATGCTAAAGGAGAAAAACAGCGGAATCAACTTCGAGAGCATTTCTTGCATGACCAGCTCAATCCTATATATGTTGCGTACAACAGTTAAACTGGATATTACCAGTCTGTTCTTGCTCTTGCTTTTCCTTTTTACGGGTTCTGAACATCGGTTGAGAAGTACGTACGCGTATTTCAATTTTAAAAAAGTGCTCCTAATTAGGCATTATGATGACTATTTTCATGTTTATTTTTACATTTCTATTTGTGATCTCTTTCCTTGTATTCAGTCGTACTGCTCATCAGGGTATACTATATTTATAATGCCTCGGAAACATGTTTCCTTGCGAGGTGTTCATATATCACTTGATTTTTTCACTATGTGATGTTAACCGCGCCTGAGATGCAGGCCTAGTGACATGAGCCCTCCAAGTTTTTAGATGTTTGCAATTTCAAGTCATACTAATGATTGTTTCTATTTCCATAGACGAGTTATTATCTGTGAGATGTATTTTGATTTCATATTTAAGTATTTCATATATATTGTAGTCTGTGAAGATTTTTATATTGGATATAAGAGTCCCTTTATATTTTGTTACTTGTCCACATTTCGATTGGATGTTAACACCAGATGCAACAGTGCTCACTTGGCGTGATAGCTTGGAGCACCTGAAAATCTTTATGATGTTGTACATATAAATATAATAACGTAATAAACGTTCCAGTATTTGTTTTTTTATGTGGCAGTTCTTATTTTGATGATGACTTCTTTTGTTTTAGAGAGTGCCTTAAGGTGTCTAGTTTCCAACATTGTTCTATAAATTGAAAGAAGTTAAGTGCCGCCACTGCGGTTGTGAATATGTTGGTAAAGATAACCGCTAACATAACCTGTCGATTATGAGAAAATAACGATGGAGGCGGACTCTTCTGTAATGGCAACCTTCTAGTTTATGATTAGGCAACAAATAGTATACAAACGATGAGAGAAATGATGAATGATACGCATGATAGGGATAGAGCAGGTTCTCCCCTCTCTTCCTTTTGCTGACTTCAGTCATAGGATGAAGTTAACGACGAAGGAAAAGAAGATAACAGAGAAAAAGAAGAAGACAATGATTATTGTAGTGAAGAAGATGTGACCCTGCCAGGTAAATGACAGAAGCAAAGCGTGAGCGGCTGAAATACGAAGATGGAACAATGCTGGAGACGAAGGCGACGAACGAGAAGATGAAGAAGCAATAGCTGATGTAAAGACTGCTAAAAACAGAAGAGTTTTCTGATTTTTAAGAAGACAGCTTGCAACTTCTGATTCGAAAAAATGGTTTCAGTGATCGATGAATCCGTGATGTTTTCCTTCGTGAATTTTGATGACCTGCTGAACTTTCTAGCATTTCCTTGTTTGAATTCTTCATCATTCGCCTTCGCAGCGTTGCATAATATTTGATCAGAAGATCGAAAGATCGTCAGCTACAATTTTCCTTAAATAGTTAAGAAAATCTTGTTATTTATATGTATTCATTTAAGCACCGTGAATTGATCGAACAAAAAACGGAGATTATTTCATTCGATACCAATAAATAAAAAGAAAACCAATAAAATAAAACTTGATTCGTTGTATCGTTAGTTTCCTATAATATTTTCATTTGAACAAAAAAATACAAAAAAAAAATTATTTTTATTATATTCTTACTGTACTTCGTTTTTGTATTTCGTAGTTGTTTCTTAAAAATGTTCATGTAGAACGCTGTCGATGGGGGCAAAGTTTTTTGAAAAATATGTCTTTCGAACTTGCTCTCTCTCTCTGTCTTTCTATCTCTCTCTCTCATAGTCTTCTGTGGCCCTTTTTTTCCTGAAAAAAATCTTGAAATCAATTTTCGACTGATTATTACAGTAAATCATCCTATTATCTTTTCCTTGTTCATCATTATGATGATGATGATCTTCTTCTTCTTCTTCATGATGATGATCATCTTCATCTTCTTCATCTTCTTCTTCCCTTCGTCATCAACATCTTCTTGATATTCATCACCGTCATCTGTTTCTAATATCTTATAGATTAGATATGAGAACATATTCTTACTTAATATAGAATATTCCTTTTTTTAACTACATCTTTATGTCTAATTTTATCTTGCAACTCCCGTCATCTATCTCATTTCAACTACAACACTCTCGTTTTGGCGTCGTCATTTCTTCTTTTCTTAAAGTTACACTATCAGACGAGAAGACGACTGATCGTCAACATCATCTGATCATCTGACGACTCGTTTCAACCAAACCGTGTCTTGATTCGAACACTTTCCTGCTCTTTGCTCTTTTCTCTTTAAAATTTGCCGTTGGCAAAATTTTCAACGTGACCGACAGCAAGCTGATCCGGATTTCCGGCTCACATAAAGAAATATTCGAATGCTAGCGAATCCAGTAGGTGTCGAACAATTCGTCACCTCCAAGTCTTGGAATTGCTACACCCAATGTCAACATAAGCTGATTAGAAGGCTTTCTCTTCGTCACCTTTATTCATTTCAACGCATCTCTCTTTCGTAGGGCCCTGCCCCTGTCTTCTCAATACCCGTGTCCTTCACTACGACTGTCTTGATGAACTTATCGATAAAAAATTTTTGTTCAAAGTTATGTATTTTCGTTATACAACAGTTGAACAATAAGCATCATGTTGCCATGCTGTTTCTTGACAGACTGTACATCTTTCTCCTGCTTCGCATGCCATCTTGAAGTTTCTTAATTACAAACAACAAAGTATTCTATTGACTGATAGATAGACACTGACTAAAATAGATTGGTCGGTGAGAGCTTTTTTTTTCCTGATTAGCTCATTCTATCATTCAATTTTTTTCTTAAGTCAGTTATCATATGACTTCCTTGTTTTTCTTCTGTACTCATTGTAACCTTGGCTATCACTTATGCATTTTCCTAGCTGTTGCCATAACAATACTATATTTCTTTGCTAGTTTTCCCCCAAACACTTTTAAAAATTATTATTTAGTCCAAGAGAAAGTTTAGAGAAATCACTTGATAATCTGCCTTTTGGTCGTCTATCGTTACAGAGGGATGATTAATAGACTATGACATTTGGTTTGTATTTGATATTTCATTTCAAAAAAAAAAAGAAAAGAAAGAAAGAAAAAATAAAACAAAAAGAAGAAAAAAACTGTTTGCTATCAAAGTATATTGTAAAAATCAATAGTTTACAAATAAAAAAACTAAACGTTTTAGAACTCTGTGATTGTAAAATCAGCTGCAAACCGGAAGATGCAAAAGGTAATATTGAGACACAGACGACATGATTCGTATTTTTGTCAAATTAGAGAAAGAACTGACGCACGATGACACAGAATTGAAAACATTAAAGCTGTGATAGCTTCCATTTATGGATAATTTTTGATCTCATAATATTTAAATACAATGAACTTATGTTATATTTCATCATATATTTATATGCATAGATGATGCGGAGTTGGGTTTTTATGCTCGATGGAAAAATCGCAATCGCGTTCGACCCGGCAAATTTGATGTCATTGAGGCACGAATGGTACGTATGAACGCTTTTACTTTTCATCTTCTCTAATCAAACCACCCCTCCCCCCCTTTTCTTTGTGTTTTTTCTATCAAAAATTGATTTATAGGCTGTTGGTAGTTCGTTTGTTGAACATCATCTAACCATAGAACAGTTATGTGACGTCTATCCTGATTCTTACATTCAGCATGAATATCCTGAACAAAGTGATGGATTACATTCTGAAGAAGCGAGGTAGAATTATTGGCGATTTTGAGCATATGAAAGGTTATTTAAGAAATCGACTAAGAGATGGGGGAGCCAATGTAATTGATCCTCCCAAAGAGCCTAGTGTAATTAATATGTTTCTACAACAATTCCATTATAAATTCTGGTTACTGTTAACAGGTTCAAATCTTACGAGTACTATTTTCTAAGCTTGTGTTAAGGTGCTGCTTTCCTCTCCATTGCCACATATTGTGTTCATAGAGTTCATGGATATAATGAACCACTTAATCTTTATTGCGCTTTCATTTTAATGATTGTTGTTGTGTTCATGTGTTGTCTGTCATATTGGCAGGAGCGGAAAGCGAAGAAGGTAGAGCGAAGTCGTTAAATCTGAAAAACCAGAGTTTTCAGGTTATTCAAAACTTCACTAAGCTTCTGCCATCAAAAGCTGTTGTCATACGAGATTGTGAAGAGAAAGAAGTTGATATTGAAACACTCGTTGTTGGAGATCTAGTCGTCATACGGTGAGTATCTACGAAGACGCGTGTTGAAACTGTCATGAATGCCGAGAATCATTTTAATTTTCAGCTCTGGCTCCAGGATACCTGCTGACTTGAGAATATTACATACTAATTGTCTAACAATTGAAGTTGGTGAGGTAACAGGTGGATTCATTATCTTATTACGGTTATCATAATTAAACTGTTATAGGTTCTAATGAACTAGTCGAGTGCACAGCTGAAGCTGCAGCTTCTTATGTCTCAGTTTTTGATGCTAAGAATGTTGCGTTTAAAGGATCTCATTGTACAGAAGGAGATGGAATCGGAATCGTTATCAGGACTGGAAAGTTTACTGTGAGTATTATGTGTTCGTATGAACTGCTTTCAAAAGTTGCCAGTGCACAACCGGTCCACGTCACTTATTCATGCGAAATGATCTTTTTCTGAACGTTTCGATCTCTATTAAATTCAAATCGTTCAGGTACTTGGGGGAATTGCCAATATACATCATGACATTCCTCCGCCAACGGGAAAATTGCAAAGAGAGCTTCGAACTTTTGCTAATTTTATCACCATCTTGGCTATAAGTATGGCTGCTGGCATTTTCCTTATTGGTTGTATTGTTGCTAGATTTGAAAACATTCTTGATCATTTTGTTGTTGGATTTCTGGTCATAATTGTTGCCAATGTGCCACAAGGTTCGATATACACTGATTAGAATTGGTTTTCATTCTGTATAGGTCTTCCTGCAACTGTTATGTCGCAGCTCAGAATAATAGCTAGGCGGATGGCACAAAAAAATATTTTGATCAAAAAGCTCGAACTTATAGGTTTTCCTACCAAACGTTTGACTTTTTTTATGATGTTGTGTCTAGACGAGTTAGGAGCCGCCACTGTAATTTGTGCAGACAAATCTGGAACGTTGACGATGAATCAAATGGTTGTGAGCGATTTGTGGTTCAACAACAGGATGGTCAGTGGTTGGTTTTTGATTGTTTTCGAACGACTGTCTTCGCTGAATACGTTTAATGTTTCTAAACATTTTCAGGTTCTAGCGTCGATTTGAAACATCCGCATCTTCGAGCAATGAGGAACTCAGTCGCAAAAGGGAATGAACGCTTTGAAGATCCACTTCCGGATATTTTAACAGGTTTAGCATGACTATGTGCAATGTGTATGCATTGGTTTTAGTTATGTCGGTTTGTAACAGAGCTCAGTTCGAAAATGTTAGACGAAGCGCGCGGAGAGTCTCAACGATGCGAGCGCTTCAAAAGAGTGTTAGTGAAGCTATGCTCAGTGGGCCTTTAAAAAAAAAGTTTACCGTAGTGTATGTTTACATAAGTCTTCGAGTTCAGATTATCCTCATTTTCAGGGATACCCGAACAGGGCAAGTTTCTGAACCTAGACGGGTTACTCTTAACTCGGATGCTGCTTCTATCAGCTCAAATATGGAAGAAGAAGTGATGAGGAAAAAGTCAACACGTAATTCTTGAAGTTATAGATATGTTTCTGATTTTTTTCATTCAGAGATGTCTGAGGGTTTGCCGAAACAAGCATGTCATAAGAAGAATGAGATTTTTGGCGTACCTAGTGATGTCGCTCTAGTCAAATATGTAGAAAGAAATGCCTCAGTTGAAGCGATCCGACAGAGATATCATGTAAATATCAAAGACTCTTTCTTCAAATTACATTTGCATGTTTAGACAGTTTTCGAGATTCCCTTTAACTCTATCAGAAGATGGCAACTAGTTGTAGCCAGATGCTTAGCTGAGCCTCACAGTGAGAAAGATCTGCCGCCTTTGGAAAAAGTATTCTTTGTGTTATTTCTCGAAACTGACCTATACTATCTATAAGGATGAATGTCGCTATGTAGTTATGATCAAAGGAGCTCCAGAAGTTATCTTCAATCGATGTGATCGATATCGAGCCAATAGTGTTGTTAAGGAAATCGATGGAGACTTCAAACAAGAGTGTCAGGTATACACAGGCTTTCTCTTCTTCTAATTTTTTGTTGTGAAGGTTGCTTGGGAATCCTTAGGAAATCAAGGTCGCCGTGTGATTGCGTTTGCTCAGTGTTTCTTCAAAGGAAAAATTAATATGAAATTCGGAAATGATGGGGGTTGGCCAGAAAAATTTGTTTTTCTTGGTATGGCAGCTATAATGGATCCTCCGAGGTGGTTATACTGTCTTCTCTGTTATGATCCCATTTTATTGAAGACCGGAAACATTTGATGCTATTCAACAATGTAAACAAGCCGGTATCAAAGTGTTTATGATCACTGGTGATCATCCTACAACTGCACATGCACTAGCTACTCAGATTGGTTTAATTGGACAAGAACCGAAGGTACAGAATTTTTTATTCAAAAAATAACACAAGCACAAACTTCATTGTCAAAACCATTCACAGCGCAAAAAAATTTTTTGAAAGTTGAAACTAGACTGAAAACATTTCATCCCCCTCAATTAGCAATCTGTTGGACTCCGTCATGATAAACGGAACATTGGAATTCTGGCCTTTCCATTACCTAAAATCTATCACGGTTAAGGACTTAATTTGAATGTGGAATAACCCGGTAAACGCCACTGCTCTTCTCGATATAGATAGTGTAGAACGTCCACTCGTTCACATAAATTTCTAAAACGAGCAAGGCTACCACTATGTAGCAGATAATCTAAAATATCTTGTTAGCAAAGTCATTGCAATTGTAAATAATACCTCCACAAAATACCAATCAGATGGGTAAAACGGCAAAAAGTTTGTTCGAGACCAACTATCATCCCATGAAAAACGGTGTAAGATGAGGGAAACTGCAGAGATACTCCAAAAGATTATATGAACAATATTGTTCATGCATGTTTGAGCCTTAAAATATCATCTATGTGATCAATTCCTCTTTGATTGATATACTTTAGTCAGATCTTTGAAAGTGGAGTGAACTTGAACGATGTTGATAGTAGCGAATATGATTTCTATGATCAAGAATACAGCAGGGACAGTCAAAGGTCTTGTCAGAATGTGTGTGCTAGTGTCTCCATAACCAAAAATATCTTTTGTAGTCATCTGCAACACAACGAATATTGAAAATTACTCTCCTGGAAAACTTACTTGTAAGCAGACATGCCTATAGATTTTATTAAATATTAACCGAGTTGGAATGCTCTCAGTCGAATTCTACGAGAAAATGCATAATGAATCATTTTTCCCAAATACCTGAGTAGCTTCAGTAAGATTAGTGTTCCTCTCTGATGACAGAAGTTCAATTGAATTTCGTGCATCTTTGGTGGTTTTCGCTTGAGATCCGCCGGGGTTACTGCCTTCGTCTATAGGAAGATCCAACACCTGAAAAAAAGTAGTGTGTGTTGAATGCTACGATAATTAATTACCTGTTCGTCGTTCTCCTTTTGCCGTTTTCTGCGAACGTGTAAATCTGCCTAGAAATATATTTGATATCAATCATTCCAATCAATCGATAAATTGCTGTACTAACATTTAAAAATTGCGGTAAAGTGGTGATATCGTTTGAGTAGTCTGAATCGTAAATTGGCTCGGTCGAATTTTCTTCCTGAACTTGTAAATGAGATTATCTTTATCAAATGAAACCTACTTCTTCTGTGAGTACAATTTCTAACATATTTTCATACTGAAATTCATGGAAATATTTAAAGATTTTATGAAAGATACCTCTTTAGAATGACAAAGATGTCTTTGTCTGAGTAATAAATAGAGGGATGAGCATGCTATCAAAATGAAAGCAATTCTCAGAAGATGATAAAGACGCATCTGAATTGGATGATCAACCGTGCACGAGAGATAAGAACAACCAACCTCAAGTAATTTCGAATGAGTTCAAACTGAATGGGACGCCGTTATTAATTGAAAGTGAAATTATGCTAATGAGCTTATCCCCGCGTTTTGTGTAGCGCGCAAAACTTTAAATTCGAATATTCGTTCACGTTTTGGAATTTTTTGTAGCACATCTCTTCAAGACACCCGGATCAGGAAAAAGATTGGGCCGTTACAACTGGAGAACAACTTCAAAACTACAAACAAGAAGATTGGGATAACCTTCTGAAACATAGATATATTGTTTTTGCGAGGTCTTTCAGTACTTCATCTAAAATTCAATAATATATTCCAGAACTAATCCAGAACAGAAACTTTTGATTGTACAAGAAGTGCGTCGACGAGGTGAAACAGTGGCTGTCACAGGTGGAGGAGTGAACGATGCTCCTGCTCTTGCTCACGCTAATGTTGGAATAGCGATGGGGTTAACTGGTAATTACCAAGAATCTATTGTTTATACAATAACGAATGATTCTTTGAAGGGAGTGATGTTGCTAAGCAAACTGCGGATATCGTTTTGCTTGATGATAACTTTGCATCAATTGTAATGGGAATTGAGGAAGGACGTCTCATGTTTGACAATCTGCGGTTAGATTGTTCTAGAATTCTTCTGAAAGCTTGTTTTCTTTAAAGACTCTCATTGGCCTACACGTTTGCCCATCTTTGGCCTGAGGTTGTTCCAATTATTCTTTCTTTCACTCTTGGACTTCCTCATGCGCTATCGCCTCTTCAGGTAATCTTAAAACTCTAGGCTAGAAGTTATTCTTCTTCAGATTCTATCTATTGATTTGGCTTCGGAAATGCCACCTGCAGTATCTTTAGCTTATGAACAACCTGAGCAAGATATCATGCATACAAAACCACGAAGTCGGGGTTCTCGTCTTCTATCCAAGGGTCTTCTAATGTATTCGTATTTGTTTGCTGGTACAGGAATAACCATAGGCTGCATTATATCATATCTCAGTGTTTATTGGTGATTTATTTAGTCAGAATCCTTCTTTAACATCTATCACTAGGTACCACAACATAACTCTCCAGGATATTCTGTTCACCCAGGAGCACCACTGGAAAGTTGGTGCTGCTAATTTCACAACAAGCCAAGGAGTTGTACTTGATGAGCAACAACAACTTTATATAAAAGGACAAGCTGCTGCTGCTTGGCAAATCTGTTTAGTAATGTCTCAAGTATGTGTTTCCATTCTTATAAACTGTTCATGTTGCATTTGCATAGGTTTTTCATCTATATAACTGCACAACAAGAAGAGTCTCTGTGTTCCGCCATGGCATTAGTAACGTTGTGAGCATTTTTGCCGTTATAATCGAAGTACGTACCATCTGAAACTTTCTTGCAATCATAGATAATTTAAGATCCTCTTACTGATTATGTTCGTGTATACACCTGTCTTCCAATATGTGATGGATATTCACACTCCACCTATACATGTATGGGCTTTCGCCCCAATGGTTGGTCTGTATCTTCTCACATTCAACGAAGCTCGGAAGTTTTTGGTTCGAAACCATTCGAAAAACAAATTTGTTAAATTTATAAAATGGTAAGTTTTTCATCATCCTCTTCCTTAACATTTCTATTAAATATTGTTAGATTAGTTCCAAACTCTTCGTATTTTGTATTTTGTTGATCGTTTTATCATTTTTTTTCATTTTTTTTGTATTTCCTTGGAATCTTAGATGCTTTCTTTTTCATTCGCAACTGACCGGGTCTTATCTTCCATTAACTTGCTTGTACATTATTGCTCAAATCATTCAACCCTGTCAAACATTCTCGGTGCCAAAACTATTTTTCATCCTATTTCTCCTAACATTTTCTCACATCAACAACTTGTGTTGAAAACGGTGAATGAAGTTTTATTTTACTTGTACATCAAGCCTAAGTTAAAAAGCGTTCCTTGTTTCTTGTAAGATATTCAATGGAATGGGCTTCTGAGTAAATGCTATTGTTCAGAAACTTTCATTTTTGGTTTTTAGAGTTTGATCAATATGGATCTTTGATTGCCAACTGGGCTTCTTGTTTTTGATTTATTGATTGATGGATACGGTCGGTGTTTGAAACGCTCTTTCACGTCTTTTTATCCTCCTTCAAGGAGGAAGTATACAAGGAGGCTCCGTGTATACTTGGGCAAGTAATCGCTTTTCGATCAAAAGCAACTAACGATTAATTTTGAAAATTTGAGCTAGTTGCTTTTGACTAAATCGACTAATTATTCGACTAATTTCGATTGATTACGACTAAATACTTCTAATCTTTCGACCAGCATTCCTTCATACTGTCATTCATCGAATTGTCAATGTGTTCACACCATTTGCCTCATAGCTCTCGGCATAACGTTCATTTGTATGAGAATCAGTGCTGTAAAAGTAAATTCCAATACAACCTAAACGACAGCGCAGTTTGCTTAATCTTCCTTTAATTTGTATCAAGTGTTAGAGTTACTGTTGAATGTGAATTTTCAGTTAGAGATAAAATGGCGCTGGCAGATCGCTGAATATTCAAAAGTTTCTGATCCGTTTTCATCCATTGGCTTTCTGTACATCGTAGTTCTCAATGCCCAGCTTTCAAGCTGTTTATATCTTAGTGAATAGTTTGCATACTAATAGTAGTGAAGAATTAACTTCCTTTCGTTCAATCTTTCTAGTTTGCTTCCCTAGTCATAGATTTGAAACAAAACTCGGCGCGCGCGATCTACTGACCTGCGCCAAACCATTCTCAACAGTCATTTTCAACTTTTTTTGTCCGCTGAGCATGTACTAGTTGTATACTAATGATTTTGATAGCGATTATTGTGCTCTACTACTGGTGGCAGTTGTTGAAGCAATTCTATCGAAAATACCAGACCGGACTCAGCTTTTTTGAGATTCTTGTATTAATCGGTACTGAAACTCGTGTTATCCCTCGTCGGTCTACGTATTCTAAGAATTTTTTTGTTTCTTAGTGCAATAAACTGTAGATCTAAACTGTAACAAGCCATGCTAATGTTGTTTCTTGAATCAATTCTCTATAGGAGCTAACTGGTCTTGTAACTCAGGAACTGATTCTTGACTCATATCGGCGTTATTCTCTCCCCTTTGATGATTTCTGTGAAATTCCTCGTCCATTTTCAATCGTTTCACATGTCGAACTCTTCATTTATTCCTGCTTTTC